GATGATCTGGGGAATTTGCGTCTAATTTATTCAGGAAAACGAAGGACTGAAAGTAGGGCATTGTTGGTGCTGCGGCAGCTTGTGCACACGCTCAGCTCAGTCAGCACTGCAGCAGGGCTGTGTGTGAGGGAACCAATCCTCAGTCAGGCTCCGCACACACTGCCTCCTGCTCCCCTCCTTCTCCTCGTTGCCTGGTTCCCGGGATGAGCAGCCAGGATGATCTGGTCCTCAGTGCGAGCGAGCGAGCGGGAAAACAGACCAGGAGAGTCGGGAATGTCAAGCAGACATTCTCGATTTGATTTTTGCTGTGGTTGAACCGAGTTTCTGACACGTGCGGAAACCCATCCCCTTCCTCCACGCTCATTAGTCTCCAAATCACACTGAGAATTCTGTGTATTGACACATAGCACCCAGCCTCGACATTTCCCTGTGTCTCTCTATCTCTCTTCCCACCCCCTCTCTCTCCCCAATCCCCTTCTCTCTCCCCCCTCTCCCCCCACCCCCCTCTTTCCCCCCTCCCCTCTCTCCCCCCCCATCCCTCTCTCTCCTCCCCCCCATCCCCTCTCTCGCCCCCCACCCCATCCCCCCTCTCTCCCATTTAGCAATGATCCCCTGGTGGGCAGAAGCATTTCTCCCTGTAACAGCAGCTCCGTGCTGGACTGTGTGTGTGTGTGTGCGCTGTGTGGGTTAGGGTTCATGACTGGGTGTTGCTGTGGGGAGCACTGCCTTTTAACAGCATCTTTTGGATAATACATCAAACCGAGTGCACCTGTTCAGGTGGATATTAACAATTCCGTAACACTCTCTCCTGGCATCCTGGCCGTCATTAACTCTGGATATATTTGACAATAACCTCACAGCAGTTTGTGGGACCCCGATTGTGCACAAAAGTGGCTGCCGTATTCGCCCACAAATGCTACACCTATGAGACCTGACCCAGTAAAGTGCTGTAACAGTGCGAGTTCCAGTAACATCGATGTGTTGTGTGGATGGTTCCTCGGTTTGAGTGGTTTGAGAATTGTGTGATATTTGAAGCAGTGGCTCAGGTGCCCTGTCTGACAGTAGTTTGTGGTGCGATAAGAACAGGCAGTGGATTAATTATTCCCTTCACTACAGCCCAGGAAAGCTATAACTGGCAGCATCTTATCAACAGACAGCAAACAAGAGGTTAGAATATTTAACACAAAGATTGTTATACATGGGTAATGGTTTACCACAAATGACTGTTTGGTTTAGAGTCGAGAGCTCCAGTGGGGGAGCGAGCACCAGCACAGACATGGTGGGGTAAAGAGAGCGAGCTTTGCCTCCTGAGGATTTTGAACAGTGTCTACAGACACAGTGTAATTGCGGTTTTATTTTACGGGTTTCAGTTAATGAAATGCTTTTTACAGCCACCTGAGCCCATTTCCTTCTCAGCCATTCCATCAATGATTTAAGATTGGAGTTTAACACAGACACGCACACACACACACACACAAACAGACACACACACAGATACAGACAGACACACACACAGATACAGACTGACAGACGATCACACACATATACATTACAAACACGCAAGCGTGCTGGCTCAGTGAGAGTGAGCATTCAGTGGTTAGACATTCTCTGGTGTAGGCCCTTTGTGCCCTGACCCTGTGTCCTCTTGTGCCTCCTGTTTGCTGATTCTAACAGTTTTGTGCCTTTAGGTGTGAATCCTGGTTAGAATATTTTATTTACTTTAATAAAATCCTCGTTGAGACTTCTGCTGAGGAGCTCATTTTATCTAATCGTTCCTCGCAGCTCATCCCTGGCGCACTGGGACCCACAGCCTGTTACACTGGGATTCACAGCCGGTTACACTGGGACCCACAGCCGGTTACACTGGGACCCACAGCCGGTTACACTGGGTCCCACAGCCGGTTACACTGGGTCCCACAGCCGGTTACACTGGGATTCACAGCCGGTTACACTGGGACCCACAGCCGGTTACACTGGGTCCCACAGCCGGTTACACTGGGTCCCACAGCCGGTTACACTGGGTCCCACAGCCGGTTACACTGGGTCCCACAGCCGGTTACACTGGGTCCCACAGCCGGTTATACTGGGTCCCACAGCCGGTTACACTGGGTCCCACAGCCGGTTACACTGGGTCCCACAGCTGGTTACACTGGGACTGAGCCTGTTACAGTCACACCAGCGCCTGTACTGCAGACTATGCCAGGGTCCCAAGACAAATAGGAATCTAATGTATAAATCAGCAGCTCCCGATTCCCGAGGGGGGAGTGACAAGTGGGGACGAGGTATGTCTGCAGTTCCAGGTTTCCACAGAACCCAAGCTCCAGCTGTGTGAACAGGCAGGCAGGGTGGCAGTGAGGCAGGCAGGGTGGCAGTGAGGCAGGCAGGGTGGCAGTGAGGTTCCACAAACAGCCACAAATGAACGGCCAAATTCTCTGGGGAATGTGGTTCAGGAGAGAGTTGTGTAATGTTTATCACCCACCTGGACCTGGGTCTAACCTCTGAAGGACGGTGACTCTGACATCATGGTGCTCTCGCCAGCACTGGGCTGGAGCGTCAGCCTAAGCTGTGAACTTAGACACCCCCACGTGTGGTCTGAACCCAGAGACGGGAGTGCTGGCCCCTGAGTCGGGCTGACTATAGCCACACGGCAATCTTGTGTTCTAGTGGAGCCTGTGTCTATGTGTGTTTGGATACAGGGCACATTCACATGGCATGTCACAGCGGCACGTGACCTGTGCTCCCGCTGCCAGCCTCCCCAACACTCCTAATGATTTATTCATGTTTGCCACATGATTAAACGATTGCATTCACAGCTCCTCATCTTACACTCCCCAGAGAGGCTGGGAAATCACTGCACGAACCTCAGGTAGGATCCTCACTGCAAGGGTTAAGGAGGAGGTCACGAGGCATCTTTCACTCAAGGCATTATTATAATGTGGAACGTTTGGTACATGCTCATTCCAGCTGGAAACATAGCATTCCCAGCACGACGGGGAGAGAGCAGGGAATGGGGTTAGAGTAGAGAGTTCCAATGGGGGAAGGAGTTGCAGTAGAGTTGAGAGTTGGCAGCTTATCCCATTTGGGTGAAGTTGGTTGAAGATGAGGTGTGTGTGGCAGGGGTTTGGGGTGAATGTGCTCAGCGGTTGCTGCGTTCCTCTGATCTCCATCGCGCTCTCACAGGATTGAATTCCTCTGCTTACTGTCGACATTGACTGCTGCCAGTGCTCTGCGCATGTTTACACTCCTCACTGCCTCTTGAGGCTGGATCAAGTTTCCGAGCTGTGGCTGCCGGGGCGGCTGTACTCCTCACGGCACTTGTCACCTCAAGACTGCTTCACCCGGAGCTCAGCAGTGGAGCTGACAGTCAGTCGCCTGCAGATCGGGAACGAGCAGCATCGAGTGGGATTGCAGGAACTTCTCATTTGCGGAGCTGTTTGGGGAAAAGTCCCACAGCCTCAATCCGCGACTGTTTCTGGGACACCGCCGGCCGCAGTTGGCTGCCGCCTTTCGCCCACCAAGTACGCGGTCACGCTCCACTTTCACAGCACACGTCTCAGTGACGTGATAAGGCGCTATGTCGAATGCAAGGACTATTATTGTTATAAGACATCCAGGTTAAAGTGATCGCTTCATCCCACCTCAAGTGTTGGATTATACGAGCCAGAGGGAGAACACGGGAGAGCGGGAGTCGGAGTGAGGGAGGAGGAGAGCGAGGGAGTCAGGAGATGTGCGTAGCTGTAAATTATGCTTGTTTTACTCGGATACGAATCAGCGAACGCAACATAACCGTTCCTTCACACGAGTGAGGCGCAAGCGTTCAGTGACTGGCACAGCAAACCCACTCCTGGGGGCAGGGAATCCTCTCACTCAGCTCCTGTTAACCCTCCAGCTAATGCCCTGACTAACGGGTAGGGTGGTTCTAGCTGGGCAAGCAGAGGGAAAGCTTGCAAGATAGCGCTCTCTCTCTGAATGACAAGCTATGTGGCTTTAGCTGGTTAGACTCCAGCAGTTACCCCAACCTACATTCTGCCCCCCCAGCCTCGCTCTGGGAAACCTGCGCCAAATACTCTCCGGCTTCAAGTAAACGGGTGTCTCGCTCCCACCCATCCCACATACCCACCTGAGAAATCACAATGTTCCCACTGGCCAACCTGTGACCCTCTAACCCTGTGTTCCTGCAGCAACAAGCAGACACACTACCCCCCTCTCTCTCTCTGTCACTCTGTCTCTCTCTCTGTCTCTCTCTGTCTCTGTCTCTCTCTCTCTCTGTCTCACTCTCTCTCCCTCTCTGGGGTGTCTAAATCACTCTTTTTCTCTCTCTGTGTCTGTCTGTCTCCCTGCAGTGCAGTGTTAGTACCCATTGCGGTAATCAGCCAAGAATAGTATTAATGGTGTCTCCAGTGTTAAGCCATTGTGCTTTATCAGATTCAGTCGTATTTACTGGCCACAATGGTGACAATTAAATGATTAACTTGATGGCTGGTCTCCATTCATAGAATGTCACTGGCTGTGATTGTAATCCACTTGGAATCAATTAGTGACCAGAAAATACTGAATGAAATTGTTTCTTAATTAGTCACATCCTAATAAATAGCCTGAGCCTCCACTCCTCACTGCCCTGCTCTTTCCCAGCCTCGCTGATCGGCACTGCAGGAACTTACCTGGGAATGAGTGTTTGGGTGTGCGTGTGCGTAGTGGAGTGAGTGTGTTTGCATGTGAGTGTGCACATGAGAGAGGGAACGGAGTGAGCGTGCAAATGAGAGAGGGAGTGAGTCAGGCCGAGAGGGATGTGAGAGGCCAGGGAGGATTTCTGGAGGTGTGTACAGCCTGCAGTTCCCTGTCCTTGGTGCTGAGCACCCAGCTGTGGGCTCCTCTGAGCAGTGTGTGTGTGGCTGTCAGTGCACGGGCACATCTTCAGCCGCTGACGACACCCTCTCCCTATCCGGCTGCTCAGCTGTTGTCACAGGACTCAGCAGCGTTTCCTTTCTTCTCCCCTGCAGGAGTTGTGGACCAGCTGATCATGTAGAGAGCTGCGAGGGGCGAGAACATGACGGGAAAGTCGTTGTGCGCGTGTACCGGCCTTCAGCCTTGACCGGAGCTGTTCGTTCCCCCGACACCGCGGTGACCAACTCCCGACCCTTGTCCCGGCTCAGAGGAAAGTGAGTCGGTGCCGTACAGTGCCATACAGCCAGCCAGCACCGGGCACCAGGCCTCGCCGGTCACACCGGGAGCCACCTCAGCACCAGGCGCCACCCATCACCAGCGCCCGCAGGCATGGGGGACGTCACGAACAGCGCCGTGGATTTCCACGACAAGAACCAAAGAGACCACCCACACCATGCCGGGGAGTTCGGCTGCTCCCTGGATGAGCTTCGCTCCCTGATGGAGATGCGGGGGGCCGAGGCCGTGCAGAAGGTGCAGGACACGTACGGGGACATCAACGGCTTCTGCCGGCGGCTGAAAACCTCCCCCACGGAAGGTAAGAGCCCGCAATCCGTGTGGGCACCGGAACCGTCCGCCAGGCCAGCCCGAGAGAGAGACAGAGAGAGACTCTCCAGGTCTAAGCAACCTGTAAAAGTCACTTTAACCTCAGAACAATGCGGCTGCTGCTGATTGATTGTAAGCTCTGCACAGCGTGTTACAAACTGCGGTGATTTGCGGCCGTTTTGGTTGAGGATTTTCCAAGCGGTGGGGTTTCCGAATGAAGTGAGTGTCGGTGTGAGACCTTGCTCTCACATTAACACCACCGTTTCCGTCTCGTTCAGTCAGGTCCCGCCTGCCTCAACAACAACAACAACAACAACAACAAATGACATTTACACAGCACCTTTCACGTCAAGAGAATGTCAAGGATTTAGACCCGAGCTGGAGGTTGGGATCAGGAGGGGGTGGAGGACGGGAAGGTGGGGGTAGAAGGGTGACCAAAGGCATGGTTGAAGAGGTGGGTCTTGAGGCGGCCTTGATAGCCAAGTGGGCGAGGGCGAAGGGACCCCCAGATGGAGTAACAGAGGTTGGGGGAAGAGAGGCTGAAGGCCTGGCTGATGGAGGGGCAGTGCAGGGGATGTGGAGCAGGCCGGAGCCCACCGAGCAAAGGGAGCGGGAAGGTTCTTAAGGTGTTAGTAGGTCACAGAGGAGGAGGAGCAAGACCACGGAGGGCTTTAAAAGTGAAGACATGGATCTTAAATTCGATCCTCTGGGGGATGGGGAGCAGTGGTTCGAGGATGGGGGTGACAGGCTCACGGAGAAGAGGACACAAGCTGCAGAGTTACGAATAATCTGTATCTGGTGTAGGGAAGAGTTTGGCAGTCTGGCGAGCAGGGATTTAGTGTAGTCAAGCCTGGATGTGATGAGAGCGTCGCTCTGTCACTCACCTGGTGCTGTGGGTGGGGAAAATGCAGTCACTACCATTGTCCTCACTACTCTTAAGCTACTCCATGTGAAGGGCATTATCTGTAAAAATGCAAGTTGTTGTGGTCAGTAATTCCCTGAGAAGTCCTTTGTGACATTTTCAGTGTGGGAGCCCGTCTCAGGTTATTTTGGTTGTGTGTTCGGGGCTTGTTTACAGGACACGGGATTAGACGGTTGAGTTTTGATCCTCTGTGTATTTCTCCTGTTAATTGTTTCATTACTTTTGTAATGATTTCCTCCTGAGGCTCCCTCTTGTGCGATGGGGAAAACCAACTCGCATCTTTATTGTACCTGTGTTTGTGCTCTCGTGATCTGATCAGCAGGTCCCTGTCATTGTCAGTGGGTGTCAGACACCCCTCCTGCTGGGGGGTGGGGGGGTGGGAGAGGAGCGTCCAGAGGGGAGGGGACTGTGTGTGGGGGAGGGTGCTGTGTGAGGGTGGGGGCTGTGTGTGAGTGTGTGTTTGGACATCAAAATGTCATTGAAAAACAACTTGTGTTGGGAGTCGGGAAGAGAATTTATTATTAATAATAATAATAATTAAAGTGTAGTGACTGTGCCCCCAGCCTTTGCCCCCCCCTCACTCATTGTATAATCTTCAGCAGGGACCCCCCACAGCCTTTACATTTGCTTTCTTTCCTATTATTTTCCGTGCTTTACAGAGGTGGTTGCTGTTGGCTGCAGTACAGATGGCCTAACAACCGACATCGTACAGAGTGCCCCGTCCCAGCCCACCACACACTTTGATCTCCTCCACCTTCAGCCTTACAGCTCCTTACCTCCCTCTCTCGCTCCCTCTCTCTCTCTCGCTCCTTTCTGTTTCCATCTCAGCTTCACAATCGTTGTCGGTTCTTACTGGGGCTGTTTGCTCTGAGGGGGCGAGGCCTGCATTGTCCTGAGAGAGAGTTTGTACCCAGTGGGACCAGGAAGAAACCAGCTTCCAAATGGAACTTGGATTGAAGAACATGCCTCAGCAGATACACTTTGTGGCTGGGACTTTCCCTCATGGCTCCTAACAACCATCACCCCTCCTCCACCCACCCACGGCCCCCTGCCCCCCACCCCCCACCCCCTCCTCCCCCCCACCACCCCCCCACTCCCAGTCCCCTAAACAGAGCACAGATGAGAGCCTCCATGATGTGCATAAACCGTTATCGTTCGGGGAAATGGGAGGTTTGAAGTAACGATGAATAATAAATGTTTGTATTGCAGTGAAACTAGGTCAGTCCGGGAGAGAGGCCGCACTCGGTGTGAGCTCACTGTTTGATCCGCTCACAGTTTATTGTGTTTAAATAATAATAATATCTGATTCTGCGGCTGTCACTAGAGTCCTGGGACTTCCACCTCAAGAGGCCATTGTGTGTCTGCGCTGGTGCTCACTCCCCCACTGGAGCTCTCTACTCTAACCACATTTCCTGTGTCTGTGCTGTTGCTCCGATGTTTGGCTCAGAGCAGATCGTCTATTGAGCTGAGTGATGATTTTCAGAACGGGAATGGTAGGAAGTGGGAATCCGTGCAGCCAGGCTCCACAAGGATGTGGTTCATACAGTTTATCTACATCCATGGGTTTGAGACAGAAAACGTGTTAGACTTCCATTTCCTAACAGTCTGAGATGTTCCCTTATTCACTCTTTGTTGCTTACTCTCTGGCTCTCCCTATCTCGCTCTCTGTCACATGCTCTCTCGCTCACTCTGTCTCCCTTCCTTTCTCTCCCCTCCCCCCACTCTCTTTGCTTTTTCTCTCTCTCTCCCCTTCCTCTCTCTGTCTTTCTCTCTCTCTCTGGCTGGGTTGCCTCGCTCGTGTCCACTTCTCAGTGACCTGGTTTGAGCTGCAGATGAATGACCTGCGCTGTGTGGTGTGAGGCTGTGATTAATGAGCGATTTACCGGACGTGCTGGCTGAGCTGGCAGCTTACTGCATTGCAGCGACAGCAATCACAGCTCCACTGATCGGCGTGCTGGGCTCCAGCTTCCAGTTCAGTCACACCCTCTCGCCTTGGGCAGGAGGTTGTGGGTTCGAGCCCCACGTCTGGGACTTTGAACTCACAGCCCAGCCCGAGGCTCCAGCACAGGGGTGTGGGGGGAGGGAGCTCAACCATTCCGTCCAATGAGACATTAAACCGAAGTTCTGACAGTGCCCTGTTCAGGCGGACGTTACAGATCAGTTGCGCTGTTGGAGAAGGGAAGAGTGTTTCTGGCTGTTTGAAAAAGATTTCTGTGGACAAAGTGTTCACATGCTTGCCTGTGTTTGCTGTGCAGCGCTTTGAGATGTTCTGGTGAAAAAAAGGGGCTTAAAAAAACCCCAGGTTGTTTCTCACTGATTCTCACAGGACTGAGCGGAGTTTGTTAAATGTTTTAGTTAGATGAGGCCCCTCCATCAGAGCCCAGAGTTTTTACATCAGATTATTGTCACGTTTGAGACGGTGGGTAGGTCAGGCCAGGCTAGGTACAGGGTGAGACCAGATGGGCCAAAGTATCTTCTTCATCCGACTAACCTTCTGAGGGTTGTTCTCTCCCCCGGTCTCCTGCCTGACAGCCCCTCACCATAAATAGCTTGTTCACTCCACAGCTGTTTGTGGGATGTTGCTGTGCGCAATTTATTTGACTGCCACGTTCGCTCACAAAGTACACTTTACAAGTATATCCTGTGAAGCGCTTTGTGACATCTCGCCGATGTGATCAGGCACAGTATCAAAGTATTATTCTATGATCTTGTGAGTGTTTCTGCCGTTCTGTGTGACCTCCACCTCATGCTGGCTGGCGAGGCAGAAGGAGAGGCTGTGGAGGGAGTGCGGAGAGGGCAGGCTGTCTGCCCTGTGTTCACTCACACGGGCAATGGAGGTAGACGGAATGAGTTTTACACTGAGATGTTGACGGTGTCGTCCTTCGGACGAGACATTAAGCATTTCCTGACTGTGCCATGTTCAGGTGGACTGTAAAGATCTCTGCGGTGCTGTTGGAAAAGAGGAGGAGTTTCTCTCCCATTGCCCTAGCCCACAATCCCACACGCACATTCATTCATTCACTTCACAGCTGTTTGTGGGATGTCACTGTGCACAATTTAGCTGCCACATTTTTCTAAACACCCCACAGTCACTGCACTTGCAGGCAGTTCCTTGTGAAGCGCTGTGAGAAGTTTGATGGAGTGGGGGGTGGAGGGGACTGTTATAATTGAGACTGTGGGATTGGTGTTAAAGTCGGATTGCTTTCTCCTCTCCTGTAGGCTTGGCTGGAAATCCTGCAGAACTTGAAAAAAGAAGACAAATTTATGGTCAAAACTTTATACCTCCGAAAAAGCCAAAAACCTTCCTGCAGTTAGTGTGGGAAGCTTTACAGGATGTGACACTCATTATCCTGGAGCTGGCAGCTATCATATCCCTCGGACTCTCATTCTATCAACCCCCAGGAGAGAGCAGTGATGGTGAGTACACACTCAATACTAACAGTAACAGAACCAAGATGTGCTGTGGTTATTCCTCACATCTACAGATGGGAAATCAACTGTGGGGGTATCTGTGTACTGTGTGTGGGCATAGTCGCTCCAGAGGCAGGAGCAGGAAGCCATTCAGCCCATCCAGCCTTTCCATCCGGCACGATGGGGAGAGAACAGGGAATGGGGTGAGAGTAGTGAGCTCCAGTGGGGGAGCGAGTCCCAGCACAGACACGATGGGGATAGAGAGAGAGCAGGGAATGGGGTTAGAGTGGAGAGCTCTAGTGGGGGAGCGAGCCCCAGCACAGACACGATGACGGATTCTGCTTGAAGCCGAGTGTGAATTCCTCATGCTGATGGGCCTCCCAGCCTCCATGTTAACACCCACCTTTGCTGACCTCACTTGACTCGTTGTATTTAATGGTGACGCAGCCGCTGTTGTGATGCTGCCCTGACCCTGACGTCTCTGCTCTTCTCTGCCCTGTCAGCGTGTGGGAGTGCAGCAGGAGGCGCGGAGGAAGAGGGGGAAGCGGAGGCGGGCTGGATCGAGGGGGCGGCTATTTTGCTGTCGGTGGTGTGTGTGGTGCTGGTGACGGCCTTTAATGACTGGAGCAAAGAGAAGCAGTTCCGGGGGCTGCAGAGCCGCATTGAGCAGGAGCAGAAGTTTGCTGTGGTTCGAGGTGGGCAAGTCATCCAGATCCCCGTCTCCGAGATCGTCACCGGGGACATTGCTCAGATCAAATACGGTGAGTGCTGATCAACATCAGTGCCGACAACACTGAGGTGGGGATGTGATCATTAACACCAAAGCCAACAAAAGTGAAGTGGGTTGTGATAATTAACAAGAACGCTGAGAATTAGCGAGGAAATCTCCAGAGGCATTGCTCCCATCGCTGCGTCACCTCTCTACCTGCACGTGTGTTAGGGACGGGTTGGGGTGTGTCGGGCACCACCCGTTTGCGTGCTGTAGACCGCAGTGAAGCACTGTGTGCCCGCTCCTCGTGCCCTCACACACGCACACACCCTCACTGTCTCGTGACCTCTGCCATCTGCCCGCCAGGTGACCTGCTGCCAGCGGATGGGATTCTAATTCAGGGAAACGACCTGAAGATTGACGAAAGCTCCCTGACTGGGGAGTCCGACCACGTCCGCAAGTCAGTCAACAAAGACCCCATGTTACTGTCCGGTGAGGCTTCCAGCTTAGTTACTGTCGCTGTGTGTGTGTGTGCGCGTCACCGTGTCTCGTTGTGTGTCACTGTGTGTCTGACTCACTGTGTGTTACTGTGTGTCTCTGACTCGCTGTGCATTACTGTCTCTGTCTCGCTGTGTCTCTGTCTCGCTGTGTGTCTGTCTCGCTGTGTGTCACTGTGTGTCACTGTCTCTGTCTCGCTGTGTGTCACTGTGTGTCACTGTCTCTGTCTCGCTGTGTGTCACTGTGTGTCTCTGTGTCACTGTATCTGATTGGCTCTTGCCCAGGTACCCACGTGATGGAAGGCTCGGGGAGGATGGTGGTGACGGCGGTTGGTGTGAACTCGCAGACTGGCATCATCTTCACGCTGCTGGGGGCGAGCAGCGAGGAGGAGGAGAAGAAAGAGAAGAAAGGTAATCCATCGTCACGGAAATGCTGTGAGGTGAGGGTGGAACCAGAGAGAGTCTGATCTCCGGCACGAAGCTCAGTCAGAGTGTGCCGTGTGCCACGTGCCACGTGCCCCCCTCTGCAGTCAGGCTGAACCAGTGCAGGAAAGGCAACTCCGCTTGTCAGAGCCACTGTCTCCATTGGAATCCATCACTTTACTAACTATGAAATACTCTTCCCTGGTTTGGCTCGGCTCAGTCCAGCCTGGCTCAGCGAGGCTCTGCAGAGCTCAGGCCTCACACTGTCTTTCGCTGTAAATGTGTCCAGAATGAGTTGGGGAGTGGTGGGGGGGTGTCCACCTGTGCCCTCAGTGGCCTGTATGTGCCCCTCAGCGGCCTGTGTGTGCCCCCCCCGGCCTGTGTGTGCCCCTCAGCGGCCTGTGTGGGCCCCCCACCCGGCCTTGTGGCCACCCCCCACCCCCGGCCTATGTGGGCCCACCCCGGCCTTGTGGCCAACCCCCCCGGCCTATGTGGGCCCACCCCGGCCTTGTGGCCACCCCCCCCCCCCGGCCTATGTGGGCCAGGCTAGGGTCTCGCTCTGGGCCCTCGGTGATGCAGCGTCACCTGATGAGTGACGTAGTAGCTCGGACACAGCTGTGCTGCAAACCTTCAGACGACATTTAGAAGCCGGGACTTTCTTGACCACAACAACGACTGGGGGGCAAACAGCTGCTAAACCGAACCAAAACACCAGTGTTTCTCAGATGGTAAACGCTGAGAGTTTGAGGTTTGTCCCGAGCGGGCGTGGGGGGCGGGCGAGGAGGGTTGAGGAGAAGCTGGTGTCAGAGAAACCTCTTGTCTCTGCTGCTGATTCTCGTTGCTCCGGACCCGCGGATATTCTCTCACTTTAACATCTGCAGCAGATCAGCCCCGGGGCCAGGGAGAGGCCTCTGCAGGTCAGGTCAGTATTGGGGCCGGGCTGTAGGAGGGAGAGGTGCTGGGTGCTTCCTGCCCACAGCATCCAGCCCAGGACTGTCAGCTTCGCCCGTCTCTTCCTTCACTCTAACTGTCTCTGCCCACCACCCTGGCTCCCTGCATACACACCACCCTGGCAGTGCGTGTGGCAGTGTGTGTGTTGGTGTGTAGTACGTATACAGTGAGCGAGTGTATGGGACCCAGATTGTAATCGGAATAATAGACAATATAATACGCAGCAAACTCCTGAAACTGGAGACGTTAAGACTGCAAACAGCTTTACAGATTATATAAGATTAGAAGAATTGTCCAAAACACACGTACGTGAGAGACATCGAGAGAGACACAGAAGCGGAAACAGAAACTAGACAAAAGAAGAAGCTGGAAGCACTCGAGTGGAGGAATATGGAATACAGGGCGACCACATATGAAGGATACCTGTGAGAGATGTGGGTTACTGGATCCTTAACGGAGATGTCCAGCAGAAGGGAAAGAATGTGGTGTGTGTCACTGGTACAGCCAATATGCCAGTCAGTGCAACAAGAATCCATAAATAGCTGTGTCGGAGGAACACAGCCTGACAGGACGGAAAGTTTATCAGAGGACCTGCAAGCAGCAGAGAACCAGGTGTGATCCAGACAACGTGGAATACTGAGCTCTGATCATCCATCCTCTGTTATTGAAAAGTACAACAACAACAAAATGACACATGTAAAGCACCTTTCATGTCAGGAGGACATCCCAAGGCACTGGACAGACAAGAGTTTCAGACCTGAGCTGGGGGTCGGGATCGGGGAGGATGGAGGCCAGGGCGGGGAAGCAGGGAGATCGAAAACATGATCAAAGAGGAGGGTCTTGAGATGGGTCTTGAAGGAGGCAAGGGAGGGGGTGAGGCGGAGGGACTGAGGGATGGAATTCCAGAGGGTGGGAGCAGAGTGGCAGAAGGCCCACCCACCGATAGTGGGGCAGGCGAGACCGAAAACGTGAAGCAGGCCGGAGCCCGCTGAGCGGTGGGAGCGGGCAGATTGGTGGGGGCTTAGGAGGTCGCAGAGGTAGGGGGGAGCAAGACCATGGAGGGCTTTGAAGTTGAGGACCAGGATCTTGAACTGTATCCTCTGTATAAATCAGTGGAGTCGGGCAAGGATGGGAGTGATAGTATCACGGAGCCTGGTGCGGGAGAAGGCACGGGTTGCAGAGTTCTGGATAATCTGCAGCCTATGGAGTACTTGATTGATGTCATGGTGCTCAGGCAGATGAGGAAGAAGATGATGATGTTGATGATTACAGGAAAGAATCAGATTCTGATGATTGTGCGAAGAAACCTCCCAGAGGCAAGAAGTCAGTGTCGAGGAAAAGATCGAAGAAGTAATAAAGGAGATTGCTTTAGTACAAAAAGATATAGAAGAGTGTATATAAAAAAAATTCCCCCTTTACAGATGCTAAGTTTCCTGGGGATGAATTTCTATCAAACTGCAAACGGAAAATCAAGAATGTGAACAAAAGTGACAGGAAAAGGGAGAGGAGGAAGTCAGTGAGGGTTCCTGAGGTGTTCAGTTTATAGAGTGTTGTGAGCAGAGAGTAGTGACATAACCCACCAGTGTTATGGATTGAGAATCAGTGTGTTTAGTGAGTGGGCGCAGTGAGTGTGTTATTGCTCTGTGTTCGCTGGCTGCGGAGAGGTGTCTCTGTTCCGCTCGCATCGCAGTGGGAATTCTTGTATTTTTATTGCTTTTTCTTTTGAGCAAAAACCTCATTGTTAATTATTATTTCACATGAATCCATTTCACTGTTGTTTTCTCTCCTCTCTCCCCTCCCACACCCTCCCCCTCATTCCATTCTTTGTTTTTCCTTTTCCCCATGGTTTAGCGATCCCTCCCCTCCCCCTCCCTCTCCCTCCCCTGCTGCCCTCCCCCGCTGCCCTCCCCCAGCGACCAGACCCCTCAGACGCAGTCGGGCCGATGGCTGGCGATGCCGTTGGTAACGCCAATCCCAACCTGCTCAACGGTACGTTCCTCAGCACTGCGATCCCGCCCTGTGTCAGTCTCTCTCCTGCTCCTCCTCCGTCTGCACAGAGGTTCTGACCTCCTACACACGGTATCGATACCTCCTACACACTGTATGCTGCATACTGTACACTGTAAATGCTGTACACTGAAACCTTGTGTGAGAAATGTGTGCCTTGTGAGAAACCCCTGGTACTGCACAGTCTTCTCACAGGACATCCCCCACCCAACGAGTACACACACACACACATACACACAGGAGCCCACACCCCACCAAGTACACACACACATATACAGGAGCCCCCAGCCCAGCGAGCCCGCTCGCACACACACACCACACAAACATCCGCGCCCCCCGGGCTTTAGCTCAGAGCAAATCAGCTCGAGGGTCCCTGGGTTAACCTATGTTCCAGTGACGTGGGTTATAGTTGATCAGCTTTTCACAGCAGAAAATAACAAGATTCTGACACTCCCATCGAAACCACAGTGTTAGAATAGTCGCCCTCACTCTGTGATATTTACACGTGTGGGGTTTGGGGCTGGGAGCCTTGGGAGGAGCACCTAGAGCTGGGAGCTAGTGCTGCAGGGAGCTGGCTCCTGTACCGGTGCTGGTGTCTCCTGCTCTCTGTCTGTCTCAGCCCATCACACTGCCCTGAGCTCACTGACAGGATGTGGAGATCTGGAGTCGCTCCCCACTGCTGATGTATCATGTCGGCCTTTGGAAACCACCCACACACAATGTACATGCTCCCACACGCAATGTACATGCTCCCACACATACTCACTCACAATGTACACACATACACATGCATGCAATGTTTACTCTCACAGATACTCACAGTCTTACTCACTTCCACACACTCAAACATACACTCACACAAACACTCACACACACTCTCCAGTCCGAGGTACAAATATCCTGATCTAATGTGTCGGTGTATAAACTTACTCCCGAAGCAGTAATAACCTGAGAGACTGACATCTCTACCATTTGAGACGTGATTAATATTCAATATGAAAACTGATCCCAGAACCATGTCCTTTTACAGAGATTCCAGTAACTGCTGGGCATGTGGAGAGCAGAGAGGAGCTAAGCAGTGCAGTTAGTATAATAGGAGCAGTCGTGCATATGGCCAGGGGCATCCCAGTTCAGTCTATACCAGTCTGCAACTATTCAATAGGAGCAGTCGCAGTCTGTAATGAGAGCACAGCCCAGCCAGAACAATACTTTCAGGTAACGCAAGTAAGAGAACACAGAATCATCTACTAACACGAGCGAGGATTTATATGACTGAGGAGAATGTAACAGGAAGCACCGACACAATGCAATGGGAGAGAGCAGGGAATGGGGTTAGGGTAGAGAGCTCCAGTGGGGGAACGAGCCCCAGCACAGACACGATGGGGAGAGAGAGAGAGAGAGCAGGGAACGGGGTTAGAGTAGAGAGCTCCAGTGGAGGAGCGAGCCCCAGCACAGACACGATGAGCTTGAATGGAACAGCTTGCTCTGAGAACTAGCACAGACTCGATGGGCTGAATGGCCTTCTCCTGTGCTGTAAATGTCTGTGATTGTTTGTGGTCAGTAAGATAAGTCCATGATTTTTTTCAGTTGATTTTTCTCCTGAAACCCCATATCTGATGTTCATGACGAACGTGTCCATTGCAATATCTGTCCCTCATTCAGTCTCAATATTGTCACTTCACCTGTGGACACTGAGCAGGTCCAGTTACTGTTAAACAAAGCCTTTTCCTCTTGAGTTGACGGCTCATGGATTGGTGAATCAATTGGAACTTTAGCCGAGATGGGTGGTGTCACTGGACAGGAACAGGCTGTGTCAATGTTTTACACTCAATACATCGCTGTTCATTCTGGGCTGTTAAAGGTCCCATTGTCCACTGTCGTGTGCTGTGTTTGTCACTTTGCCTGCGGGCAGTGTCTCAAGTGGTGACTTGTTCACTGTTTGTTTCTGTTCTGTTTGTTGTACCCTTTTCACCGTAGGCAAAATGCCGGATGGAAATGTGGAGAACAGCCAGGACAAAGGTAATGTGCTGCCCTGTCCCACGTCTCCTGTCTCTGTCCAGCTCGTCTTTCTCACCTCACGCCTCACACCCCTCATTTCTCTCTCAGCTCCACCGATTCAGAACCTGTGTAGAGTCTAAGCCGTGTAGTGACCCGCTGACTGACAAACACAATACAAGCTGACTTTTATATCGCGCCTCTCATATCGGAGGACGTGTTAACAAACCTGACTTGGCACCCGAGCTGGAGTGTGGGCGGTGGTGGGGAAGGTGGGGAACCAAGGGAGGGGGTAAATACACAGTCACTACACTTCACAGTAAATGGCAGTGAAGGCGTCTTGTTGATGTGACACGGCGCCGTATCAAATGTGGGTATTATTATTGTTGTTACTTGGTGTTATGAACGCAGTCTGAGTGTCGGAGACATTAAATCGAGCTCCTGACTGTCTGTTCAATCTGGACTATTCTCCCAGATAAATCATCTCACAAATGTTTGTGAGACATTGCTGTGCGCAAAGCGACTGCCGAGTTTATCTACAAAATACACAGTCACTACACGTGACAGCAATTCTCTGTGAGGTGTTTGAGACGTTTTGCGATGATCGGCGCTGAATGAAACGAAGGTTATTATTGTAGACGTGGCTCAGAGTGTGAGCCTGATCACAGGCCACAGTATTGATCTTTTCTCCCTGTTTAACTGGTGGCTAAACACCCGGGTCCTCGTTCACTTTTAGCCAAGAAACAGGACAGTGCGGCTGCCATGGAGATGCAGCCGCTGAAGAGCGCAGAAGGCGGGGAGAGCGACGAGAAGAGAAAAACAAACACCACCAAAAAAGAGAAGTCTGTGCTCCAGGGCAAGCTCACCAAACTGGCCGTGCAGATCGGCAAAGCAGGTGAGAGGGGTCGGGGGGCCGAGGCTAGGCTTGTGGGGTGGAGGCTGGAGACCTGGGGAGTGGGGCCGAGGTTGGGAGAGCCGGTGACTGGGGGCTGGGAGTCAGTGTCAAAGTCTAGGGTCCGAGACTGGGGGTCGAGGTGGGGCTGGGGGTCAGGTGAGGACATGAGCGGGAGCGATCTCCGGGAGCCATTAGACTGACAGAAGCAGTATGGGTGAGGTGAGCTGTCTCGCTGAGTTGTCTCTCTGCCGTGCCGCAGGGCTGGTGATGTCGGCCATCACGGTGATTATCCTGGTGCTCTACTTCTCCATCGACACCTTTGTGATCCAGAAGCTGCAGTGGCTCCCGGAGTGCACCCCCGTCTACATCCAGTTCTTTGTCAAGTTCTTCATCATCGGGGTCACCGTGTTGGTGGTAGCCGTGCCAGAGGGGCTGCCGCTGGCCGTCACCATCTCCCTGGCTTACTCCGTCAAGGTGAGCAGTGGCCGGGCTGGTGTGTGGGTGGCCGGGCGGATGGTTAGTTGGGCCATTGGGTATTTGGAAGTTTTTTTGTGCGGTGCCGGCCGCTGACACCGTGCCGGCCGCTGACACCGTGCCGGCCGCTGACACCGTGCCGGACGCTGTCACCGTGCCGGACGCTGTCACCATGCCGGTGGCTGACACCGTGCCGGTCGCTGACCTCCTCCTTCCTCCTCTGACCAGAAAATGATGAAAGACAACAATCTGGTTCGACACCTGGACGCGTGTGAGACCATGGGCAATGCCACCGCCATCTGCTCGGACAAGACGGGGACATTGACCACCAACAGGATGACCGTGGTGCAGGTGTTCATCGCCGACAACCACCACAAGGAGGTGCCGGAACCTGACGCACTGCCAGCCAAAACCCTGGAGATCCTCATCAATGCTATATCCCTCAACTGTGCCTACACCAGCAAGGTCCTGGTACGTCCGGCGACTGGGTGGGGGGGTGCGTGTTGGTGAGCGAGTGCAGGTGATTTGTTTTGCCCAGCCGGGTATCTGACCCTTCATCACCGTTGTTTAAGAGTCTCCAAAGCAAACTGAGATTTCCGTGCATCCAAAATACACAGAGACATCCCAGAGATACATTGTTGGAATGGAATGCGCTCTCTCTCTGGGGGCGTCCTCCCCATGTGAGAGGCGCTTTATAAATGCAAGTTGTTGTTGTTGTTGTTGGAGGGACGCCCGCTGCTTACCTAATTCCAGAAAGTATTAGGCCCAGATTGGCAAGAGCTAAAGCTTGGGGACCCCAGCGTGTGCATAGTTTGCGATTGAGATTGCTGTCTGGCAAGCTTTCCCGTTGCTTCACCACCTTCCCGTCAGGGTTATCTGTGCGTGTAAGAGAAAGTGTATGTGTCCTGATTTGCACTTCACGGTGACTGATGCAGAATTCTAGAATTTGGGGTATGTCTCTGTTATCTCTGATCTGTTATTGTGAGCAGTGGTCTGTGCTTGTGCTCTCTCCCCATCGTGTCTGTGCTGGTGTTCACTCCCCCACTGGAGCTCTCTACTCTGCCCCACGCACTGAGCTGTCCCACACTGTAAAAAACGTTGGTGTTCAACTATTTCTGTGAAGTTCCCCTATTTGACACCTGTTGGCAGAGCCCTTGTTACTGACTTGACGTGTCAGGTGTACCATGGTCTGTGTGGGAGATGGGGATTAATACGGAATCTGTCTGGACCAGTGGGCTGGGAGCAGGCGGTGAGCGAGAGTTATATAACGCCTGTCGACATTGGGAGACTCCGGGGTGAAAACCACATTCCTCCATCTGTCACTGATGCTCACCAGCAGTGACCGGCTGCACTGCTCGCTCTCAAGGACAAACAATGAGATAATAAATAATAATAATAATCCTTACATTTGGTACAAAGCCTCATCAAGTTTGTTGAGACGTCTCAAAGCGCTTATACTGTAAAGTAATTTGTGTCTGTGTATTTTGTGGGCGAAATGCAAAATACACAGAGATGATTTTCTGCCTGTGGCACAGCCTCGGAGCCACTCACTGCACTAGACACAGCCACAGCCCCAACCCCTAACCCAGCCACAGCTCCTGCTCCCAGGAGAGCACACACCTCAGTGAGTTGTAATTCAAAGAATTTTACAGGAAATATGTGTATGTTGGGGGGGGTGGGGCGGGGCGGAGAGGTGCTGTGTGTGTATCAGTGTGTTTGGGGGGGATGTGAGTCTGTGTATGGTGTGCATGGGTCTGTGTATGTGCCGGGAGAAGCCGGGGGTTGCCTGTGGGTAGGACAGATGGTTGACGCACAAATCTGTTGGACAAGGGAGCGGTTTGGAAACGTGTCGCCATCTCTAACTGCCCCACATCCCACTGCCCGTACTCGGCTGGTTTGTGCCCCAATGTTTGTGCCTTTTGTAGCCGGGCACCCTGGGCGAGGCTGAGTCACTGGTCGGCTGTGCCAGGCTGGCGGTTGTGCTGGGCTGGGGGCTGGGCCAGGCTGGGCTGGTGAGTGATAGCGCAGCCCTGGCTGACAGATGGAGGGAGGGGGGGGTGGTTAGAAGCCTCCCTGAGACTCGGGGACAGGGAATTTGACGCTTGGTTTAGTTCAACACCTGTCGGTCAGCTCCGTGTCCTCACACACGCCGTGCGTCCTGTCCACAGTGACGCAGACCCAGCCTGGCACACACCGCTTCCTCCTCAACACTGACGTACACTCAGGGGGGGGAAATTATAATAATAATTAAATAATAAAGTCAATCCACTTTACAGTGTATCCTGTGAAGCGCTTTGAGGCATCTCGAAGACGTGCTAAGGCAAGGATTGTTACTATAATAATCCTTGCATTTGATAGAACGCCTTATCACGCTGTAGCTCTCTCTCTCCCTGTTTATATTGTAAGTTGTGTGGAGGATGGAAACAGCGAGCTGGTGAAGGGCAGAGGGGCAGAGCCACACTGCGAACAATTTATAATCAACGTCTACGGATTTAGATTATTCCCTGAAACGGGAAGCAGTGAGCTTGTCTCTCGCTCCCAGTGACACCAGGTCACCATTTCATTCCTGGTAATTAGCTAAAGGTGGGGGGGTGTCCCTCTCGCGAGGCTGTTTGTGTTGCATTAATTACCATGTGTGAGGAACACTGGCTCCTGCCGGGCACACAGTGAATCACAGCGCGGGAGGGTTTACTGTTTTCCACTGAGCAGCGTGTCTGCTCCAGGGATTGTAATGTGCCCACCTGTGCCTTTCACACTCCGATATCTCATCCTAAATTCACAACTCCTAATCCTCCACACTCAACTCGCTCGCTCGCTCACTCACACACTCACCTCGCTCACACACTCACCTTCCTCACACACTCACCTCACTCACTCATATCCGCACTCACACCCTCACTTCGCCCACTCACCTCGCTCACTCACCTCGCTCATTCACTCACACCCTCACTCACTTGCTCACTTCACTCACTCAATGAATCACACCCTCATTCTCTCCCTCTCTCGATCGCTTGCTCCCCCACTCGCTCCCCCCCTCCCCACCCCACTGGCTGGCTATGCGCGGAGGCTAACAGGTGTGCTGTGTGCTCCTGTGCAGGTACCAGAGAAGGACGGGGGGTTGCCTCGCCAGGTGGGCAATAAGACGGAGTGCGGGCTGCTGGGCTTCGTGCTGGACCTGAAAAAAGATTACCAGCCCATCCGGGACCAGATGCCAGAGGAGAAGCTGTACAAGGTTTACACCTTCAACTCCACCCGCAAATCCATGAGCACTGTCATCAAGATGCAGGACGGCAGCTTCCGCATGTACAGCAAAGGCGCCTCGGAGATCGTCCTGAAAAAGTAATTACCTCTCTGCCCTCTCTCTCCCCATAATGTCTGTGCTGGGGCTCGCTCCCCCACTGGAGCTCTCTCCTCTAACCCCATTCCCTGCTCTCTCTCTCTCCCCATCGTGTCTGTGCTGGGGCTCGCTCCCCCACTGGAGCTCTCTATTCTAACCCCATTCCCTGCTCTCTCTCTCCCCATCGTGTCTGTGCTGGTGCTCGCTCTAATTCTAACCCATTGCCTGTCTGGTTGATGGTTGACATGAGTTGGCTTCACTCTCAGATGTTCTCGAGTGCTGAACCTGGCCGGTGAGCCCCGCCTGTTCCGACCTCGAGACCGGGATGAGATGGTGAAGCAGGTGATCGAGCCCATGGCTTGTGACGGGCTGAGGACCATCTGCATCGCGTACCGGGACTTCGCCGAGACCCCCGAGCCTGAGTGGGAGGTGGAGAACAACATCCTGACGGACCTGACCTGCATTGCGGTGGTCGGCATCGAGGATCCTGTCAGACCTGAGGTAGGTCTGTCACCATCGCCCTCTAGCAAAGCTGGGCTTCCTCCATCATCATCAGTAAGTCATTAATAATATAATAATCCTTGCATTTAATACAGCTCCGTATCACGTGGCTGAGACATCTCAAAGCGCTTCACAGGATTGACTGTAAAGTATAGTGACTGTATTTTGTGGGCGCTGCCACGTAAGCAGAGGCCTCCTTCTCTTTGCCGCCCCGGGCGGGGTAGTTTGTGCCACGTTTACCAGCCAGGGCTTTGTGCGCCAGGTCCCAGAAGCCATCAGGAAATGTCAGCGAGCGGGCATCACCGTGCGGATGGTCACCGGTGACAACATCAACACGGCCAGAGCCATCGCCATCAAGTGTGGCATCATCCACCCCGGAGAGGACTTCCTGTGCCTCGAGGGCAAGGACTTCAACAGGAGGATCCGCAATGAGAAAGGAGAGGTGAGGCCCAGGGCGGGGAGGCCCAGGGCGGAGCTGGGTGGGGAGGCCCAGGGCGGAGCTGGGTGGGGAGGCCCAGGGCGGAGCTGGGTGGGGAGACCCAGGGCGGAGCTGGGGGAGGCCATAGGCAAACACATCGGAGGAGCTCCACAATGGAGAACGAGTCAACGGTTGAGTGATGCTGCCCTCAACAAGGAGAAGCTGTCCTCTCTCTCTCTCTCTCTGTCCCTCACTCGCTCTCTCTCTCTCTCTCTCTCGGGCTCTCACTCTCACTCTCTCTGGGAAACATTGGCAACATTCTGTTCATTTCACTATTTTGGGGCAAAAGACAATCTCTGAAAAACTGACCGTTTTTCTCTTAACGTTCCAGATTGAGCAGGAACGAATCGACAAGATCTGGCCTAAGCTGCGCGTGCTGGCTCGCTCCTCCCCCACCGACAAGCACACCCTGGTCAAAGGCGAGTGAAGACACTTAGCTCACCTCGTCAGTCCGTCAGTCAGGCAGTTACTTTGTTAGTTATAATAATCCTTGTATTCTAATTCCAACAAAAAGGTCCCAAAGCGCTTCACAGGATTTACTGTAAAGCCTAGTGACGTTTTTTTTAAATGAACGCGACAGATGATTTGCACATGGAGAATTCCTCATATACTGTCCTTGCCCCCCCCCCCCCCACCATCCCTGGCAGAGGGGAGCGGGTGGCAGTGCCGGGCAGGGGGTAGCGGGTGTCTGTGCCGGGCAGGGGGTAGCGGGTGGCTGTGCCGGGCAGGGGGTAGCGGGTGTCTGTGCCGGGCAGGGCAGGGGGTAGCGGGTGGCCGTGCCGGGCAGGGCAGGGGGTAGCAGGTGGCTGTGCCGGGCAGGGGGTAGCGGGTGGCTGTGCCGGGCAGAGGGGAGCGGGTGGCTGTGCCGGGCAGGGCAGAGGGGAGCGGGTGGCTGTGCCGCGGGTAGCGGGCGGCTGTGCCGCGGGTAGCGGGTGGCTGTGCCGGGCAGGGCAGGGGGTAGCGGGTGGCAGTGCCGGGGGGAGCGGGTGGCAGTGCCGGGCAGAGGGGAGCGGGTGGCAGTGCCGGGGGAGCGGGTGGCTGTGCCGGGGGAGCGGGTGGCAGTGCCGGGGGAGCGGGGCAGTGCCGGCAGGGGAGCGGGTGGCAGTGCCGGCGGGGAGCGGGTGGCAGTGCCGGGGGGGCGGGTGGCAGTGCCGGGGGGAGCGGGTGGCAGGCCGGGGGGAGCGGGTGGCAGTGCCGGGGGAGCGGGTGGCAGTGCCGGGGGGAGCGGGTGGCAGTGCCGGGGGGAGCGGGTGGCAGTGCCGGGGGGAGCGGGTGGCAGTGCCGGGGGGAGCGGGTGGCAGTGCCGGGGGGAGCGGGTGGCAGTGCCGGGGGGAGCGGGTGGCAGTGCCGGGGGGAGCGGGTGGCAGTGCCGGGGGGAGCGGGTGGCGCTGGCGTTGCTGGGTGTGTGCTGACCCCTGGTGGCGGGTGTGTTACAGGGATCATTGACAGTACGGTGCTGGAGAGGAGGCAGGTGGTGGCTGTGACAGGAGATGGGACCAACGATGGACCAGCCCTGAAGAAGGCGGACGTTGGGTTTGCCATGGTAACCATCCCCTCCTCTCCCTCCCCTCTTTCTGCCTCCCTCTCCCTCCCTCCCTCCCTCCTCTCTCCTCCCTCACCCACCCACTTCATACCCCAGTCAGTCACCACACGGCACAGACATAAACACATTCAATAATCATCGTATCCCATGTCTCAGAGCCTGAGTCACGCGCCCCCCCCCCCCCCCCCCACACACACCCACGCACACACCCCACACACACACCACCCACACACACAGCCACGCACACACCCCACACACACACACACACACACCATACACACACAGCCACGCGCACACACGCACCGCCACACACACATACTCGTACACACAAACACTGTAAACACTGACTGTAACGATGCTCGAAGCCCGGCCTGGCTGTTAGTCACACACAGGAGGGCGCTCAGGCTGTTACAGTAACACAGACAGACAGTGACTGTTATTACAATGGTGTCGGTGGCCTCTCACTGACTGTGGTTTGTGGTTGTTTCAGGGCATCGCTGGGACTGATGTGGCCAAAGAGGCCTCGGACATCATCCTGACCGACGATAACTTCAGCAGCATCGTCAAGGCCGTCATGTGGGGCCGTAACGTGTATGACAGCATCTCCAAGTTCCTGCAGTTCCAGCTGACGGTCAATATCGTGGCCGTGATTGTGGCTTTCACCGGAGCCTGTATCACACAGGTCAGAGCGTGTCCACACGCAGGCACACACACACATACACGCACTGACGTATACATGCAGACACGCGTATACACACACACGCATATACACACAGTCACACACACACATGTGGTCACACATATATACACACACGCGCATATATACACACGCGCACAAACACCTACACATACATACACAGCCTTGGAGTGTGTATCACACACACACAAACACGATGTGTACGTTGAGTCACTATATGCGGGCTGTCACTGTGTCAAACTGACAGTCACTACACTTAGTGGTAACTATTGGAAACACCTTCAGAGTTTGCTTGTGAGTGTAGATGTCAGTCCTCTGTTGGCCTACCGTATGGCCCAGACACGCGTCCGGTGTTAATGTGCCGGGTGGTGTGTAGCGTATGTTAATGTGCTGCCCTCTTGTGCTCAGGATTCCCCGCTGAAGGCCGTACAGATGCTGTGGGTAAACCTGATCATGGACACCTTTGCCTCTCTGGCTCTGGCCACCGAACCGCCCACCGAGTCTCTGCTGAAGAGGAAACCGTACGGCAGGAACAAGCCCCTGATCTCCCGCACCATGATGAAGAACATCCTGGGACACGGGGTTTACCAGCTCATCACCATCTTCACTCTGCTCTTCGTAGGTACGTCACCAGTGCCGTCCTCGCCCCCAACAGTCACTACTACAACAACAACTACTACTATACTGCGCGCACTCCGAGACGCTACCCTGCGGGAAAGCGCTGTATAAATACAAGTTGTTGTTGTTGTTGCACACGTGACATGTAAAATGCACACACTTTGCCACAGACAATTTCTTTCTCACCATTTCCCTGTTGAGAGTAAAGGAACAAGAGGCCATTCAGTCCATGAGGCAGACCTGCCCAGTGATTGGACACGGCATCAGGGGGGATCATTAATCCCATTTCTTCCCACCGTCCTTACATCCCAACTGTGTTCCAGGCTGACACTCCAGCACAGGGCAGGGGGGGAGAGAGAGGAACAACGACGACGACGACAATAACTTGCACTTGTATAGCGCCCTCCACGCCAGGCAGAGTCTCAGAGCTTAACAATATCAGAGACGCTGCCCTTCAGAGGAGACTCAACCGAGCTCCCCGTCTGTGGCTGTTCAGACGGAAGCAACACTTTAGGAAAAGAGAAGGGAGTTTCTCTCTCTCTCTCCCCTGATGTCTTCACTCTGTGGCTGTTTGTGGGAGATTGCCCTGTGCTAACGTGGGGCCACTGTGTTTGTGTGTAAAGCCACACACTCTCTGCCCCGGCCAGTGATGAGCTGGGAGCGGTTGTGCCCCTTGATGTACTAACTGGAGCAGACTGTTCTGACGGTGTGCCATGCGTGCTGTTTCAGGAGAGTCGCTGTTTCACATCGACAGCGGCCGGAACGCCCCCCTGCACTCGCCGCCCTCCGAACACTACACCATCATCTTCAACACCTTCGTCCTGATGCAGCTCTTCAACGAGATCAACGCTCGCAAGATCCATGGGGAGAAGAACGTGTTCGAAGGCATCTTCAGGAACCCCATCTTCTGCAGCATTGTCTTCGGCACCTTTGCCATCCAGGTAACAACCGCTGGGAACCCATAACAACCGCTGGTAACCCACTAACCAACGAGGGAGGTGGCAACTAGTGACGATAGTAACATAAGCGCTCTGGGGCGCTACCCTGCGTGAGGGGCACAATAAAAAATGCAAGTTGTTGTTGTTGTAGTAGTAACAGTGACTGTGTCTCTCTGGGCAGATCGTGATTGTGCAGTATGGGGGGAAGCCGTTCAGCTGCACCCCACTGAAGGTGGACCAGTGGTTGTGGTGTGTGTTTCTGGGAGTCGGGGAGCTGCTCTGGGGGCAGGTGAGGATTCCCGCCAACTCACTCCTCACGTCCTTCCCAATCCCCCTTGTCACCTGTTTATACCGGAAGCTACAGGGCCAGGCCGTCGCTACAGGGACAGTTAGAGTTACAGGTAACCGCTAGTTACTGGCAATTAACAATCACTGGTTACTGGTAGTTAACAATTATAAGCAATCGCTACAGTTGTACTGACAGGTAATGGCTAGTTACTGGTAATAGCTGAAGAAGTTTGTCCATTATCAAGAGATCAGCGGGAAGGATGCCATCCCATTGCTGGCGCGGACGTTCCCAGCTCGACACATTAACCTCTGCCGGTGCTGTCAATTCTCTGTGAAGCTTTCCTCACTTTGTGAATAACCATTTTGGGGAGAGCGCGGGAGAAGATGTTTAGACTAACGGCCCATTCCCTGGCCTCTCAGGTAATAAATGCTATCCCCAACGCCCGGCTGAAGTTCCTGAAGGAGGCGGGACACGGGACACAGAAAGACGACATCCCGGAGGAGGAGCTGAACGAGGACGCCGAGGAGATTGACCACGCGGAGCGCGAGCTGAGACGAGGGCAGATCCTGTGGTTCCGAGGCCTGAACAGGATCCAAACTCAGGTGCGATCAATGGCGATCAGAACCCAAACCTCTGGTTAACGAAGCCACAGCTTCCTGTCCCCTCACAGAGGCTGTAGACGTTGGGTTTGGTTTGGATCCTTTTTTACTGTCACGTTTCACTCACTTTGTATTTTAGTCATTACGTTTCACGCAGATTCACAAATGTCTCAGCCGGTGGCAGTGAAGAGGTTGATGTGTCGAGCAGGGAATGTCCTCGCCATCAGTGGGATACCATCCTTCCTGCTGATCTCTTGATTTTTCCTTCAACTGAATGTTCAGGAATGTGGCGGAGCCAGTGGATCCTGATCTAAACATTCGCCTCGCTCGGATTTGTCACAGAATTCCCAGAATGTGGAGCTGTGGCAAAGTGGCGATCGATGCGGAGACTGTACAACATTTCAAAGGCAATTGGATCCATTTGGGAAGGAATCTAAAAGGGAATGGATAAGGAGCAGGGAATGGGGTTAGAGTAGAGAGCTCCAGTGGGGGAGCGAGCACCAGCACAGACACGATGGGGGAGAGAGAGCAGGGAATGGAAACATTCTGCACCATCTTAAATTTTAAACCAAAATGGTTGGAGTTTTGGGCCACTTTTTAACCAACCAATAAGGGTCTATTTGTCTCACTGGAGAATGGGTCCCATTGACACCCAGGGTAAATGTCTGTGTCTGTCAGTCGTGCCGTGCTTGTGTTTGAGGGGGTGGGTGGGTGTGTGTGTGGGTGGGGGGGGTAGGCGCGGGGGCTCCTGTGGTGTTAACCTTGTGGTCGGTTTTCCCCCCTTTCCTGAGAAAACTCTCTCATTCTCTCCTCCGTTTGCAGATCGAAGTAGTGAATACGTTCAAGAGCGGCACTTCCTTTCAGGGGGCCCTGAGGCGCCAGTCGTCTGTGACCAGCCAAAACCAGGACACGACCACTCTCACTAGCCCCAGCCAGGTGTCGCTGTCCTCTCCCAGCGCCCTCCCCTCTCCTACCAGCAGTGCTGCTCCCCCTGGGCGTGAGTGTCTTAGTGTCTTCTTCATCCACAAGCTCATCTAGCGATTACTGTTAACCATTCGATAGCCTGTTTCCCGCTGGGCCAGGCTGTGCGTGTCTGAGGTCAAAATGTCTTTGTTTCTCCAGACAACTAGGGGCGCTGGGGACACGGCATGCAGTAGGCTGGAGCGAGGACAAGGTCGTGAGTCTGAGCCCGCCCGGCCTGTCAGTGAGCGGGAACGGCTTGTTGGGGGCTCACACGTCCCCAAGTTCAGTGTGTAAGCTTTCGAGTATCTGCCCAAAGACACCCCCCCCCAAAAAAAAAAATCCTCTGCTTTTTACCATGCCTCCTTAGAGAGCTCCACACAGTCTCTTGGTACCTTCCCCCACCTCCCCCTCCCCCCCTGTCACAACCAGCCAGGCTAGGCAACTCCAGGAACAACGCTCCACCCATCTTGTTTCACTTCTTTAAACCTTTTTTTTCCTTCCTTGCTAAATGGGGGACAGGAGTTGCTTTGAGAGCGACTGAGAAGACGGAGCCTCGGGAGAAGAGAGCTCCGCTGGAGAAACAACCGTCAATGTCTCGTCCCCAAAGTCTCTTGTCCAGTTGCTGTCCATCTCCTCGTTGTTTGTTTTCCCTGTCGTGCCGCAAGGACTCCGCTCATCCTGTGTCCTACATGTTTCTGTGTGGGTCCTCGTGCGGCTGCTCTGGGCTAGCCGCGAGGGTGCAGTGCCCAGCCGGCCTCTCGCTGGTCACTGCACTGTCAGCACTGGGCACCAGACAATAGGCTAAGGTCACAGGCAGGCGGCAAATCAACGTCACAAAAAGACTTGTAGCTGTTGATTTGGGTGGGTTAATGGAGCAGCAGCGCAGGATAGGGTAGAGTAGGGTTTGGAAATAACCATTCCTGTAAGACTGGAGGTTTGGGTTTAAATTGTAAATGATATACAGTGTGATTTAGTCCAGTGATCAGTTCCTCAGGCCTGAGCTGGTCGCCTCCAGGAGCTAACGTAATCCCTGAACCTGGTCCCAAACGCCAGGAGTCATAAACAAACCAATCTGGCTCTCCACAACCTTCTGGGTTTTTATTGTACAGATAGTGAGACAATAGTAATAATAATCCTTGCATTTGGTCAGTGTTTAACTTAACTAAAACTAGGAATCTAAAACTAGGGGTCACAGACTCAGGATTAAAGGTCAGCCGTTTAGACCCGAGTTGAGAAAACATTTCTTCACTCAGAGGCCAGTGAATTGATGGAATTCTCTACCCCAGAGGCTGTGGCTGCTCAGTCAGTCATTGAACATATTCAAGACTCAGATCAATAGATTTTTAAAACCTAAAGGGATTAAGGGATATGGGGAGAGGGCGGGTAAATGGAATGAGGTTAGAAGATCAGCTATGATCTTATTAAATGGTGGGGCACAGGCTCAAGGGGCTGAATGGCCTACTCCTGCTCCTATTTCTTATGTTCTTATGTTCTTAATCTGCTCTATAAAGCTGAACCTGGCTCAGTGATAGCATTCTTGCCACAGAAGGTTGTGGGTTGAAGCCCCCAAGTGGGGACTTAGAATCATGTAGTGTAAGCTAACGCTTCTCTCAAATTCTGGGGTTTGTTGCATTGACAGAGATAGTGTCCTTCAGATGAGACTTTAAACCGAGGTCCCGTCTGCCTGTTCAGATAGACTTTACAGATCTCGCAGCGCTACTCAAAAAAAGAGTGGAGTTTTTCTTGGTGCGCTGGCCAACAAATCCCTCACATACAAAGTATTGTTCACTCCGTGGCTGTTTGTGGGACATTGCTGTGCGCAATTGGCTGCCACGTTTCGACCACAGTACACAGTCGCTCCACTTTACAGCATATCTTGTGAAGAGTTCTGAGATGTCTCGATGACATAAGATGCTGTGTCAAATGCAAGGATTGTTATTATTGTAACTGCAGGATATTACCTTACAGTGTGGGATGGGAACCCTATGTGTAGAGACTCCCTCCTGGCCGGGAATCCAGTCTCTGACCCTCACATTGACCTGCTCTCAGCAAGTCTGGTTTTTCTTTGAATTTCTCCCCTCCAATGTTTCTGTTCGAGTTCTCTCCCCTTCTAAAGACGTCACATTCCTTCTTCTGGGGGGGAAATAACGGCTTCTGTATATGATTTCAAGTGTGTAATCATCAGGGAGTCTGCTTTGGGGGGAATTGCAGCCTCCCACACAACCTGTCCTCACCTGCCCCCCCTCCCAACCCACACACACTCCTTCCAGCCATACAGCCAGGAGCAGGGAGCAGGCTGTTGTTCCATCTCCCAAACCCAGGGATACCAAGGTCAACCATTTCCACAACCATTGAGATCAGGAACCCCAGAGAGAGAGAGGGTGGGGGATGGGGGGACATGGACCTCTCAGTGGGGTAGAGCCTGGGTCAGCCCCCTGGGGTGAGGGTGAGAGTTAGGAGAAATCTCTCCCTTTACCTTGCGAAGGACAAGTAGAGTCAGGAAGGAGATGGTGGAGGTCAGAAGGTTCCTCTGGGCCAATACTCGAAAGGTTACTGCCCAATATGCATGGCTGGTGCTAGCGTTCCTCATGTGGCCAGGCTTGTGAATGTGGCTGGTGTTTATCTGTCCCTCCACCCACCCGCATGTCCTGTGTCAATGTCAGTCTGTATCGCTCTTTATCCTCCCCCCCACCCCCCCCCACCCCCCCCTCTCCGCGCTTTCCCTGCTCACCCTCCACTCCCCATCTCTGTCCTGTCATGTGTGGACCTGCTATGAAGCCGCATTAACCCACAATCGTACCGTCCACATCCTCACTGTCTACTCTTCACCAGATCAGAGGGATCTAATTGTCACCTTCACCCCTCAACCCCTCCCCCGATGGGTCTCAGCATGTGACGTGCGATCAGACATTGCATTGTAACCGACGGACTTCACTGGGGGTCTCCCCACGTTTTGGTGTTTTAACGAGCGCTCTCTCCACTGCCTTCTCTCCAGTTATATTGCAGATCCCACGACCTTCCTCCCTCACTAAAGCACCAAACGCAGCCACATGTGAATGAATGAATGCTCCACTCCCTGCAGTGATCATGGGACACCCACTGCCTTAACCCTCCGCGGCCGAGCCGAGCTGTTCCACCCTCCCGCTGGGCAGCTGTGGTCCCACTCATCTCTCCCCCCCTCTCTCCCTGTCTCCCCCTGCAGATCCGGGTTGTGAAGGCTTTCCGCAGTTCCCTGTATGAAGGACTGGAGAAACCCGATTCCAAATCCTCCATTCACAACTTCATGACTCACCCGGAGTTCCTGGTTCAGGATTCCCAGCCACACATCCCGCTCATCGACGACACAGACCTGGAGGAGGACTCGGGGCTGAAGCGGCGGCCGAGTGCCCCCTCCTCCCCCAACAGGAACAACAACGCCATCGACAGCGGCATCAACCTCACCATCGACACGAGCAAATCAGCTACCTCGTCCACCCCCGGCAGCCCCCTGCACAGCCTGGAGACCTCGCTGTAGAGGAGCTCTCCGTCCGTGTGAGAGTGGGTGTCTGTGTGTGAGAGAGTGAGTGAGTGTCTGTGTGTGTGTGAGAGTGAGTGTCTGTGTGTGTGAGAGTGAGTGTCTGTGTGTGTGTGAGAGTGAGTGTCTGTGTGTGTGTGAGAGTGAGTGTCTGTGTGTGTGAGAGTGAGTGTCTGTGTGTGTGAGAGTGAGTGTCTGTGTGTGTGTGAGAGTGAGTGTCTGTGTGTTTGTGAGAGTGGGTGTCTGTGTGTGAGAGAGTGAGTGTCTGTGTGTGAGAGAGTGTCTGTGTGAGTGTGTGTGAGTGAGTGTCTGTGTGAGTGAGTGTCTCTGTCTGTGTGTGTGTGTGTGAGAGTGAGCGTCTGTGTGTGTGTGAGAGTGAGTGTCTGTGTGTGTGAGAGTGAGTGTCTGTGAGAGTGAGTGTCTCTGTCTGTGTGTGTGTGAGTGAGTGAGTGTCTCTGTCTGTTTGAGGACTCTGTGTGTGTGTGTGTGTGTGTGTGTGCGCTCTGGGACGCTATCCTGCGAGAAGCGCTATATAAGTGCAAGTTGTTGTGCAGGAGCAGAAACAGCAAAGCCCTTTTTGCGATTTGATAGCAACCGTTGGGTTTGTGTTTGCATTGCTCATCTGCTCTGCCCCGTGGGGAGGGGGTTAGCTCCTGTTAGCCCCCCACCCTCTTCATCATCATCTTCATCATCATCATCACGAAAGACCGAAAGGAAACACTTTTGAATGAATGAATGAATGAATGTTCTACGTCCGATTTCCCGCCTTCGGTCAGGAGAGGATCACTGATCGCGTCTCGAGTCATTGTCTCCGGTGGCACCGACCTGTCCCGCCCTCTCTGTGGCTTCTCTCACAAGTGCTTGTGTGGCATGATGGACGTCGTCGTGTAGATTAATTTAATGATAAACTTTGGGGGTTAGGGGAAGGGGGAGGGAAGGGGGGGGTGACAGAAGTTGCAAAGCTGAGTGTTTTTGCACAGGAGGATTGCACCTCCTGGTCAGAGGGACCACAGGCATTAACACATAGCCGCCCAGTTTCCTCCTGTTGTTTATTGCTTGGAATGCTGCCTTGTTTCTGCTTTAACTAACGGCTCTTTCTACTTTAACCAATTTATGTCCGGAAGGGGAATGTAATTTGTTTACAAAAAAAAACCTATAATAATCTCTTGTTTATTTGTAGGATAAAGAGTCTGCTCGTGTGGCTGTGTAACCTGATACTCTGTAAAGATTCACCTCTTTTAAGCGTTTTACTGACAGCTTCGTGCTGAATTTGCCTGCTTCTTTTTTTTGTGACATATTGTAGATATTGCTAGCAGAAGCCAAAATATAATAGGGAAATATTGTTCAAAAGAGTTAGCTTAATATTTACTGATCGTGGAGGATAAATGCAAGCATGGCTTCTTTACGTTTCTAGACTAAATCTTTAGCTGAAAGTTTTTTAAAAAAAGAGTTTCAATTTTATTTGGGACTTTGTCTGAGTTGGGGAAGGTCAGCTTGAAGTGTAACTTTGATTGAATTGTGCACATAATATATATATATATATATATAATATATATAAAACACTGTCAGATTATCTGCCTGTTAAAATGAAATGTTTCCAAATAATTATTGCCATGAGTGTGCGTGCGGTGGGTTTATTCAGAAGGGGATTATAAAAGTAAGTTATTCAGTACTGTATTTGCTTTCCTGTGTGTGTAAAAGAGAACAAATCAGAAGTGGTGAAATGTGATATTCAGCTGATCTGAGTTGGGGTTTGGTTTAAGGGGCATTTTATTTTTTAATAATAATTCACAGCTCGCGGGGAGTTGTGAGGTCGAGGGGGGGAGGGAAAGGGGATTGTTTTTTCTAAAGAAAATTAGTAAATCATTAGCCTCGTTGTTTCAATTTTTTAATTAATAATTTTAAAACAAAACAAAAAAATCACCTTCACGTTCTGCACTATCCGGTTTACGAATGAAACTCTCTGTGGTGTATTTAGCTGTGATTTCTCTCTCTGTGTGTGTGTGGTTTTTTTGGGGGGTTGAAAAAAATCAACCTTCCCTTCCTGCCGGCAATTCAGTGAGACCGACACTGACTGACTGCAGCGCAGACACTCAGCACAGCACAGCACAGCTGTGTGTGTGGGGGTTTCTCTATCTCTCTCTTTGAGGCTGAAGCTTTTCAACAAACATCTACAAAGCAGCGAATCGTGGAATCAGCCTTCGTGGCCTCGACATGATTTAAATACAAAGGGGATGAGTGAAGTGAAGGACTGTTTTCCTGCCTCCCTCCAGCTCTGCGTTCAGGACATCTGAACTACTGTACTGTATGGCCAATTCCAAATAGGTCTTGTACATAGTGAACAGGTTTAAAGCAGGCGCTTAAACACACTGACTGACTGGCTGCTCACTGTCTCCCTGGGACAGCTTTCCTGCCAATTTTAGCCACAAAACTAACGAATGGGGGGAAAAAACATGGATTTATTCGGACAATTCTGCAATACGAAAACTTGCTTGCTTCTTACCTAGAGTAATGTATTTATCAGCATGGTTTATTTTGTGAACATTTTAAGAAACTCATAATAAAAAGATTGCAGGGAGGAGCGAGCACTCACCTGACTCTGCCACACCTGACTGATATCTATATAAACCTAACTGTTCTCTCCCATCTTTTTATGACTTTTTTTATCCAGACGATAATTGTAAAAAAAATAAAACTATAAATGTCTTTGTTCATTTAATACTATGCAAAAAAAAAAAGTTATGCTTTTTCTGATTGTTGTTCTCTTTAACTGAGCCTGACCTGCTGGAATGTTTGTGTGAGTTAAGAAAGTCAGTGAAAAAAAAACAGTCTGTGCTGTAAATTCTTTTATAGTCTTGGAAAACTGACCCCTCGCTGCTTTTGCTGTCAAATGGAGTATTTGCGGGCAGCGAGGGGAAGCTTCGCCAAGCTAATTCTAATAAATACACAGAGCAGCATGGCTCCTTCCTTACACACCTTGAGCTGATGCACGTCATCGAATTCTCAGTCTGGTTTGGATGCTCTTAAGCACAGTGATGGGTTTCCACATGTGTTAGTCAACCGGCTGACCAGAAAAAAATAGGTGACACTCCTTCCTCGGTGTCTCATCAATAGCTGATCGTGGGACGCTCGGTAAATTTTCCTTACACTCAGCTCGACCCTGGTTCAAACCCCACATCGGACATTTTCGCCCAATAAGTACACAGTCACTACACTTTACAGTATATACTGTGAAGCGCTTTAAGAAGTCTTGAAGACATAATAAGGCGCTATATCAAATGCAAGGATTATTATTTGAGCTCACAGTCTGGGCTGATACTTCAATACGGCGCTGGGGGTGGGGTGGGGGCAGGGGAGAGCATCGCATTGTCAGACACACCGGCCTTCATGTGACATGTTAAACCGAGCTCCTGACTCAGCCCAGCCCAGGCTCAGAGGATTGAGAGATGGATTCTCATGGGAATGGGACTAGTGTCGGGAAGCAGTTCTTTACACAGCGTGGATCACTAGCTGGGGGGCTGGGGGGGGAGTTGTACCAGTTAGCACAGGGCCCTGGACTCATGTAAGAAACGACTGGATTTCATTGGGTTTTCTGGAAAGATGAGATCAAACAGATTGAAGGGGTTTCTTAGGCAATTAGCAATACATCGCCCGGAGGAGGCCATTCAGCCCCAGTGTCCCTGTGCCGTCTCTATTTAGTCCCATTCTACCACCTCTTCCCCCCCACCACCACCGTCCCTGTGAGCCGGGCTCCATCAGTGCCGGGCAGGTGCCTTTGCTCGACCAGAGGTATGTGTGTGAAACACAACAGCTGTTGAGGATTGTGTCAGAACGGCTGATGTAAGGAGCACCATAGTAACCATCTCTCAGCAATCTGTTAATGTAAACTCATCCAATGCATTATTCATCCCTCCAGGGACCGGAGAGGAGAGAGCAACAGAAATACCACAACAGATCAATGGTGATCCGTGGGGAATGAGCTTCCCCACACAGCAGCATCTGACCTGCTTATCCTAGTGTTTCCTTCCTCCACCTCCCCCCCCCATCCCCCCGAACGGGGCTGAGCTTTCAGTCACTGTCGACTTCTCTAAATTCCTCTGCTTCACTCCCTCTCTCCTTCGTCAGAAACCTTCCCAGATATCAGTCTCCAGCCCTCCACACACCCTCCCCTCTACCCAGCTTGCTCCACGTCTCGTGTGTGTGAACTAATTCCCTCCCCCCAACTCCCAAAGAAAATGTGGTCACTCAATCCGCGACTGTTTGTAGGGAGGCTGCTGTGTGAAATTGGCTGCCGTGTTTTGCCCACAAAATACACAGTCTCTACACTTTACAGTATATTCTGTGAAGTGCTTTGAGACATCTCAATGACATAAGGCGCTATAACAAATGGAAGGATTATTATAATTATGTGAAGCCCTTCGAGATGTTTTTTTCATGAAGGTACAAGTGCTGCATTTCATTGCAACTCTACTACACATTTACAATAACAAAAAAACATATTTATTCATTGCACTTGTACAGAAACCACTCACTTAGCCCATCATGTCTACTCTGATGTTTTTTTTACTATATGAGCCAACCACTCTAATCCCACTCTCACATTCGCTCCTGTAACCTTTGCTATTGCTCTTCAAGCATCTAATTCTGTTATTTAAATAATTTGAGGGTGTCTGCTTCAACTACGGTTTGTAATAGAGAATCCCACATTCCCACCGCCCTCTGTGTAAATTACATTTTTTTCTAGCCTCCCTTTTAATAATTTCTGTGATTAGTTTAAATGTGTGCCCTCTTGTGATTGACTCACCAACCAATGAAGATAATCTATCCCTATTTACCCTGTTGTAATCCTTCGTCATTTTGAAGATGTCTCATCAGCAGAACTCGTGCCTGGTAACGTGAGAGAATCTGCACTGCATGTTTAGATAACATTGGTCATTAACTTCAGGGCTGTTTGCGGGACGTCACTGTGCACAAATTGCTCACCCACAAATCGCACAGGCACCGCACTTTACAGTAAATCCCGTGATTTGAGACATCTTCCATGCTTGAAAGGTGTCGTACCGAATATAAGGATTATTATTATCATCTCGATTACTTTAATATCTTTCCTATAACCCAAAACTAGACACAAAGCTCCAATTGGCTTTGACCTGCAAATAACTATATCACTAACTTTCTATAAAAATACACATCAATCTCTCTTGTCCAAAGACAATCTATGACCAAAATCTGAGTAAGTCTGTTTAGTGTCATCGGACCAAAGCATCCTGACCAAACCATGCTTGGGCTTCATGGTAGTGTTAGAATCATGAGCTGACTATGTTACAATCAGGTGTCAGTCTGGCTCAGTTGGCAGCGCCCTCGCCTCTGGGTCAAAAGATTGTGGGTGCAAGCCCCGCATTGGGACTTTGAGCTGCCAGTCTAGACTGTTGGTCCAGCACAGTGCTGGGGGGAGAGAGCGCTACATTGTCGGAGACTCCGTATTTGGGTGAGATGATAATTGAGATATTATTGTCTGCTGAATCGGACATTAAAAGTGCCATTGACACAGTTGGAAAAGAGAAGGGAAGTTCTCCTGTGACCAGGGAAACGGAATGCACGGTAGCAGCCAGAGGTCAGTAATTCACTGAACGGGGGGAGAATTCTCAAATAAAAACAGAAGTGTCTGGGAACGCTCAGCAGGTCAGGCAGCAGCTCAAATAAAACAGGTCTTGCATTTGATATAAGCTCTGTAACAAATCCAAAGATTTTTTATTTATTTGCTTTAGAGGCTGCCTGACCTGCTGCGCGTTCCCAGCCTCTGTTTATATTTCAGGTTTCCAACAATGTGTAGCATTTTGCCTTTTAGGGATGACGATAAAAGGCAATTTATCGAACTGAAGGATTCTGCTCCCGATTGGAGTCCCTCCGTCGGTTGAGGTGGATGATCCCTTCCCTTTAATACGGTCCCTTTGAGCCGACACCTTCGCCTCCCAGCTGACACCTGCCCTTTAAGCAGCGCGCGGGCTCGGAGCGGCGGTTGCTGTGGAGACGGGGCCTCGGCCTCAGGCCTCAGCCACATTCAAACCGACACCGGCGGCGCCATGAGCCCTCAGGTCAGCCAGGGAGAGGCCGGGGGGGGCAACAGCAGCCTGGGGGGGGGGCAACAGCAGCCTGGGGGGGGAGAGTGTGGGGGGAGTGTGTGGGGGGAGTGTGTGTGTGAGTGGGGAGTGTGTGGGGGGAGTGTGTGAGTGAATGGGGAGAGTGTGGGGGGAGTGTGTGTGTGAATGGGGAGTGTGTGGCGGGAGTGTGTGTGTGAGTGGGGAGTGTGTGAGTGAGTGAGGGGGGAGTGTGTGAGTGAGTGAGGGGGAGTGTGAGTGAGGGGGAGTGTGTGAGAGGGTATGAGGGGAGTGTGCGTGAGGGGGGAGTGTGGTGAGGGGGGGAGTGTGGTGGAGTGAGTGGAGTGGGGGGAGTGTGCGTGAGGTGGGAGGGGGGGAGTGTGCGTGAGTGGGGGGGAGTGTGCGTGAGGGGGAGTGTGCGTGAGGGGGGGGAGTGTGCGTGAGGGGGGGGGGGAGTGTGCGTGAGGGGGGGAGTGTGCGTGAGGGGGGGAGTGTGCGTGAGGGGGGAGTGTGTGAGGAGGGTGGGGGGGAGTGTGCGTGAATGGGGAGTGTGAGTGAGTGAATGGGGAGTGTGAGTGAGTGAGTGGGGAGTGTGAGTGAGGGGGGAGTGTGAGTGAGGGGGGGGGGGCTGTCTGGGCATTGCCTGCAGACAGTCACTACACTCCTGAGTGGCTTTCACATGACGAGATGCGAGTTCGTTCCTATAATATCACCGACGATTGTCTTGGGCAAAACCGCTCACTGACTGCACGGCAGTTTGCGGGGACGTCGCTGTGTGTAAACTGGGCTGCTGCATTCACCCACAAAACACACAGTCACTACACTTTACAGTAAAATCCTGTGATGTGCTTTAGGACGTCCTCCTGACATGCGAGGAGCTGTGTCAAGTGTGAGGATTGTTATTGTTAATATTTTCTGAGGCTTTCATTTTCCTTTATTTATTCTGTAGGATGATCCAGCCTTGGAAAGGCACTTCAAAGGTCACCGAGATACCATCACAAGCGTTGACTTTAACCCAAACATGAAGCAGTTGGGTATGTGCGCTCACAGACGTGTGGTTTAGCCTTGCCCAGAACAACAACAAAGCTCACATCGGGGAAGGATGTGGTGCGCGCGAGTGTGTGGTGTGACTGCGAGTATGTGTGTATAGGGCGGAGGGTGGGTGTCCTATGGTTACATCAGTTTAAACATATCTGTAATGAAGCCAGCTTTCCACAGTTGTTCAAAGAACTGGCTTCCAAATGACGCCTAAATTTTACGTATTCCAAATTTCCAATCTGTTGTATACCGTAAGAAGATGGATTTAAGGCTAACTGACGCCTGAGAGACTGTGGGTCCTCGGTGTTAGGGTAAGTCCCCAAGTTGGAAACCATGTATGTAAACATGGGAACATGCAGGAACGGAGATACCAACTTTGGGATGAGACGTTAAACCCGGGTCCCGTCTGTTCCTGTTCAGGTGGATGTTAAAGACCCCGTGGGTGGACCGCATTGACAAAGAGAAGGGAGTTTCTCTCTCCCAGCCAACAATCTCCTGGCTAAATCGGTCATTCACTTCACAGCTGATTGTGCTCAACCTGACCGCAGCATTGACCTACAAACGGTGGCTACACTTGGCTGCATTTCGCTGTGAGATGCTTCCACGTTGCAGGGTGATAGCAAATGAAAGGATTACGTAAAAGAGCTGTCCCAAAGTCATTTTTAATTTTAAAAAAATCCTACACCACCCCCATCGCTCAGCAGCCCTCGGTTGAATTCTACACCAGATAGCTGCGCAATTCCCTCTTGCGTTTGCGGGCATGATCTACTTCCATACTGCTGCTGATGTGATGCATAATTGATGAGTATCTGAAGGATGGTTGGCACGTTTCCAGCAGTTGTCAGTGTTTTGTGTACCAGATGCCTGAAATTGCACAACTACTTGTGAAGGATGACAGCTCTAGTATTGGCTTGTGTATGGAGTTGAGTTCCAACAATGCTAAACAGATTTCTGCAAAGGGAACATTGTCCTCTCCCTGACAGTTGCAGTCTTAACCCATGACAGTTGTTGTTCTCAAGCACTTTGAGTGAATAAGGCACTATGGAAATCCAGTGCTCAGTCACTACACTTGACACAAAATCCCCTTCTGAAGCGCTTTCAGATGTATTGATTGTTACTCTCTGATCCCAACCCTCATTGTCAAGTGCTTTGGGATGTCCTCCCGACATGAAAGGGCTGTATAACTGCAATTTATTGTTGTTGATGCTGTATCAAATGCAATGATTCTTTCTTTAATTCGCTTAGTGTTTCCTGAAAATCACCACGAGGTGGTGCCAGACATCAGCTGTTTGCCTGTTTACTGGCAATGCAGAAGCAGTCACTGAGCATTAATGTGGCTTTATCAAACATCTTTATGTGTGTGTGCGTGTGTGTGTGTGTGCCCAAGTGTGTTAAGCGCTCAGGGATGCTACCCTGAGTGAGGAGCGCTGTATCAATGCAAGTTGTTATTGTCCTCTGCAGGTTTGCTAATGAGAATGGGAAGTGATTTTTCTTTATCTCTCTTCTCCAGCGACAGGCTCGATGGATTCCTGCCTGATGATCTGGAACCTGAAGCCACAGATGAGAGCATACCGCTTTGTCGGCCATAAGGATGCCATCCTGTCCATCCAGTTCTCACCGTCTGGGAACCTGGTGGCTTCTGCCTCCCGGGACAAAACAGTCCGCCTCTGGGTGCCCAGCGTGTAAGCAACATTCTGTCCTGTCGAGAGGTTGTACAACGAGGAAGACGGGCAGTCACTGAGAGCCAGTCCATCAGAGTGGAGACTATTTACAGAGCTATTTCGTTGATGCTTTCCAGATCTTGACCTTAAAACGAGGGCAAGTTGGGTTTGGATGGAGGCAAAGAAGAATGTCTTCCGGGAAAATGTGATCAGGGTTTGGAATGTTCTGCCCCAGAAAACCACAGATCTGGAATCTGTTAGGTTTCCTGGGCGTCCGGTCTCTGTAGAAGGAGAAAACAATCTACAGAATTGTTAGTGTTTAACTGTCAAGAGATTTTTCCTCCTCCTCATACTCCCATGACGACCCCTCAGATACATGAGGAACTAACACCAAAGGCACAGGCAGCACATTTCGAGATGTTGGGGCTCTACCTATTACTACAAAATATTCCGCAATCCTTTTTTGCAGATGACAGCCACATGTTGATATTACATATAAGATTTTATTTTGATATATTTAAAGGTACTTATAAATGAACATAATAAGCGAGCACCAGCACAGACACGATGGGGAGAGAGAGAGCAGGGAATGGCTGTCCCTGGGTTTGCATGCAGAATCTGATAACCAACCAAGTTTTGAGAGAGGTGAAGCGAGGGTTACGTGATTAACATCTGAGGAAGTGCAAAAGCTTAAACCTTATCATTGATACATGACTGTGAGGAATTGTCATTTTCCCACATCAAAGCACTAGTCAGTGGTGTGTGAAGTCTCTGGGTGCTTGTTATCTGTAAACATTGTCACTCATAAACTCAAGCGAATTTCCTACTTCAAAGCTAGATAGTTTACTCCTCATGGTGCAATGCCTGATTAGTGGTGGGCTATGAGATGGACACAGCAATGAACCAGAGGGATGGTGTGGTGAAGGGCAGAGAATTCCCAATCCGAGTCGTAAGGGTGGCTTTTCATCTTTAATGCATTTTTAAATTGACTTTAAACCAGTCGGTGTCTGACAGAGGAATGAGTGCCTCTCGCTGCCCAATGAATGACTCCCAAAGCCACGGCTGTTATTTAGTCCCGTGAGGAGAGTTCTGTTCATAATGTGTTGCCTGGTTCAGTCGGTCGAACTCTCGCTGCTGCGGTTGTGGGTTCAAGCCCCACATTGGGACTTGGAGCTCACAATCCATGTTGACACTCCAGCGTAGTATTTGTGGGAGGGGGGGAGGTCGCCACCACATTGTCATCCTTCGGATGAAATGTTAAAGCAGGGTCCCAAATGCCGTTTAGGTGGTCATTAAAGATTCCACACAACGCTATTGGAAAAGGGAGGAGAGTTTTTCCAACAAAAATATAATTGCTCATTCACCTCATGGCTGTTTGTGGGACATTGTTGTGTGCAAATTGATTGCTGCGTTCACCCACGAACCCAAAGCATTTTGAGACGTTTCAAAGTGATGAACCACTATGTCCAATGTAAGGATTGTCATCATCTGGCGATAATTAAGCAATGGAATGTGTTTGGGAATATGGGAAGCACTATTTTAAGGGATGTAGTTCGTGAATGGAGCAGTACCGCTTGCTGGCCACCTGGTGGCGCTCCAGTGACAGCATTTGTCATGGTGAACCAAAGGCAGTGTTTTGTGCTGTAACTGAGTGCTATCTGCTGCCCAGGCCAGGGGGCAGGGGCTCAGGCCAGGGGGCAGGGGCTCAGTGCCCAGGCCAGGGGGCAGGGGCTCAGTGCCCAGGCCAGGGGGCAGGGGCTCAGTGCCCAGGCCAGGGGGCAGGGGCTCAGTGCCCAGGCCAGGGGGCAGGGGCTCAGTGCCCAGGCCAGGGGGCAGGGGCTCAGTGCCCAGGCCAGGGGGCGGGGGCTCAGTGCCCAGGCCAGGGGCAGGGGCTCAGTGCCCAGGCCAGGGGGCGGGGGCTCAGTGCCCAGGCCAGGGGGCAGGGGCTCAGTGCCCAGGCCAGGGGGCAGGGGCTCAGTGCCCAGGCCAGGGGCTCAGTGCCCAGGCCAGGGGGCAGGGGCTCAGTGCCCAGGCCAGGGGCGGGGGCTCAGTGCCCAGGCCAGGGGCGGGGGGGGGGGGGGGGGGGGGGGGGGGGGGGGGGGGGGGGGGGGGGGGGGGGGGGGGGGGCTCAGTGCCCAGGCCAGGGGGGGGGGGCTCAGTGCCCAGGCCAGGGGGCGGGGGCTCAGTGCCCAGGCCAGGGGCGGGGGCTCAGTGCCCAGGCCAGGGGGCGGGGCTCAGTGCCCAGGCCAGGGGGCGGGGGCTCAGTGCCCAGGCCAGGGGGCGGGGCTCAGTGCCCAGGCCAGGGGGCGGGGCTCAGTGCCCAGGCCAGGGGGCAGGGGCTCAGTGCCCAGGCCAGGGGGCAGGGGCTCAGTGCCCAGGCCAGGGGGCGGGGCTCAGTGCCCAGGCCAGGGGCGGGGGCTCAGTGCCCAGGCCAGGGGGCGGGGGCTCAGTGCCCAGGCCAGGGGGCGGGGGCTCAGTGCCCAGGCCAGGGGGCGGGGGCTCAGTGCCCAGGCCAGGGGGCAGGGGCTCAGTGCCCGGGGCAGGGGCTCAGTGCCCGGGGCAGGGGCTCAGTGCCCAGGCCAGGGGGCAGGGGCTCAGTGCCCAGGCCAGGGGGCGGGGGCTCAGTGCCCAGGCCAGGGGGCAAGGGCTCAGTGCCCAGGCCAGGGGGCAGGGGCTCAGTGCCCGGGGCAGGGGCTCAGTGCTCAGGCCACACACAGGCCAGGCAGCATGGTACAGACGTAGAGTAAGAGGTACTTGTGTGTTTTCACCCTGCTGTGTAAGAGGCACACTTAAGCAGTCTCTTCAGACGAAGTGTTGGAGGTACTTCAGTGCCAGGGAAGCTTCAAACAGACAGATTCTCATAGGTGGCTTACAGGTAGTAATTACAGGCTGTAGTGAGATGCAGGTGTGCTATAGCTCAGGGCTAGGCGTCTCGCTCTTGTGACAAAGGAACACCACAGGCTTTGCTTTACAGTGAAGATTTCTGTATAACCCCTAATGAGATGAATTCTTTATAACATAAGACGAGGCTATTGAGCTCATTATGTCTGTGTTGGTTGTTGCTCCCCCACTGGCACTCTCTACTCTAACCCCATTCCCTATTCTCTCTCTCCCCATCTTATCTGTGCTGGTGCTCGCTCCCCCACTGGCGCTCTCTACTCTAATCCCATTCCATTCTCTCTCCCCATCATGTCTGTGCTGGTGCTCGCTCCCCCACTGGAGCTCTCTACTCTCACCCCATTCCCTGCTCATTTACTATACTATTTTTTATTGTACTTTAAATGCGTACCCAGTTACCTTTTAACAGCATTGGTGAAGTCTCATAATAAAATGTTGAAGAGTATAACATATTGCTAATGATATAGAAATTAACATCAATCCCATTGTTGGCAGAGGTTACAAAATACTGCATCTGGAAATTATCAGATATTTATTTGGCTGAGAAGTTAAACTGAGATTCCCGTCTGCAGCATCGTGGATGTTAAAAATAATAATAATAATCCTTGCATTTGATAGATATTTGTGGAGGACAAAGTTGTAGGGCTATGGAGAGAGAGCGGGGGAGTGCGATTAATTTGGACAATTCTTTCAAAGAGCCAGTATGGACACGATGGGCCGAATGGCCTCCTTCTGTGCTGCATGTTTCTTATGATACAGCGCCTTATCACGTCTTCAAAACATCTCAAAGAGCTTCTAGGAATATACTGTAAAGTATGGTGACTGTATTTTGTGGGCAAAACATGGCAGGTAATTACGCACAGCAATGTCCTACAAACAGTCGTGGATTGAGTCACCAAATTATTGTTATTTTTATTTATTTATTTGAAGGGATTGTTACTCTCAGAAAAGCAATCTACCAATCGACTAACAACCGGGTTCTTACTTACTGCTGGGTAAACGGAGGCATCTGTGTGTGTGTGTGTGTGTGTGGAGCAAGGAAACTTGCCTAAGGTTTCACACTGATCCTGAGAGGAGCAGGGAGCCTGACTTTCTCCCCCAGATTTCTCCATCGTGCAAAGTTCACCTGACTCAGAGTAATCGGTCGCGTGTGTGTGTTGTGTTCACAGGTTGAATAATTTTCCACAATTCTGGGCCATTGTAAAGCTTAACGTAAAATAATCTGACATTAAACTGCACAAGTTAGAGGCTCAAAGACCCTCAGGGACTTTGTGCCTCTAACTTGTGGGGTTTAATGTAAAGGGCACAATGAATGTGTGAGGTCGGTGTCAGTGTCTGGACACGTAGTGTGAGCAGCGATTGTGCTCGTCGGTGGGTGTGGAGTCGCACAACGCACTTATGGAAAGATACAAGACCTGGAAGAACGTGACTCAATTAAAAGACCTCGGAGGGCAAGTGCTCAGTGTTTGTTGCTGGGCAACGGGGAGAGTACACATAGAAGTTCAGCAAATAAATTGAACGCTAATGGGCTGCTCTGTGCTAAAGAGAAGCAGCTCCACTCGGCATCAGAAAGCTGAAAGCAATTTGTGTCCACACGCAGTCAGTCCCCAGGCAGTGGGTTTGAGTAAAGTGGCTGAGCTGTGGTTGCTCTCAGTATACAGTGTGCCTCTAACCCTGTGCGTGCCCTGAGCTAAAATTAAATCCTGTTTTTTATTTGGAACACCTTCACAAACTACAGAAATGCATCGCTTGGTATTTTACATATTCTGGTCCTGGCTTTAATAGACTATAATGTGAGTCCTGCTATCAGTGGCTGCATCAAGTACAGTGCTCACAAAATACACAGTCAGTTCACTTTATAGTATATCCTGTGAAACGCTTTGAGACGTCTCAACGATGCAAGGATTATTATTGCTGTAGCATTAGATGCCAGTGTGTGCTTCCTAACAGCAGGCACTAACTAACATACTGTTGCTGTTGGTTATGTACAGGATAGGAAGCCCTGTTTCTGTGTTGTTATTGACTGGCTAACAAAGTGGTAACACCAGAGGTGAGCTCAGAGCTGAGCCCCAGGGTTTACAGACGGGTATCAGATGTGCAGAGGACTTTAGATCTTCAAGTCGGGGATTTGATTAAGGATTCACCACTTAAACCTGCCCGTGAAGTAAAGATAAAAGGACCAAACGGCATTATCAAAGTGTCCTGAACTACAGACTCCTATACTATGCTCCTGTCACTTTATACTATAAAGTGAACTGACTGTGTATTTTGTGAGCACTGTACTTGATGCAGCCACTGATAGCAGGACTCACATTATAGTCTATTAAAGCCAGGACCAGAATATGTAAAATACCAAGCGATGCATTTCTGTAGTTTGTAATTCTTTCCTGTAACCCGTGTACTTTCTGTTTGTCAATTTAAATCCACCCATTTCCCAGAGTTAGAAACTGAAACTGTGGCTTGTTTTATTTGTGTTGGAGACTGGATGAATGTGATTTTCTTATCGGAATGAAAAGGCGTTCTGTTTGACTGTGTTTTCATATCTCTGCCCCCACCCCACTCCCTGGACTATACAATCTCTCTCTCCCCTATGTGTGGGGTGGGGGGAGGGGGAACGACACCCAAACCCGTGCTCACACATTGGGAACCCCAGAGTGCTTATTATTGTATTTGGGATTTAAAACTGGATATGTGTTGTATTGGGGGAGGGACTGTGTGTGTGTGTGTGTGTGTCTGTATGTATGTCTGTGTGGGTGGGGGGGGAGAGGTTGTCCAGCGTGGAGGGTGCTATATAAATCCAAGTTGTTGATGTGCTGTGGGAGGATGTGTGCACGTGTGTCTGTGTATGTGTGTGCCATGTGAGGATGTGTGAGAGACTAAATAAATGTTGTGCTTCACTGGGAGGATGTCCCTGTGTCCCTGCAGGAAGGGCGAGTCCACGTTTTTTAAAGCTCACACAGCGACCGTGCGCAGCGTACAGTTCTCCTACGATGGGCAGACGCTGGTCACCGCCTCCGATGACAAGACCATCAAAGTGTGGGCCGTGCATCGGCAGAAGTTCCTCTGCTCTCTGAACCAACACATCAACTGGGTTCGCTGTGCCAAGTGAGTAGGTTCTCTTGATTAATTATCCCAATAACCCACTCACCTGCCCCTAGGATGTCAAAACATCTCCAAGCCTTCCCCATAGAATTACTGTCGGGTGTAGTGACTATTTGTTTGTAGGTCAATATAGCTGTCAATTCACACACAGCAACATCCCGCGCACAAAGCCACGAGAGTCAACAAACAGATTGTCTGGAGGACTATTGACCAGGACACTGGAAGAAACTCTTCTCTTTCCCAATAGTGTTGTGGGATCTTTAACGACCACTTGAGCAGGCATCTTATTAACATCTCATCCAAAAGATGGCACCTCTGATAACGCAGCACTCCACCACTACTGTATTGGAGTGTCAGCTCAGGTGTGGGGCTGGAAGGTACCCAGTGGTGAGAGATCACTGACTGAGCCAGGCTATTACACCCCAGTGGAAACAAGTCTTTAACGTACGGGTTTGTTATTGTGTGATTTAAGATTGATGTGAGAAGGTGCCCACAGCAGCACACAGTCACTAACGTTACAGCCAGTGTCACGGAGTGAACGGGCTGTTCAGACTGAATGACTTTATACAGAGGACGGGAAGTGTGTGGAGCGGATGTGGGGGTGAAGGTAGATTGTGTCAGCAAATTCAACGTGGAATTAGAGCTCGCTGTTGAGGGGTGAGTGAATGAGAGAGAGTTGTGTAGGATGGAGATGAAGTGTGATGATGTACCTCGCTCTGTCTGTGAGGGATTACCAGCTAGCGTCAAGCACTCTGGGACCCTACCCTGCATGGGGGATGCTGCCTTGCGTATCAGGTGCTACATAAATGCAAATTGTTGTTGTTGTTGTGTTCCAGCCACATGGATTAGTGCTGACATTGAGCAACTGCTTACACTTCAGCACAGGCTATTTTCCTTTCTCGCTGCTCTGATTTTATTTTGATATTTTCTAGATTTTCTCCAGACGGGCGGCTCATCGTCTCTGCCAGCGATGATAAAACTATTAAAATTTGGGATAAAGCGATGAGAGAGTGTATCCATTCCTTCTACGAGCACGGAGGGTGAGTGGCTGAGCATGGTGGGGCTGGGGCTGGGGCTAGCATGTGGGGGTGGAGGTGCTGGTGGAAGACGAGTGACGAAACAAAATGGCAGAAATTTTAAATGGGCCAAAAAGAAAAAAAGAAACTTAGCCATTTGTTTTCTCCCAAAAGCTTTGTTAACTACGTGGATTTTCACCCAAGTGGCACATGCATCGCTGGAGCCGGGACAGACAACACTGTGAAGGTCTGGGACGTGCGGATGAACAAGCTCCTGCAGCATTATCAAGGTGAGCGGCACAGAGTGGTTACTCCCTGGAGTTCGCTGGGTTAATGGCCGAAGGGGAAGTGTAGAGGAGCGGGTGGTTTGGGAGCTCGTGCGAGCCTGTGGTTGATGCAAGCGGAGCAGGTGATATTGCAGCTGTGCGGGCGAGGCCTGGGCTGGTTTGGTCTTGCTGGAATCCTGAGGTTAGGCTGCAGGTTTCTGCCACTTCTGCACTGGGATTTTTTTTGCCCCAAGACTTGAGACCTCACCCTGGAGGGAGGTGTGGTGCAGAGTGATGGGGGAGGGGAGTGGCTCTGGCCCCACGAGGAGGCGTTGTATCAGAATACAGTGGAAGCTGCTTAAACCAGGCACATGGGCCCAGCTGATTTGTCCGGCTTAAGTGGTTTCCACTGTACAAGGATGATAATTATTAGCATCTCAAAGTGGTATGAGCAGCACCGTGGCCGATTACCCGAGAGATAGTGCTGGGGGGGGTTGGGTTTGTGGGGTCGGGGGGTGGTGGCTGATTGGGAAGCTGTGGTGTCCTCACACCTGGTCGCTGAGCTCTATGTTTATCTGCAGTGCATGCCGCTGTGGTAAACAGCCTGTCCTTCCATCTCACCGGCAACTACCTGGTCACTGCTTCAAATGATTCCACCCTGAAAATACTGGACCTGTTGGAGGGCAAGTTACTGTACACCTTGCACGGCCATCAGGTAAGTGCTTCACCTCACCCCTCCCCTTGTATACTTGTTCTACTCACTCCTTCCTCTCGCTTGCCCCCTCCCACTCTGAGAGAATATTTGGCCCCAGTGAGCTTTTTTATGTGTGATATTGAACTGATTTTGGGTTGCGAACAGAATGGGGATGTAAGTAGGTCACTAAATTAGCGTGTGGGCCATAATTAGCCCGGGTGCCAGTTGTATTTCTGCCTCTTGCACAATCGCCGAGATGATATTCCATCAGGATGCAAAAGATTAGCTCAAGTATTTCACAAAGGAATTGAATTTGGAGCAGGTTATTTCGAGAACTTCGCCTCATGTTTCCATGTGGTGTCGAGCCTGGGCTGACCTTTCATACATTTGCTGTGAGGTAGAGGTTACTTTTACAATCTCCTCCTTACCTAAATACAACTCAAAATGTAATTAAAAAGGCATTATATTACAACAACATCAACAATAAATGACTTTTACACAGCGCTTTTCAAGTCGGAAGGACATCCCAAAGCTCTGGACAGTTTATGCTTTGCTCCCGAGCTGGGGGTTGGATTTGAGAGGGGTGGGGGCTTTGAGGACCTGAATGAATCCATGTCCGCAGCAAGGTACAGCGTTCAGGGACTATGAAGGTCTTTGCAGTTCTCACAGAATAAATAGTTAAAAGTTTATTCCTGCTGGTTGGTGACCCCCCCTAGTGAGGAAGGTGCTGTATGAATGTAGGTGATGGTTGTTGTTGTGGTGGTGGTGGTAGTGAGCGGTATCAGCTCAGCAGTGTCACTGGAAGGGCTCAGTACTTGAGGCCAGAACACCGGGTAAAAGTCCAATCTCTTTCCCAACAACAACAACAAAATTACATTTATAGAGCGCCTTTCATATCAGGAGGACGCGGTGTCATGGCATCTTTAATGTCCCTCTGAACAGGTAGGACGTACGTACAACATGTCATTCGAAGGACGACATGTCTAACAATGCAACATTCTCTTTACCTCCATCTGCCCCGTTCATCCCTCGCCCCCCCAGCACTGTGCTGGAGCTGCAGCCTGGACAGTGAGCTTAAAGTCCTCAAAGCGGGACTTGAACCCACAACCTTCTGACCCCATGGCGAGAGCGAGAGTGAAAGCGCGCCTGGCTGAGCCAGTCGCAGTGATGTGCTGCAGCCTGCAGTGAGGGACAGAGCAGACGGCACATGTGCAGGCGGAACAAACGTGGGAAACTCGAGACCCGACAGAGCAGCGTTTCCTCTGCTCCCAGGACAGGCTGTTCTGAGAAATCCCTCAGCTGTGGCTCCCTTTGTGTGAGGGAACGTGTCTGTTTCCCACTTGGCAGCGTATTCCTGTCTGGCAGCTGAGCAGCATTCTGGGAGGGACTGAGGAAGTGATAGATTAAAGGGGGGGACGTGATAGCACTCCCAACACATACTTTGACGTAACAGGACCTGTGTCGGAGTGGTCTGGTATGTAAGTTACCAGCTGATCATTGCTGGCTGACGTGAGGAGAGGGGCCAAGTTTATACTCCCTGGGCAGAATCCTGACTCGCTTGGGGTGTGTGTATAAACCTCTCAGTGTTGGGCTGGTGACATTTTAACAGTTGCTTTCCCTTATATGCACTTGTTTCAATGTAGGTGATGTTCAGTGCATCAGCTAGGAGAGAGCGCAATGACTTTGTTTAACACTGCTTCAGTATAAGATATGAGCTCTCAGTCCAGGCTGATAGTCTGGCGCAGCGCAGCGCTGGGGGGAGTGAGTGCTGCATTGTTAAAGATGCTGTCCTATGGATGAGGCATTAAACCGAGTCTGTGCCCTGTTCAGATGGACGACAGACCCAGACCGCAGCACTATGGGGAAAGGGAGGGAGTTTCACCAGGGGTCGTGGCCAACCATCCCCAAATAAATTGGACCCTCACTTCACTGCTCTGTATAGGGAGCTATCTATGTTTGCTCAGAGATGTAGTGGCTACACTGAAAGCAGTGCCCTGGGAAGCGCTGTGAGCATGTCCTGGGGGCTGTATCACAGGCGAGGATTATACACTGACTAAAGGGTGGGTCGGTTCTGTCATGTTGAAGGACACTGTTGGGGCCGATGAGCTTAGCTTTGGGTTTCAATGCAGTGTCCTCGCTAATGAATCCTACAGCAACTTGCCTTTGTACCAGCTCTCCTGGGGGAGTGAAATCCAATCTCTTTTATTTTAATTCTTGTCATTCCTGTAGCTTTTGTTACAGCCCAGATTAAACCTATGTCATTCTCCCCATTTGTAGGGTCCCGCTACCTGTGTGGCTTTTTCCAGAGATGGTGACTACTTTGCTTCAGGTGGTTCAGATGAACAGGTGGGTCTATCTCGCTCTCTCTCACGTTCTCTCTCCGCACTGCTTGCTGCTAGTTTAGATGCAGGAGCTTTAGATGTTGCTAACCTGTTACCAAGGTAGACATCTCCTCCAACCTCCACTGTGTCAAACAAAAGATGAGATTTTCTCCAAATTGACTCTTCTCAAATTCCCTCTTTATCCAAATTCCCCCGAAGATTGCAATAACATGTCTACTCATCGCTTTGTTGTTGGTACAGATGAGCTGTCAGCAATGCCTTGCGAGGTGCTTTCAGACATTAGGATGTTATTGGCACTTTTATCAGCCAGGCTTTCTCTTACCCTCTGCGCGGCTCAGATTGGGAAATGGGATTTCTCCAGGACGGAAGGTCCTAGTTTACAGTGTACCAGCAATCTCAACGTTTCCAATCGACTGATTTCCCCTTGGGTTCCCTGCGCCGTTGTTGCCCCAACTCTCCATTACGTTATCAACAACTTGCATTTATATAGTACCCTTCACACGGGTTAATGTCTCAGAGCCCTTATTGCTGTTATCACTGAGCTGTTTTTTTTAATCCACCAATTATTACCTCCCCTCTCTGCAATCCCAGAATGTTATGGCACAGAAATGCGTCCCTCCACTCATCCAGCCATATCTAATCCACACGCCCAGCGCTGTGTGTTGTGTACACACTGCCCAGTGCTGTGCACCCTCAGTGTTGCTGCACCATTCTACACCACATGCCCACAGAATGGCAGAGTTTGCAGTGTAGGAGGAGGCCACTTGGCCCATCGTGTCTACTGGCGCAAGCTCTCCCAACAGCCATTTGTGGTAAAGCATTCTACCGTCTAACAAGCTTCTGTGGCAAAAACATGCTGCTAACCTGTCTTACTCCTGCTGGCGATAATGGTTAATTAATGCCTTCTTTTTACTGACTCACCGATCAATGTGTGTGTGTGTCCATGTACATGCTGCTTTCTCTGTGGTTCTGCCTCTCTGTCTCTTTGTTGCTCTCTGTATCTCAGTTTTTCTCTCCGTTTCTTTATCTCTCTCCAAATGTATCTTTGTGTCTGTGTCTGGCTCTTTCTTAGCCCCTCTATCAGACTCTCTGTATCATTCTCTTTCTTTATCTGGGTATCTATCATCTGTGTGTGTGTGTGTGTGTCTCTCTCTCTCTGACTTGCCCGAGCATGAGTTAGTAACTTCAGGAGTGGGGGGGGCAGGGGAGAATTGCAAAATGAAAAGTGAATGCAGATTGCATAAGACCTCAGCCTAGCCAATAGCATAAACACTGACATGTTAGCAAAGTTACACAATCCCACATTAAACACGTGTGAGTAAGAAAGGTTAGTACAACATTTCTGTTTAAAAACGTTATAAAAAAATCAACAATTTCTGGGAAAAGGATGGCAGAGTGTTTAATTTTCTGTTACCAGCTGTTATTGGTCTCCAAACCAAGTTGTTTGATAAAATGAGTTATTTATAATCGTTGTTTCAGCCGTACTGTAATTCCAACATTCCTAGGAAATTACTAACTTGCCCTCGCTACATGCTGGCCGATGTGAATAAGCAGCGTTATTTAAGCAAAGAGGCCGGCAGGGTATATATAAGCAGCCATCTCACGGTGATGGAATTTTCCACACGGCCCTGCGTCACAGCTGGAAGGGATAGAACCTCATTAAAAGCGTAAACTTTTCAGGTTTGAGAATGGTGCCACATTCCGTCTTAATGCATCTGTGTCTCATTTGCTTATAGTAAGACTGCAGCACAGTTCACAATCTGCTTTGCCTTCGCTGTAGAGCACTGAACGTCGAAACGTCTCGCAGCGCTTCGCAAGGAAGTGAAATGTCAAGTGCAGTGACTATTTTAGTGTATTGTAGTGGAGTCCTGTAACTCAGTGGTTAGAGCACTCGCTTTGCAAGCGAGAGACCTGAGTTCAATTCCAGGCAGGTCAGGGCGAAACCTTGGGCAAGTTTCCTTACTCCACACACCTAATAATAATCCCTCCAACAAAAACAAAAACAATAATAAATTGGTCATTTTCAATCTACGACACTTTGTGGGACATTGCTGTGCGCAATTGGCTGCCGCGTTCGCCCACAAATATACAGTCAATTCACTTTACAGTGTGTTCTGTGAAGCGCTTTGGGACATCCTCCCGACGTGAAAAGCGCTATATCAAATGAAAGGATTATTATTATTATTTGCAGAGAACACACCAGTCGTTTTTCACACAAGAAGAATAACAAATTCCATGTGTATAGCGCCTTTCACATCGGGAGGACGTCTCAAGGCCTAACCCATGTTGTATAGAGCCTTTCACGTAGGAAGGACAGAGTACATCCCAAGGCACACAGCATGTTCCCCACAAACAGCCATGGAATGAATAACCAATTGACCTGGAGGATTGTCAGCCAGGACACCAGGAGAGAATAAACTCCCTCCGCTTTTACAATTATTTCGTAAGATCATTAGTATTCACCTGAACAGACAGACGTGATTTTGGTTTAATGTCTCGCCCAAAAGACAGCGTCTCCGACAATGCAGTGCTGACACCCTTCATTGCACTGGAGTATCAGCCTAGACTGCGCTCAAAATCCCCACAGATTTCAAAGAAATGGGAAGATTTTCTCCCAGTTAACCTGGTTAACTTTCCTGTCCCATCCAGATCCACCCCCAGATTCAAACAAATTGGCAGTTCTTATTGTTCAGGGGATGTGGCTGGTGCAGATTAGCAGCTGTGTTTGCCTCCATTAACAACATTCACTTCATTTAAAATTTTTATTTTGTGAAATGCAAAAGGATTTATTTTGTGTGAAATGCAGGCAGCTGATGTGCGATGCTGTTTCGGAGGATGACGGGCAGGTTATTTGCCAGTCCTTCAGGGCCTCAGAAAGAGCTTTCTGTCTTTACTTTGTTGCCTCACTGCTGATCCTTTGCTGTGGCGTTTCTGATAACTTTAGGCGTTGGGTGTGTCTTGCTGTTATCACATCTTGCTCAATACCTTCCCCAGGTCATGGTGTGGAAGAGTAATTTTGACATTGGAGACCCCGGCGATGTGCTAAGGAATCAGGCCAGCACTCCTTTTGTGAACTGTACGCTAAAGACATCAAGAGGAGTGGGTTCAACCCCACAACAAGAGTACGTAAAGGCAGGGGCCGCAGAGGTAAGCCAGCAGTGGGGACTCTCTCCCTTAATCCCTCCGCCTTGACCCCTCCCACCCAAACGTCAAATTCCTAAAGACCTTTTTGATTGTGCTTTTAGTCACCTCCCCCCGCACTCTCCTGGCTTGGTGACAGACTCCGCCACCGTCAAGTGCTCTGGGACTCTACCGCACTTGAAGGGCGCTATATAAATGCAAGTTGTTTTTGTGGTTGGTGTAAACTGTTGTTGACAGTGATCAGAACTTTACAGCTAGAATCTCTTCAGCCCCCGCTCTCCTCCTCCAAGACCTGACATAACTCACATTCTTGGCCTTGAGGTTTTTGTCTTCAAATTTCAGATAGTGTGGAACAATAAGAGCAGCCAATTCATCTGAATCTGGGGGTGGATTTGGATGAAATAACTGAGAGAAATACTTCCCTTTTTTTTAGGAAATCTATCGTGACTTTGGGCCCAGTCTAGATTGGGAAAATCCCTTAAATTCTGCTTTAATTTAGGAGCCAGTTTTGTGTAGACTGCCAGGAAAATGGTTTAAAAAATTAAGAGTGAATTGAAGAATTTACAACAATTTCGCACAATCTGATATTTTTTAGCCAGTCTTAAAGACCCGAATAATCGCTCGTGAAGCCACAGCCAAGACTATCCAGATTAGCAAGGCTACTCTGTAACTCACCATCTCCTCAGGGCTGATAGCAGGAAAAAGTTAGAGATATCCTGGCTTTCATGTATCAAGTGGCTGCTATGTTGGCCTGCAGAACCAGTCTCTATATTCAGCAGACGTTACTGTGAAGTGCTTGGAGTTGCTTTGATATGATAAAGCGTTTATATAGAAAAAATGCAAGATCTTTCTTTCTTAGATATAAGGAAAAGTGGAGTCTTTCTCCCACTTCTCCTGCTTTCTATTCCCTCCTTCCAATTTACCCCAAATTCTAATTAATTGGCACCTCTTCCCATTGCTTCTGTGATGTTTCTGATGAACATATTTCTGCGTGAAATGCTTTGACGTGAAAGGCGCTGTATACATGTAAGTTGTTGTGTGAGCAGTTTCACTGTCCCCCAGCAGTGAGTAATGAGCGGTTTAGCTGCCGTGATCACGATGGGCAGTGCAGTATTGATCAGCCCAGGTCACCAGCACCCTTGGAGCGGAGAGTGGCTGAGAGAAATGTTTGTGCAGGTGGCTTCTGCTATCTGTAGGCTTTCGTGTCTTATAGGAAATCCAGATGACCCTAGTTACGGTCAAGATTTCCTTGTGAACTGTTCCCTGGTTGTGCAGCACACCCACACGGCACAGAGGAACCTGGGAGTCAGATAGCACTGTGTGTGGGCGGATGTTTAAATATTGTAATGGCACGGCACCAAATTAAAAGTAGGCTGTCTTGTTACTTCAGACTTGCGAAAGGCAGCCAGCCCACTCTCCCCATGTTCACGGTTTCAGAAGGCAGTGTTAGGTCTTTATTAACAAAGCAAGCCGCTGATTAAGACTTGTTCAGTTGTGGCTGATTCACTGCTGCTGATAATGCCTTGTGAGGATTCAGCTTTGACACACGGTGCCAGGGTGCAAGCACAATTACAGGCTGATGTGGCAGCCAGCTTCCTGCTTCCTTCATTGTCTTTCCCTGGATGCCTATCAGTGACAACAAATGGAATGTGAAGACTGCAGATTAGAAACTCTCTCTCACTGACTCTCCCTTTCTTGTTTTTTTCTCTCGTTATTTTTTTTGCTCTACCTCTTCTCACTTGTTCTTTCTCTCGCTCACACCCGTACACACTTACTTCCTCCCGCTTGTTCTCACTCATCCACCCTCACTCACACTTGGTCTTACTCTTCATGTTGTGCTTTCTCTCTCTCTCTCTCTCACGTTCTATTTCCTGAGGTGACGCTCTCCACAAAGTGAATTCAGGTCTCGTTTCCTGGGGGAATGAAGATGTGTCCCGTGGGGGTGGGGTATAATTTTACAGAAGGTCACTCTTCTCCCACGTGTCTGAGATGTGATCAAGGGTCAGGCCCCGAGTCGTTAATCTGTGTGTCCTCCCGAAGCGAAAGGTGCTTTACAAATGTACTTTTTGTATTGTATTGAGTCACTGCCCCGTGGCATTGAGCCACTGTGTTGGTCCAGTGCTCTGTCATCCCATTCCAAGCAATGGGTGTTAGCTTTGCCGAGTGCAGTTAACTATCGAACGTAGCGACTGGAGCAAGTGGGTCTGGCTGGGACCAGATGTCCTGTTTATGTGCCGAGCTTCAGGAACTTGGCACGGATGGCGACCCTGATTGGGAGCTATTTTTACATGTGTTGATTCAGTGCAAGGCTACGTTTCCAGCCCCGTCCTCAAGGAGAAGGCCATTGTGTGGGACTTTATCTCAGACTATTTTTTCAAAACGCTAGCGCTATCTACTGGGTCTGGCATTGCCTGAGCCTTTCCTAGCAGATAATTCTGCCTGTAACAAAAGTTCTACATGCGTCTCCTTCACAAGCCAGCCTTGAGCTCTGTTATGTTTGTGAGAAACAGATTGGCGTTGTGAGGTGGGGGTGGAGGGGCTAGCTCCTGGCTGTTGAGAACCTTAAAAGAGCGCGATACTGAACAAAGTTAACCCAGGCACCTGGTGTTCTTAGTGTAGACGGGCAAATTATTCCCACTGTTATCACGTGGCTCCACGGTTGTTTGTGTTGCTGTGTCTAAATCCTTCCTGTTTAAGGACAATCTTTGGCTGTTACAGTACACAAGCTCACCTTTCCGTGTCTGTGCCCAGTGCCTGTGCCAGTGTTTAAAGCTGGATCTAGTTTTCCCTATAAGAACGTGAATTGACCAGTGCACTGCTCGAGTGCAGGTTTGATACTGAATATCCCATGCAGGTCACTGGCAGTTAATATTGGTGCTGATGGTCGCCGGCAGGTTGTCACTGGTTGGAGCCTTTGGGTAAAGCAGATTATTCAGTGGGTTTTGATGATGATGATGATGATGATGAGGAGGGGGTGGGGGGGTTGGGGGTAAGGCAGGAGAGCACACAGGAAGCATCTTTGTTAGCTTCACAAACGCTGTTCTGAAGGCAGCTCAATTCACTTCATATTCTGTGGAATTGAATTTTGGGAATAGAATGGCTCCATTAGGATGAGTCATCACCGGTCGGGTCTATGATTCATAGCTGCACAGGATCAAAGTTATATAATCCCCACAGTATGTTGCAGCGTGTGTTAACTCTCTCAGTGCTCAACTCATTCACAATCTCTCATTTAGCAGTGGCTAAAATACAACAACAAGATTACATGTGTATAGCGCCTTTCACGTCGGGAGGACGTCCAAGGTGCTGGACAGTGTACAGCATTTCAGACTCTAGCTGGGCTCGGGGAGGAGGGGGGTGGGAGGGGAGGGGAGGGGGGTGGCCGATGGCATGGTTGAAGAGGAGGGTCTTGAGGCGGGACTTGAAAGAGGTTAAGGAGGGATGAGGCGGAGTGACTGGGGGATGGAATTCCAGAGATTGGGGGCAGAGTGGCTGAAGGCTTTCACGCCAATGGTGGGGCGGTGGACGTGGAGCAGCCAGAGCCGGCTGAGCGGGGGGAACGGTCGGGTTGGTAGGGGATTAGGAGGCCGCAGGGGTAGGATGGGGTGAGGCCATAGAGGCTTTGTATGTGAGGACCAGGATCTTGAACTGGATCCTCTGAAGGATAGGGAGCCAATGAGTTGGGCGAGAATGGGGGAGATGGGGTCACGGAGTTTGGTGCGGGAGAGGACACGGGCTGCAGAGTTCTGGATTATCTGCAGCCTGTGGAGGGAGGAGTTGGGAAGGCCGACAAGCAGGGCGTTTGCATAGTCGAGCCTGGAGGTGATGAAGGCATGAACATGCGTTTCAGCGGCTTGAGGGGTGAGGTAGTGGCAGTACAAGTTAGGGGAAATTCCTCACCTGAAGATATTTAACTGTTTTTCTCTTTCCTGGAGGAAAGTACATAGTGGTTTCCCAACCTTACCCCAGGGGTGTTATTTACTGGTGAGAAGGGATGTTGAGTGTTGGCAGATTATTGAATCGCGGAGATGTCTCGGGCTCATTCCTTCCTCACCTGCTCTCCACAGCGAGCAGGCCCCTCCACACGCTCGCTCCTCCCAGTTGTGCGGGTTCCATTTAGGACAAACACCAGGAAGTATTTCTTTACGTAACTGATTGAATGGCTGGAAAGGGCTTTGCAGGAGCAATGGTTAAGGCCAGAATGCTGGGACCTGTTAGACAAATGGCTTGGTGCTGTGTTGAGAAAGCTGTAGGGGGAACGTGAGGGCAGGGCTGTGCTGTATACCATGGTTAGACTTGCCCTGGTTCATGGATCCCTCCATGATGTAAGTAGCTGTGGTGGAGAGCAGGTTTCTGAAATGCTAAGATCAGGAGATGGATGTGACCAGGATTCTGTGCCAGCTGCCTGCACAAATATCAGTGATGAATCACTTCTAACCTACTTCCCTTTTCGTGTACATACTTGTGCCCTGTGTGTTGGTATTTTGGGTTTGAAATATGTACCTAGTTAGTTTGTGGTGCCCTAGACCATAGGATCCTACACGCAGACATCAGCCCATCAAGTCTGTCCTGGTGTTTCTCTCCATGTGAGACACCGAGTCTAATTCCCTACCTCCCTGATTAACATTTATGCTAGTTAATATCATACGCACATTGCTGTTTGTAATAAATTGGTCATTTTCAATCCACAACTGTTTGTGGGACGCTGCTGCCGCGTTTCGCCCACAAAATATACAGTTAATTCACTTTACAGTTTATCTTGTGAAGTGCTTTCAGACGTCTTGAAGACGTGATAAGGTACTGTATGAAATGCAAGGATGATTAATATTACACACACTCAAGTACTGTATGAGCCTAACTCCACATGGACAGACCACCATACTGACCGACTGACTAACCGACCAAGCAGCAGGAATCAGTCACTGGAGACCAGTGTGTTTACTGTTACTGTAACTGCTCCTATGCTGTGGGCAGGTCACCCACAAGAGTTAAAAACTGACACGTCTCTTGTGATATTAGTTAGGCTCATGCTTTGCCTCTGAATTCTGTGTCGTTCACCAGCTCAGGCTTCACGCTGAGTGTAATTGAAATGTAATTTCCTCTGCTACCTGGGCTGTGCTGCTGCAGTAATGGCTTCCTGAATTGCCTTCGGAAATGAGGACAGATCGAGACGCCCTCCGTTTCATTCAATAACCAGGTGTGGATGAGCAGTGCACACAAGCAGCTGACAGCACGTTGATTAAAGGGAAATTTTCATTCACTAGACTTCTTCCTGCAGACCAATACCTGAGAGCACAGCAGCCTTTCCTACGCTTCCTGCGGCGGCTTTCCTCTTTAATATCAGCAAAGAGATGCTTAATTTGCCACCACTTGTGCTCGCTTAAGAGGAGCTGAGAGGGATCTCGTCATGTCACTCTACCTGGTGTGGCAACAACAATACAGACATGTGAAGCGGTTAATCAATGAAGGCAATAAGTGCTTGGATTTTGTTCTGTGAAGGACACTGAGATGTAACGCAAAGCCACACTGTCAGCTCAATAGTCTGAATCGTGACTTTCGTTTCCTCAGAAGCCAGAGGTACCTTTAGCTCAAACCACTGGGTACATGAAACTGCACATGATTGACTCTGTGCCGGTGTCTAACTGCCAGTGGCTTGAGACACCACGCGTGTCCTCTTCTGGTGATGATGTGCGAGTGTCGGCAAGTACTCAGCACAAGTGGCTATCAATATTTTGGCTGTTAGTGCCAAGGAAATCCTAACAGAACAACAGCAACTTGCGCCCTTCACACAGGATAGTGCCTCAGTGTGAGCGGGTGTCCTAGGCTTACGTAAAAGCGCTCACAGACAGAACAGAGGATAGATGAGGAAAAACACTTTAAATACTTTAAAATCAAAGTTCTTGATTTGCTGTGAAATGCAGCTGAGCTCTTCTTCTCTAGTCCCAATCGCCTGCTCTGTCCCTGTACCTTTTTATATTCATCCCATTCACATCTTTCTCCAGTTCTCTTTTAAATATTATGGCCACAGCTACAAAAGCTACTTGTTCTAATAGTCCTGAGTATGAAAACATTCCCTCTGACCTCTCGCTAACTTTTCCAGTGATGATACCAAGTGTATGCCCCTTGTTACTGATTCACCAGCAGCAGGAACCTATCGTCTCAAACCCGTTCCGCATTTAAAGAGGGAAAGAGCAGGTAAATGGGTTGAAAGGTTTGCTCTTGAGGGAGCTGGCACAGACGTGATGGGCCAAGTGACCTTCTTCTGTGCCGTAAATCTCTGTTTCTAGGTTAAGACCTCTGTTAGGTCTCCTCTTGGCTTCTGGTCCCGGGAAGAGAACCACAGTTGTTTTGAGCCTCTTGTTAAGGCTCACACCGCTGGTACTATGTGTGTGAAGCTGCTGGCAGCTAGCTTACCGTGCCACGTTCTGAGATGGCAGATTGTTTCATCAACGATGCTGACACATGTTTCCAATTTGTTTGATAACATCCAGGTAGCCAGCAGATAGACTTGCTCACTTTGCAGTCATTTATAGGTTGCAGGTGGAGACCGTTTCCTGTAACCTTCCAGTGGGTTTGTGAAATGTTTGCGTGTGCCAGAGATTTCTGATTTAGCAGCAAATTCACCTCCAAGTGAAATGAAGTGCGTTCTGGAGTCCTGTATCTCAGTGGTGAGAGCACTCGCCTCGCAAGCAAGAGACCTCAGTTTGATTCCCGGCAGGGCAAAATGTTGGGCAAGTTTCCTTACTCCACACGTCCCTGTTTACCTTGCAGTAAGTAGGAACCCAGTTCTCAGTTGAATGGCGGATCGTTTTTCCGGGTGTGATAATTCCTTCAAAAAATAATAATGAATTGGTCACTCAATCCATTACTGTTTGTGGGACGCTGCTGTGCACAATTGGTTGCCATGTTTTACCCACAAAATATACAGTCAATTCACTTTACAGTATATTGTGTGAAACCCTTTGAGACGTCTTGAAGACGTGATAAGGCGCTGTATCAAATGCAAGGATTATTATTATTGAGCAGTACTAAGATTAAACCCACTGAAAGTGTAAGAGCTGGCAACCCGGCTGGGAGATCTTCAAGCAGCAGCTCAAACACCCACAAATGAAATTGGGGATAATCTGCTAGACTTTCCTGAGTAACTGTGATTTCACAACCCCTGGGGTTATGGGTTCAAGCCCCAAGTCACGGTTTGAGCCCAGTACAAAGAGCACTGAATTGTCAGCCTTCAGAGGAAATGTTTAAACCCAGGCTTTTTCTGCCTATTCAGCACTATTGGGCTGGAGAAGGGAGTTTTTCCTAGTGTCGTGTACTAGCACTAGGGGGATAAATTGATCATTTGCTTCATGGCTGTTTTGGGATCTTGCTATGCGCAAATTTGCTTACAACTACAGTCACTACATTTGAGTGAAACATTTAGGCAGTGTATCAGATGCAGGAGTTATTACTGGAAAGCCCACGGGCTCATCTGTTTCTCTGTTTTCTCATCCATCACTACGCAACCCGCTGCTTCCAGTAAACACTGCTTCACCTTGGATTGGAGCTGGTGTGTGTGCACTCAGCCAGGACACCTGTTGTACAGATGCAGAGATGAATGGCTGGAGAGTTGTTGGGTAATGTGTGGTTTTAGTGAAGACAGCAAATGCATGAAATTAATGAAAGCTTCCCTCAACACATGTATGTTCAGAGCAGAGATCTCGCTCAATTCCTCACCTTTTATGTTGTGTGCTTCCACCCCAACCCACAACACACACCTCCCCCTCCACCATGGCCTGCCTGTGCCTGAACAGAATGCTGAGGTGGGCTTGTTCTGATGACTGCCAGGCAGGCCTCTGAAGGATGTACCGACAGGGGGAAATTCCTGCCTGTTATTTCCTCACCACCTGTACATGGAATTTGTTCTGAAGTACTCTTTTCAGTGAAATTGACTGACGTTAGCAGAGCTGAGGACCTCATCCAATTTAACCCTTTCGCTGTGGTTCAGACATCTTGAAATTACTCTTTCCCCACCTCCCACCGCAGTCTTAATTTTCTTTCCAGTGCCCGAGGTCTCCTGTTATCAACAACAACTTGAATTTCTATAGCGCCCCTCACCAAGTTAAAGTTCCAGTGCACTTTTCAGCTCACTTCCAGAGACTTTGAGGTGATGGCATTGTGAATGAAGTAAAGCTGAAAGGGCTGACATCCCACGTCAACTTAGTGCAAGTGTTAATCCATGTGTGTACAATACAAGGTGTGTATATCCCATGTGTATCGGCTGTGTATTCTTGTGTGTGCACATGGCAGTGCTTATTTCAGTGAACAGACAACTAACTGAGGAACTAACTTTGGGAGCGCCGCAGTGTGTGAATAGTGGGAAATTTATATCATTGATATGTAACCAGGGAATGCTGTGTCTCTCTGCCACTTTTGGCCACGATCACTGTGTGTGACGTCCAATTGTGGCCACAGGAGGCTGGTGTGGTCCAGGAGGAGATCGATGTCCTGCTCACTAGGCTCCATGCAGGATCTGCCGGTTACGAATCAATCTAAGAAGCTGCCCAGCTGGTGGTGTGAGTGCCAGGCTAGTGAGACATGCCCATGTGTTAATCAGCTTCACCTGCTTATGTTCTCCAGCAGCTCCCGGACAGCAACTACACAAAGACAAGGGCAGCAGGTCCCGATACAGGAAACCAGAGCTACTCGATCAGGGAGGTGCCACCATATACCACGTCTGCTCCAACCGTCAACCAGTCGCTTCAGCCAGAAATGGCAGCCATCCCCCTAACCCTGGCCAACACCTTGGAGCATATCGTAACACAGCTGGATGTGCTGACTCAGGTACGTGCCAACGCACATCAGTCCATTAACACAAGCAGCAGGTGACTCGCACAGGCAGGTTCTCAGCTCAGCTCCGGAGCGCTCCGAGATGCCGCCAGCTCAGAGATGGGATGAGAATTACAGGTCTGTATTTTTGAAAGCAAAATGTGTACCTTTCTCTTACACAATGAGTCTGTCCTCTTTACAGGGCTGCTTGTCAGCCTGTGTTTACACATTTGGGATTGTTGGCAGTGACACAAGTTTTAATTTCTTTCAAACCAAGTTTCCACTGTGTGTGTGTGTGTGTGTGTGTGTGTGTTTTGAATAACCCATCCATCCTTCTTAGCAGCGGAAATCACTGTAAAGTGGTTCAATCTCAATCCTGGTTTGTGTACTCTTCACAACAACAAATTTATAATTTCAGTCTTGCCGAGTTGCAGGCCTGAGTGCTCAGTACATTTACAAGTCTCGCTGTTAGCTGCTGGAAGCTAATTGCAGAAAGGGCTCCTGTGATTGGGGAAACTCTCATGACAGAGTGTCCCTCCTGGTTGAATTGCTAACCTCAGACAGCCATGGCCAATGTCAAACCCCAGAGAACTGGGAGGAATGACTTTACTTCTCTGCCTCTCTGGATACTTGGCTGGAAAGGCACCATTTTGTCTATACCTGGGAGACAGGACCAGATGGTTTCCATTGCTGCAGGAAGTCGGATTGTAACCCCCTGTGTGTCACTGGTGGCGTGTGGTAAACAGCGCTGCTCTAGCAGAATGGAAGGCTTTGCGAGGCACATGGAACCATTTTTAGACATTCCATCCACTCAGCTATTTGCTTTGACTTTTGCCCCAAGCCCACAGTCACGTTCTCTAACGATGCCTTGTTAACCCGGCTTAACCTGTCCCTCTGCCCATTGCCAGGGAGGCTGAGGCACAGCCACACACACACACACACACACACGCACCAGATAGACAAGTTGCCAAACAAATCAACTGCTGAAAGGCACCGTTTTCTCTTCACCTTCTAACACGGTTTAACCTTAGCCCAGAGCGTTGATAACTATATGATATTTTCTATTGAAAATAATGATCCCGTTCCCATTTTTATACTTTCCCGCAGTAATCTGCCGCTGATAGCATGTGCTCCCTGCAGACTGTATTGTCTGTTTTTACTGCCCCCAACACTTCTCCTCGTCCTCGCGAGCAAAACATAACCTTTTGTTGGAAATTGATCTTGCGTTCCCTCTCTGCGTTCTGCTCCGATGATTCTCCAGAAATGGATGTGAAGTTGCGAAGCGTGTCTCCAGTTGCTGAGCCGCGCTGTGTGTGTGGGGCTCCAGCAGCCTCAGACATGCCTCACGCAGCGTCCATCTGCTTCCCATCTGCCTAAATTAGCTGTCAGTCAGTGGGACTCTGTGAGGGAGGCCAACAGCACAGCATTGTGTGGAGCAGGTGATCGGCGGGGGGGGGGGTGTGGTTGGTATATTTTCACTTAATAATAATCCTTGCATTTGGTATAGCGCTTTTCACGTCAGGAGGCCGTCCCAAAGCGCTTCACAGAACACACTGTAAAGTGAATTGACTGTGTATTTGTGGGCGAACGCGGCAGCCAATTGCGCACAGCAATGTCCCACAAACAGTCGTAAACACTTGACCCTACATCAAGACTTGAGCTCGCAGTCCAGGCTGACAATCCAGCTCAGTACTGGGAGAGTGCTTTGTTGTCAGAGGTGTGACTTTTACATGGGACATTAACCTGAGCTCCCATCTACCTTTTCTTCAAGCCTACGTTAAAGGATTCCTCAACACTATTGGAAAAGAAAAGGGAGTTTCTCCCAGTATCCTAGTCAGCAGTCCACCACATTAGTCAAACATTCACCTTGTCACTATGGTGGGGCATTGCTTAGCACAATATGGCTGTTGCACTTAACCTACAAAGGCAGAATCTACACATGTCAATAATTACTGGTGAGCATTTTGAGATGTTTTGGCATTATAAGATTCATGTTTTCTTGCATTTTAAGATTCATTGCTAGAAACCGTCATTCGTCCATCTCTCTCTTCCCCCCCCCCCCCCCTTTTTCTCTCTAGATCTTCTCTACGCCTGTTTTATGTAAGGTTTCCCATTGTAACTGAGCAATAAAAGGTCCCGTTATTTAGTGATGGATTCCTCCCGCCCCCGCACTCAGGCCGGGTCCTGCTCTGCGGTTGACGTGTCGTTGGCACTGATCTGCAGACAGTGTTCTGCTCCCTCACATTCCATAGGTGATGTTTTCTTGGCAGCATCGAACAGTCTTTACATTTTGCGAGGATTTTTACAGATGTTGAGACGTAGGAACAGGTTGACCCCATCAAGCCTGTGCCGCTAATTTATTACATAATGTCATTCTGTTTCCCTGCCTTTTCTCCAATACCTGAATCTTTCTCTGCCCCCACCCACCCCCATATAACATCGCAATTGATTACGCGTGAACAGGTGTCAGCCTCCGAGGAGGGTGAGCGAGCGAGAGCCACAGTGTGGGGCAAGGGGTTTCCTGTAATTAATGACTTACACCAATGTCACTATGCTGTCAAGCTGCCCACAGACCCCTGTGTTATAGTGGCTCACAGAGCAGTGAGGGGTGCTCCTGTACTTAGGTGTTTTCCAGCACTCTGGTACACAGCCCTGTGTGAGAGTACTATATAAATGCAAATTGTTGTTGTTGAAGCACCAGAGCGCTGGGGGCTTTGGGATGTCTCAAGAGGGTCAGTTGGTCTGGTTTGCTCACCTTGCGTGAGGCACACATGGCTACTCAGTGATCTAAATCTCCTGCTCACTTCTCTTACCATTATTGTGCGGCTGGGGTGCTTGTACTCAGGTTTTCCACTTGGAAGTAAGAATTATTCGTGCCGGTTTTTCTAAACCCTTCATTGTTTTTTTAAATATTTTTTCAGCGAGTTGGCAGAAATCAATGAGTTGTTGTGGGACTGAGTCATTCACAGCTTAGTGTTAAAGTGGACGGCATTAATGAATTGTTCTGTTCCCACTTCATAATCTCTGGGGAAAAAAACAATTGTGTTCTGTCCTGATGACAACTTAAAGGGACATAAATTAGAGCTTCCCTCAGTCTGATGTTAAACCCGCTGTTTAGTCATAGTGTTACAGTGACGGTGTGAAGTGCTCTGTATAATCACACAATGTTACAAGACAGAATCGGCTCATTCGGCCCAGCAAGTCTGCACTGCTGTATTTGTCACTGCTCTCGTGACTATCTTTACTTACTCGGTGACTGGTGCAGCGAGTGTGGGATGGAAATCTGTCACTAATGCCAGATCCTTCTCAAACCATTTCCTTCAAACATCCGGTAGTCTCAGGTCTCGTGATCCCGATCTTAAACAAAGATCCTGTAAAGCTTTAAAAACTGCTCACATGCCGCTTATGAATGTGATCCTATTTGGGCCCCAGCCCTGAGGGAGCTTGGAGGAAGCTGTTTTACTGAGCTGTGCGGTCTGACTGAGCTGCGCGGTGCTGTTACATTCTGTCCCCAGACGTGCTCTCACACACACACACACACACACACACACACAGACATGCGTGCTCTCACACACACACACAGACATGCGTGCTCTCACACACACACACACACAGACATGCGTGCTCTCACACACACACACACAGACATGCGTGCTCTCACACACACAGACATGCGTGCTCTCACACACACACACACACACACACACACACACAGACATGCGTGCTCTCACACACACACACACACAGACATGCGTGCTCTCACACACACACACACAGACATGCGTGCTCTCACACACACACACACACACAGACATGCGTGCTCTCACACACACACACACACAGACATGCGTGCTCTCACACACACCACACACACACATGCGTGCTCTCACACACACACACACACACATGCGTGCTCTCACACACACACACACACACACACAGACATGCGTGCTCTCACACACACACACAGACATGCGTGCTCTCACACACACACAGACATGCATGCTCTCACACACACAGACATGCGTGCTCTCACACACACACACAGACATGCGTGCTCTCACACACACACACAGACATGCGTGCTCTCACACACACACACAGACATGCGTGCTCTCACACACACACACAGACATGCGTGCTCTCTCACACACACACAGACATGCGTGCTCTCACACACACACACACACAGACATGCGTGCTCTCACACACACACACACAGACATGCGTGCTCTCACACACACACACACAGACATGCGTGCTCTCACACACACACACACAGACATGCGTGCTCTCACACACACACACAGACATGCGTGCTCTCACACACACACACAGACATGCGTGCTCTCACACACACACACAGACATGCGTGCTCTCACACACACACACAGACATGCGTGCTCTCACACACACACACAGACATGCGTGCTCTCACACACAGACATGCGTGCTCTCACACACACAGTAAACATGACGCTGCTGTTACATTCTGTCCCCAGACTGTCGCGATCCTGGAACAGAGGCTGACACTGACCGAGGACAAACTGCGGGAGTGTCTGGAGCGAGTCCCTGTGAGTGTGAGGCCCACTGACTGATCACAGCAGGGTGGGGTGGGGTGGTGGGGGCACTGACTGATCACGGTGGGGCCACACTCCTTACATCACCTCCACCCTGTGAGTTATTGTGTGTTAATTAACAGTACCACCTCACTCACATTTGTTGTTTTCAGGAATAATTTGTATATTTTTGTATATTTTGTATAAGAGGAATATTTTTTCTCAATTTAATAAACAGTGTATTTTACTCCAGGACTCGTCCTTTTACCGACTCCACTTTTTATTCTATGTACATTTCGATTTCAAGGAAATCACCAGCTGAGGGTTCTCCTTCCCACCGACACTGAGACCTGGTGCCAATTGTTCACAGTGGGATGTTGGAGTCGGAGGTGTTTTTGCAATGAGCAGCGATGCGCAGACTCTGTGCTGTTGGTGGGGCCCCTGTGGGTCCTGTCCTCTCCTTCCTGTCTGGGTTTCAGAATCGGACTGAGAACACTTTACTCTCCAAGTTGAGTTGAGATAACGGACCAAAATAAATGCCGGTACATTTCCGCAGCCCAGAATGTCACCCAGCCTTAGCCCGTGAGAGGCTGTTTAGCTTTTATTTACAGAAAATTAAGGTGGAGGAAATTCTTAAACTCGGTCTTAATTCAGAAGCCATGTATTTTCCTCCCAAGTTATTACTAGAGACCGGCTTCCAAATGTACACTGAATTGAAGAGTTTCCACAATTCTGTGCCACTTTCAGTTTTTAAGACAAAACAAGGTACCATGGGCTGTAAGATTGGTTGGAAGTTCAGAACTCTGAACAGTATTTTAGTTAAACCTGATTTTAAAATATACTTAGAGGGATTGCAAACTCCTGCACAATGGGCACCGCACTGCAGCCTTTGACAGTCTGACGCCGTGAGCAACTCCTTCCCATTTGCCTGCTCTGTTCAAATCCTGTGTGCAGCTTCTCTGTGGCGATGTTTCTCAGAGGTTTATAATAATAATAATCCTTGCATTTGATACAGCGTCTTATCACATCGTTGAGACGTCTCAAAGTGCATCACAGGATATGCTGTAAAATGAAATAAAAATAGAAGTCGTGGGAACACTCAGCGGGTCAGGCAGCATCTATGGAGAGAGGTAAGTGAGTTCATGTTTCAGGTCGATGACCTTTCGTCAGAGAAACCACTTTTTCCATAGGTGCTGCCTGACCTGCTGAGTATTCCCAGCCACTTCTGTTTTTATTTCAGATTTCCAGCATCTGCAGTATTTTGCCTTTGTACACTGTAAAGTGTAGTGACTGTGTATTTTCTGGGTTAAACGGTGCTGGCGTTGACTCTGTTTCTGATTTACAGATGACGCAGGAAGCCAAGTGCAGGTCAGTCGGCTAATCCCTGGTTTAAAAGAGAGTCAGTGTCTTTATAGTGCTTTCCCACATCAAAACACCTCCATAGGTAATGATTGCCAAGTGCAGTGATTCTGTTACAGGTAAACGCTGCAGCCATTTTGAGCTCCGCAAACAGGTGAGAGACTGATTTTAATCTTGACAAGTGTTGGCCAGGACACCAGGAAAAACCTGCCTTCCCAGTGGAGGCGTGGGAACGTTTTAACGTGTGTCCGAAGACCAGGCAGATGGGGTCTGGGTTTAACGTCTCATCCGAAGCCCGGAATTAGTACAGCTTTGTTTGGTCATGAGATCACTCTGAGAGAATCTGTGCAGAACAATCCGATCGGCCACGCTCGCTGGGCTCGCACAGGAATCTCAGTGAGTGCTCACGGCGGTGTACAGTAACTCGCTGAGTGCCAGCAAAACTGGCTGATAGTGTGAGCGGCCAGACCACAGTGTCACTTACAGAGCAGAGCCAAGAGTCATTACCCTGAACAGTGGGTCTGAAGTGCAAGATGTGATGTGGGGGAGGGGAGCGCAGCAGGGGGAAGGGCAGTGTCAGTGGTACCTTCACCTGAGACATGCAAACGTTGTCTGTTCAGTTAAAGTCTGGAATATTATTGGCAAAGAGAAGGCAGATTAACCTCTTATTCACTTCCTGGCAGTTCATGTGACATTGCTGTACGCGGATCCATAATAAATAAACGGTCACTACACTTGGCAGCAACTTCCTATGAGATGTTGTGACATTACAGCCGCTGAGGCAAATGCGAGGATTCTTGTCGTTGCATTAAAGAGCCTTGGCTCTGACACTCGCCCTGCACTGCCCGGGGGTGGGGGCAATAAACAGCTGGGGAATCAGATTGAATGAAAGGCATGTTTAGATGTTAGCTTGACAGGGCAGTGCCAATTGGGAAGCAAGTCTTCAGCCACTGCTCCTCTGCCAGAATTCAGCACAATGACACATTGATATCGCGGTGCACATGTAGAGCATTTCATTATTATAGAGGAATGGGGGGAAGGTTATCGTTTGACTCTTTCTGAGTGACAAACTCAGGACAGATGGATGATGGTTGGGAGTGTGTGAATGAAGTGTGTGCTGGAGTCTTAACAACTGGGCAGTCAACACCAGGCTGATCCCTACCTCGTCCAGAACCCAGTCCGCTCGCTCCATCTCCAGCTCTCTCTCTCCGAGGCAAAGCCTTTACGCGCTGGCCAGCCATTGCCAAGCCTGTTGCTCACGTGCTCGTTCCCAGCCTTGTCGTTTTGATGATTCAGAAAGCTGGAAGTTATCGGGGATTTATAAAGCTTCTAATTGTCCATTTACATTTACAAAACCCCCCCAGCCTGATAGCGCAGCTGTGATGAAATCAGAGGCTGTTGTTTTAGTGGATGGATGAGCTCGGAGAAGATCTTGCATTTTTACAGACTCTGTAACCCTCACACATCTCCACACACTCCAGGGTTTTGAATACTTCACTATGGTCTCCCCCTCCCCTGAGCTCCTCGTTGATGTCTGTGTGTTCATTCCCAGCTTCCCACATCTTTTGACACTCTAGTGCAGTGCTGGGAGGGTTGCTGCATTGTTAGAAGTGCCGTCCTTTGAGTGCGATGGGAAACCTTTAAACCTAAGACGTTAGAGTCCCTCAGAGTTTCTCCTGGCTAACAATCTCCCGAAAATAAAATTGGTAGCTCTCTTCCTGTGGGATGTTGCTGTGAGCAAGTAACATTCACCCACGAAATACAGTCACTTTACTCTACAGTAAATCGTCGCGCTTTGAGAAGTCCTCCGATGTGACGGTGCTGTAATGACAACAACTTGCATTTTCACACACGATAGCATCTCGGAGCATTGATGAAATGCAAGTTATTATTAATAACTTGGGTGACTGATTCCGATCAATCTACTGGCCTTTCACTTCCTGCTCCCAATCAGCTTGGCCGATGTGACTGGACTGGACGCCCTGCAGTGACCTGTTTACTATCCGGAGCTTGTTTCTCTGTGGCTCGAACACGCTGAGGTTTTCCTGTTTAAACACTTTTAGAACCAAAATCTCTCCCCAGGAATCTGGTTGTAATGTTTGTCAGTGTTGTAACTACATTTCAGATTTTCATCAAATATTAACATTCTCCCAGAATCTGTGTGATTTTAAGGGTCAGATCAGGTGGGATTCCCAGGCTCCCGATGCTGAAGGTTGGATTTCTTCCAGCAATGAAGTTAATTGTGCTGCCAGTCAGTGCCTGTGTCTGTAACATACTCTCATTCTCCTTCCCTTCGGGGAATACAGGAAGCTTAAATGGCTTCATCATGAACCAGTAAGTGTCCATTAAAGGGAGCAGAGAACGAGCTGTGTAAAGATCAGCCCGGGGGGGGGAATGAGCTGTGTAAAGAGTAGCTGGGGTGCCAGGCAGGGAGGTTGATAATAATAATAATCCTTGCATTTGATATAGTGCTTTTCACGTCGGGAGGACGTCCCAAAACGCTTCACAGAACACACTGTAAAGTGAATTGACTGTATCTTTGTGGGCGAACGCGGCAGCCAATTGCGCACAGCAATAATGTCCCACAAAGTGTCGTAGATTGAAAATGACCAATTTATTATTGTTTTGTTTTGGAGGGATTATTATTAGGCTCTGTGTGGAGTAAGGAAACTTGCCCGAGGTTTGGCCCTCTGCCTGGAATTGAACTCAGGTCTCTCACTCGCAAAGCGAGTGCTCTAACCACTGAGCTACAGGACTCCACAAAATGTCCTTGTGTTGCTCAGAGTTGAGCCCAGGAGCGGCAACGTTTTATATTGTCATTTTTTTAAGAAAAAACCACGGGTGTGGGAAACAACCATGTTGGCCGTCCATTTCGTTCTCAGCTTCAGCGCTGTCTGGCACGTTTTCCTGCTGTTTGTCCAGCTAGGACCACCCTACCCATCAGGGCTTTGGCTGCAGGGTTAATACGAGCTGAGAGGGAGGATTCCTTGCCCTCAGTTACTGCTCTGCCCTTCCAAGTCCTGCCGATGAGCCAGGCTTCAGTGACTGGGCTCAAGTCTTAATCTCGCTCTGAGTTTAGTGTTTTCTTATGGGTATAGTATACGTACACTGCTAATATCCCGCTGTTTGGAATTCTTGTGAAATAAGCGGCATTCTCCAAAACAACCCAGTGACAATTATTGCTCAATGAGTGTCGCAATCACAGGCACTTCCCCAGTGGAGTCTTGTAACAACGCCAGTGGTGGTTGGCTAACACTCTGTGCACATCCTATTGACAAATTGTTGGGAGAATAGTGCATGAGTAACACTTGTGTTTCTGTACAGTGCGAGTTTACATGTGCAAAGCTGCTGGTAGGCTAACTCCCAGTGACTTGTAGACCTGCCCATGTTTACAATGAAACCCCCCCCCCCCCCCCAAAAAGGACTTTGTAACTTAAAGCAGCTTGAATATTCAGAAAGGAAAACAATGCTCTCCAACTATTAATGTGTCCCAGGAGAACATTCCGACCACATACAAACTCCATCGCCAGGCAGTGGGCAGGACATCTGCAGGCCGACCTCAGACACTAATAATTATTATAATAATAATCCTTGCATTCAATATAGCCTTATCACGCCGTTGAGACATCTCAAAGCGATTCACAGAATATATTTTAAAGTGAGTTGACTGTATATTTTTGGGAGCAAAACACGGCAGCCAATTGTGCACAGCAGCATCCCACAAACAGTCGGGGATTTTTTTTGGGGTGGGGGTTAATTCCCCCTGGGAATGCTTTAAACGTAATGCAGAACTTTTTAAAAGATTATTATCCATGTACTTAACATATATCTCTATATAAAGGATGTGGGTAAAGGGCAGAGGAATCGGACTAAACGGAAAGTCCTTTTCCCTCCATCTGTGCTGTAACATCCTCTGATTCTATAATTGTGACAATAATTTCCTCCTCAGACAAACACAAAATGGAACGTGAAGAAGTGAAATCCTTTTAAGCTCTGAACCTCTCAGGCTCGGGGGAATGTGCTTAATCTGACTTTCATCTTATTTGTTGAGGGAAGCGGTGGTGGCAGATTGCAGCACATTCAAGAGGGAATTAGGCTGCTATTTGGCACAGAAATCGATTCGGGTGTGAGAGACGCAGAGAAGTGAAGGATTATTTCTTTCACTTCGAGACCAGCCAGCCAAGCAGGAGGGCTGACGTGGTGTGTTCCGGTCCCGCACGTACATTCCTTTGCTTATTTTTGTCCTTTTTTTGAGCGGCGATCTTGGGTTGGATATAAGCGGTTGGATAATTTATGGTAACAGAAAGGGAAGTATCCCTTTAGAGCTACGAAACGTTACCCGAAGCAGAACCACTAAAAACAGAAGTTGTTGATCCTATTTGAGGACAGAGCATCAGATTGGTTTACAGGAAACGCACAGAAGCGTTTTGTGGGAAGGAAACCGTTTGGAAAGTGTTCTGGAGCTACGCCAGGACCAGAACAAGGTGGGGGAGGACGATCATAGATACTTAGTCAAAAGGTTGTGGGTTCAGGCATTACTGCAGCACTCGAAGCTGAGGCTCCAGCCCAGTGTCGCGGAGCGCCAGGTTATCAGCGGAGCAGCCCATGAGGTGAGATGCTAAGCCCAGATCTCCTCGCCCTGTGAGAGGTGAATGTTAAAGCTCCTGTGACTATTGCCCACTGGACTGTAGTTCCTCCCAGTGTCGTGGCCACCAGTGCTCCCCATGACAGTGGTCATTTTGTCTGGAGCGCCAAACACGGCTCCGTGTTGGGACTCGCTGTGGGCAAACTACTGGCTGCTGGTTTTGCCTACAAAATACCCAGTCACTACACTCGCCAGCGCCGCCCTGTGAGCGCCAGCGCTGTGAGTGGACTCCGCGCCACTCGGTTCATTGAGAAGAACACTCGGTTCCCGCCCCGAGCGCTGGCGCCGTGACGTGGCAGCGTCTCATTGGCTTCCCGCTTCGGTTACATTGGACGACGTCACAATCGCCCCGTAGCCCCGCCTCGGCCTCGCACCGATTGGCCGCCTGGGCGGCGCCGATTGGCGGAGGCGGCGAGTGGCGTGTGGCGGAACCAACCGGAGGGCGGCGGGGCCGGGGGGCGGGGCCTCCAGTGACAAGTGTGTGTGAGAAGCAGGAAGTGAAGCGGCGGCGCCCAGAGGCGAGGCTGAGCCGCGCGAGTCCCGACCCCGTCCCGAGCCCCGGAGCCCCGGAGCCGACCCTCAGCCCCGCTCAGCCCCGCTCAGCCCGGCCTGGCTCAGCCCCGCGCCCGGCGGACAACCCCTCGCCGCCCCCCACCCCCCCTCCCGCTTCTCGGCTCGTCAGCTCCTCGGGGAATCGAGCCACAAAGGAGCATTCCTCATGAGAAACCATCTCTTCTGCCCCCCCTCGGCCATGGCGATGTGTAAGAGTGCCGCCTGGCTCCAGGAGCAGCTGGAAGCCGGTGCCCACAGTCCGCTGCTGCTGCTGCTCGACTGCCGATCGCACGACTTCTACGAGTCCTCGCACGTCGAGGCGGCCATCAACGTGGTGATCCCGGGGCTGATGCTGCGGCGGCTGAAGAAAGGTAATCTGCCCATCAAGTCGCTGATCCCCAACAACGAGGATAAGGAGAAGTTCGCGAAGCGCTGTAAGAGCGACACAGTGCTGCTGTACGACGAGGGCAGCAGCGAGCGGCAGGACAGCGGCGCGGGGTCGGTACTCGCTCTGCTGCTCCACAAACTCAGGGACGATGGCTGCGAGGCGTATTTTTTGGAAGGTGAGTGAGTGAGTGAGTGACTGTCGGCGGCGGCGGCGGGTGTCGGTGTTCGCTTGCGCCAGTTTGGCCGCTGTCACGGTTGACCGTCGCCCGAGTCCGTGTCGGCGTCGTGTTTATTTACAGTTACACTGACACTGTTTGCGCCAATTGATTCACTCGCACCCTTTTAGCTCCTGAGTTTGCCCCAATGTCTGTACTTCATAAGGTCGCAGTCTCGCGACCTTTATATTACTGCCGTATTATAATAAAACACTTATTAGTTACGATCTGCGGAGAGTTTCCTCTCTCTCTGCCTTTACACTGTAATCGCTGTTGCAGAGACGGACACAGAGAGAGAGAGTAGAGAGGTTTTTGCTAAAGCAATGGCTGATCGTGGCTTCTCTTCCTGTGGGGCTCAGCAGTGGTTCACAGTCGCTGCTGGAGTTAGGAATGTGGCACAAGGAGGAGGGGGCAGCTTTCTGCTGGATTTAATAATAATAATAATAATAATAATAATAATAAAAGGAGACTGGGAGACAGTATTCCCCACTCAGTCTGTGCTCTGTCCGATCTGCGCTTCTTTTTAAGATGTAGATTCTGTAAAAGGACTTTGCACTTTCTGCTCACAGTTGTTTACACACATCCCGGACTCACACATCCACTCACACGCACTCCCCCCCCCCCACCCCAACCCGACACAACCCCACACACAGACACACTCACTTACCCCCCCCCCACACACACCCCCACACACACACCCTCACACACAGACACACTCACTTACCCCCCCCCAACACACACCCCCACACCCTCACACACACCCCCTCACACACAGACACACTCACTTACCCCCCCCCACACACACACCCCACACCCCCTCACACACAGACACACTCACTTACCCCCCCCACACACACACACCCCACACCCTCACACACATCCCCCCCACACACACACCCACACACACACACACACACACACACACCCTCACACCCCCCCCCACACACACACACACCCCACACCCTCACACCCCCCCCACACACACACACACACCCCACACCCTCACACCCCCCCCCCCACACACACCCACACCCCCCCCCCACACACACACACACACGAGCTGCCGCCAGATTTTTTAGTGTCAAAAAGAAAACCCCAAAAAGTTGGATTCAGATTCCAAAATGGCTTCGCTTTGTTGCCTTTTGCTTCAGGGATTTTTTTTGGGGAAAAAAAAGTATTTTCATGAATGAACCCTCCCCTTCTCTTTGTAATGATAGCTGTGAAGGTTGGTCAGCGAAGTGTGTCTTGAGGAGGAGGGAAGTGAAGGGTAAACGTTTCTGCCTCATTTCAGCCACGGTTTGAACTTTCTTTTTTTGTATGTGTATTGGTTCGATTTTTATTAAACATAAACTTGAGGGAACCAACTTTGCTGTGAGCTGTTAACACATGTGTGTCTGTGTGTGTGTCTGTCTCTGTCTGTGTGTGTGTCTGTCTGTGTGTGTCTGTCTGTCTGTGTGTGTGTCTGTCTGTGTGTCTGTCTGTCTGTGTGTCTGTCTGTGTGTCTGTGTGTCTGTCCCACACAGGGGGCTTCAGTAAGTTTCAGAGTGAGTACCCGGAGCATTGCCAGACGAGCCTGGAGCACAGCGCCTGCCCCAACAGTTCTCCCCCGGTGTCGGTGCTGGGGTTGGGGGGGCTCCGGATCAGCACCGACTGCCTCTCAGACAGCGAGTCGGACGCGGACCGGGAGCTGGGCAGCGCCACCGAGCTGGAGGGCAGCCCGTTGCTTGGCTCCCAGCCCGCATTCCCCGTCCAGATCCTGCCCTACCTGTACCTGGGATGTGCCAAGGACTCCACCAACCTGGACGTGTTGGGCAAATACGGCATCAGATACATCCTGAACGTCACCCCCAACCTCCCCAACATGTTCGAGAACGACGGCGAGTTTAAATACAAACAGATTCCCATCTCAGACCACTGGAGCCAGAACCTCTCGCAGTTCTTCCCTGAGGCCATTTCATTCATAGGTCAGTGTTTTCCCTCTTTGCTTTCCAGCTTTTTGTTTATCTCGGGATTGAACCTTTTCCAGTGTCTTCCTTTCCTCCCCCCTCCCCCCCCCCCCCCCCCACTCTCTCTCCCCTCCTCCTCGGTTCCTCTCTTACCCCTTTTCTTCCCCCTCTCTCACTCCCTTCCCCAGTCTCCCTGTTTGTTTTATAATAGTAAATAATAATAATGATAATCCTTGCATTGTATCGCATTGTCGAGATGTCTCCAAGCGCTTCACAGGATATACTGAAATGAAGTCTAGTGACTGTATTTTGTGGGCGAAATGAAGCAGTCAGCTTGTTCACAGCAACATGCTATGAACAGCCAATGGAACAATTTTATTTGGGGGATTGTTGGCCAGGACAGGGGGAGAGAGAAACTTCCTTCTCGTTTCCAATAGTGCGCGGGATCTTCAACATCCACCTGAACAGGACCTCGGTTTAACGTCTCGTCTGAAATATCACCTAAATATCTGTTTCTAGGGAATCATAAGATACGTTTTTTGAGGATCCCGAGAAGAAATTAGTTATTCTGTGGGTTTGTGTTTGTATGTCCTGAGTGCGGACTATTCTACCGCCCTCCTCGCCGGTCTCCCCTCCACTGCCATCCATAAAATCCAAATCATTCAAAACTCTGCCGCCCGCATTCTCACCCGCCCCAAACCCCACTCCCCGGTCTCTCCTCAAAACAGTACCCGTTACCTTTGTTCCTCCGGGTCTGGCCTCCTCCTCGTCCCCCGAGTCCTCCGCTCCACCCTCGGTGGCCATGCCTTCAGCCACTACGCCCCGAGGCTCTGGAACTGCCTTCCTCACTCCCTTCATCTCGCTCACTCTCTTCCCATTTTCAGGTCTCTGCTGAAGACCTTTCTTTTCAACCGCACCTTTGGTCACCTTCCTCCCCCTCCCCCTGGGTCGGTCCCAGTATCCGTTACTGTAAAGCTCTCTGTGAGAGCTGTCCGGCGTGGAGGGCACTATATAAATCCCAAGTTGTTGTTGTTGCGGTCGTGGTCAGTCATCGTGTACATTTGCAGCCCAGAAGGAGGCCTTTTGGCTCACAGAGACGGTCATTCATCATCACACTGCCCATTGGCCGGAACCCGCCAAGCCAGTCAGAGGTCAGTTGGGCAGTTAGTGGACAGTGAATTGCTGGGCAGGGTTTAACGCTCTGTCTCTTGCCCGTGTCTGGAGCTCTAGAGTGGGCAGGAATCTGTGTTAGGAACATAGGAACAGGAGGAGGCCATTCAACTCTTTGAGCCTGTTCCACCATTCTATTGGATCATGGCTGATAGTATTGAATGTGATGGTGGGATATGATCTGAAGCTAACCTCGTCCCTACGTTCCTCTCAAACTGATGTCTTGGCACTGAAGGTCCATGGCAGGAACTGAAGACTATTTGACAATCAGTTGCCCAACAGCATGTTTCAGTAGCCGCTCGATGTGCTTTGAGTTGGGAGCTCGGTTTGTGAATGACCTTTTCTGGCCTGTGTTCTGTTGCTGAGGTTCCTCCACTCACTCACCCAGAGACCCACAACCAGAGACATCACAGACCTGAAGGCCATTTGGCCCATTGTGTCTTGTGTCGCTCCCTTCAGCAATCCTTCCTGTTCACTCAGGCTGTGGATCCAGTCAGCGAACATTTGTGAAGTCAATATTCCTGACTGTGTTTGGGGTGGGAGGGGTGTCTGACTCGTCCCTCGCACCCTACGCCCCAACTTCAGAGGTCATGCTTTCAGCCCCCAAACTCTGGAACACTCTCCCTCAATTCCTCCGCCTTGCCCCCTCTCTCCCCTCTTTCAAGTCCCGCCTGAAAACTTTCCTGTTAAACCGTACTGACGGCCACCCCCCCTCCGGCTCGGAGTCAGGCTTCGCCACTGTTAAGCGCTCTGAGACGCTATCCTGCTTGGAGGGCGCTATACAAATGCAAGTTGTAGTTGTCTGTGTGTGTATTGTGTTAGGTTTGGGGAGGGTGGGGGGCGGGGGGTAGTACGCGCCCCCTCAAGATCCACATCTGATGGAAAGGTTCCTAATTGGGACTTGGATTAATGTTGAAACTTTTTTATTAAAGTCTATGAAAACCTGTAGATTTAAAGCCTCTAATTCTCGTGGGGATTTTTTTAACAAAACATCTGAAAAGCGCTTGGCAGTTGGTGGTCGGGAGGAGGTGAATGAGTGAGGAAATGAGAGATTTAAAGGTGGTGAAAGTCCCGGGGTGGGGAAGAGGACGAGGAGGAGGAGAGGGTGGAAGGCGTGGAGAGATAAGAGGCGGAAGCGATGACGTGAGTGAGAGAGGAAGGGAGGGGTGGTGTGGAGTCATTCTTGTTTTACAGGTTCCAATGAGCGGTTTGTTATCAGCAACTGGGTTTCCTGGTTGAGTAATTCACAGCTCACTAACTCCTACAATCTGCAGACGCATTTTTTTCTCTCAGTTTATTTCTGTATCCCGGGCCTGAAGTTCAGGCCACCCCACCGCCCCCCCCCCCCCGCCCCCCCCCCCCGGTCTTACTCTGCGGCTTTGTTTTTGTTTTGATTTTAAGTTGCTGCAGAATTCTGGCAAATTATTTGTTCACGTCTTAACTTGTGTTTCTTTTTGAGAAACTGCAGCTTCCAGAGTCCGGCTGTATTTAAGAACTTCCCAACGCCAGCGCCTCGGGTGGGGGTCACTGCATAGTCAGAGACACCGTCCTTCATATGAGATGTTAAACTGAGGTCCTGTTTGTGTCCTTTTCAGGCGGATGTTAAAGATCCCATGGCACTGTCGGAAAAGAGAAGGGAGTTCCTCTCTTGCTCCTGCTGTGCGCAATTTGCTGCCGCATTTCGCCCACAAAATATAGTCAACTCACTTTACAGTGTATATTCCGTGAAGCGCTTTGAGAAGTCTCAATGACGTGATAAGGCGCTGTATCAAATGCGAGGATTATTAGTAATAATGCTTCACTGTCTTAAACTGAAGAGGAAATGGCCTTTGGGCTGGGATCGGGTGGAATTTTGGGTGTGGCTGCCTGGTTAAAGTGCCTGATTACTTGGGTTAAGGGTCAACGAGTTCTGACCACAACAAAAACAACAACTTGCATTTACACAGTGCCTTCACACAGGCTGGTGTCTCCGAGTGTTTAACAGTGGCCCAACCGGGGAGAGGAGGCCATAGTCACGGTCGAAGAGGAAGGTCTTCAGTTGTGATCTGAAGATTGGGAAGGAGGGGATTGATGGCTAAAGTTTTGGGGTGTAGTGGCTAAAAGTAGCGGCCGAGGACGGTGGAATGGAGTGGGCGAGGGACAAGTAGGAGGCCGGAGCCAGCCGAGCGGAGGGAAGTGGGGTCAAGCCAGGTTGTGAGGGAGGGCTGAGCTGAAGACGAGTGTGAGGATGTTGAAGCCTCAAACCACTGACATGTTGTCTCTCTGTCTCTGTCTCTGTCACAGACGAGGCACGCGCCAAGCACTGTGGCGTGCTGGTACACTGCCTGGCGGGGATCAGTCGTTCGGTCACCGTCACCGTAGCCTACCTCATGCAGAAGCTCAACCTGTCTCTCAACGACGCCTACGACTTTGTCAAGAGGAAAAAGTCCAACATCTCCCCCAACTTCAACTTCATGGGCCAACTGCTGGACTTCGAGAGGACTCTGGGGACGACCAGCCCGTGTGACAACAACAACAGCAGCAACGCCAACGGCAACAGCAACAGCCGGGCCAAGTCTGAGCTGCACTTCACCACCCCCACCTCACACAGCGTCTTCCAGCTCCACTCGCTGGAGTCCACATGAAGCCTGGGGGGGGGCTCATCGCTGCCCACCGCTTCCTCACTGACGTTTATTTTCCGGGTGGTCTGGGCGCAGGATGACCTGGTCTGCCTCGCTCTGGCTTGGCTGCCTGACCTCCCGGGGCAGCCTGTGACTGTCACTAGCGAAGGCCACAGAAACCGTCCGAAGAAATGAGGCTTTAGCCTCAAGAGGCATTAAACAGCTTCTCTTTTCAGGGGAAACATTGGATTTTCAGAGCACGGCTCTCTCTCTCTGTGTCTCTGTCTCACTTTATCTCTCTCCCTCCCTCTGTGTCTGTCCCTCTCTCTCTCTGTGTGTCTCTCTCTCTCTTTCTCTCTCTCTCCCCCGGTATATGTGTCTCTCTCTTTGTTCTCACTCTCTGTCACGTTTCTCTGTATGTACGTTTCTTCTCTCTCTCGTGTGTGTGTGTCTCCCTCTGTCTATCTCTCCGCCCCTCTCCCTCTGGCCACAGTTTTGTTTGATTGCACGCCCGGCTGGTCCTTGCGGACGTGTCGCTGAGGTTGAGGGGGTTGACGGGCTGATGGGGGTGTCCCTCGTGTCACTGCGGTTGAGGGGGTGGGGGGGGGGGGCTGTAGGGGGGGGTCCCTCATGTCCTACGGTTTGTGTCCTTTTCAAAAGACTCGACTTGTACAAACTATTGTCCAATCAGCTTGTTTTGACGGGTGGGAGGGGGCAGTTTACTCCGCTCCCCCCTCACTGCACTGCACAGCAGTGAAGCCGTTTTCAGTCCCACTTGGCGTCTGGGTCTCCGTGGAGAGTGTTTCATTGTGTGTCAGTGCCAGTAGGCGTGGGGCTGGCGTTCGCCTGTAGCCAGGGCTTGCCTGTACCTGGTTTTTTTTTTTGCCTGTACCTGGTGCGGGCCCCGGGTTTGCCTGTACCTCGGGTTCGCCTGGACCGGGTTGTTCGCCTGTCGCCGGCATGGGGGGGTGGAAGTTCGCCTGTACCCGGAGTTCGCCTGTACCCGGTGTGTTTTTATGGTGAGTCGCGGATCGCCAGTGGGGACTGTTTTTAAGCCGTTTCCTCAAGTGCCGCTGAAGACATTTGGACGTTTATTTTTTTATTGTTGACGAGTCTCGAGGCTACTTTGTGGAAACGTTTTTTATTGTCTGCGGATCGCGGACACAGTGGGGCGCAGGGCGGGAGGGGGGGGGGTTTGCTCTGAATCCTCCCGCCCACGGCCCCCACTTTTTACCCTTTTACTCGGAGCGTCTCTGTCTCTGTGTTTGTTGTGGAGACTCGCGGATTCTCGCTCTCGGACCTTTGCCATCGCGTTGGAATTTCCACAATATTTTGCAAAAAAGACGCAAATGATCCTGAGATTTTTGTAGCTTTGGGAGTGTTTATTGGTGAGTCGGCGAGGCTGAGATTAACAGGCGGCAGTGACCACGCAGCTCGGGGTGGGGGGGGGGAGGGGGCGAGAGATGTGGGGGGGAATTTGGTTCATTGTAAAATGGACTTTTTTTTTGCACCTTAACCTCATTTTGAGGATTTTCAGGGATTTTACCAAAATGCATGCCTCGCCCTCGCCCCCCACTTGCCCCTCGCCCCCCTGTCGGGGTGTGAGACCCCGTGTTGCCGGCCTGTCTCGGAGGTGTCTCGCTTTCTGATTTATGAAGGACAGAAACTATATTGTATCGTAACCAATATCCCTGTTTATACTGCAAATAAAATAAATACCAATTATTTTTTCTTTACATCCCAGTCTCCTGGTTTGTGCTCAGTGTAGCTGTGTCTCACCAGCACTCACGCTCGCGGTCTGTTTTGGGGGCGAGGGGCGTGTTGGGAATCTGTGTTTTGATTGGGGATGGTTGGTATTGTGTGTGTGGGGTGGGAACTCAGTGTGTGTGTAGGTGGCTGTGTGTGTGGCTTAGTGTATGCGTATGGGGGTGGCTCAGTGTGTGTGTGCAGATGTGGGTGAGGTTAGTTACACTGCTGTGGCTGCTCATTAATGAGAGAGACACAGATATACACACAACACACACATAGATACGCACACACGCGGCAGGAGTTCAGACTGTAGCTTTCTCTTGCTCTGTAAGCAACGCCTGTGATGAAATGTGCTTAACCCTTTCAGCTCCTGGTGTGTCTGCACTCAGTCCATCCTCCCCCCACCCCCGCGGGTCTGTGCCCGGGGCAGGGAGACTGGCGGGGGGTGGCAGAGACTGACTGGACAGAGAGGAGTCAAGTTACAGCTTTTAAACGTTTCCTTTTTTTTTAGAAAACCAGCAGCTCCAGAGTGTTTACAGATGTGGGTTTTACAGATGTGGTTGTGGCGGAGAGAGTGGGAGGGTGGAGAGAGGGGGGGGTGGGAAGAAAGGCGGGGGTGGGGAGTGAGGGGGATAGAGGGGGGGAGATAGTGAGTGGGCGAGAGAAGGGGGGCAGGAGGTGGGGGGGGGATGAGATTAAAATTAATTTTGCAATCAAAAGCTTTAAAAAAAAGGCTGTGGGGAGGGTGGGGTCTTCGGGCTGTAAATGCCGCCCGTTCACAGGAACCAGAAAGTATCTCCTATCCGGAGGGAAGGGCGCCTGGGTGGGGGGCAGCGGGCCAGGGGAGGGGGGGGAGGAGCCGGGTTTGGGAACCGCTTCCACTCAGCCCCGAGACCGTGTGTTTTGCTGACGTTTAAACATTAACCATCAGGGATTATTCATTCACTGAATGTCAGCCGGGAATTGGTGAATGGGGGGGTGGGCGGGTGAGTGGGGGCTATTACATCGCTATCCTTCAACAGGCAGAGAGTCCCAGTGAGGGTCCAGTCAGTCCAGGCGGTGTCATTCCCTCTCTGTCTGCCTCTCACGCTCTCTCTGTCCATCTTGTTCTGTGACTCTCTATCTCTGTCTCTCTCTCCCTCATTCACCCTCTCGTTCTCTGTCTCTCTCTCCCTTTCTCACTCCCCCTTTCTCTCTCCCTTTCTCTTTCTTTCTTTCTTACTCACTCTCTCTCACTGCTGTACACACAGCTGCTATTTCCAGCTCTCACGAGAGAAACCATGGAAACCGCCTCCTGTAATGTCTTTCCCTGAAAGACGGAATTTGTATCTTGTTTTATTTCTCGAAATTCTCAAAGCTCAGTAACTATTGCCGGGTGTAGTGACTGTGGTCGTGGGAAGCCCGGGGTGGGGTGGAGGGAAAAGGGGGGGTTGGTTAGGATGTGGTGATTTACACACTAGTTAGTGTGAGATGCGTTGTGTGTGAGCGAGGGAATGAGCGCTGTGTCAGGGAGTGAGTGTGAGGGAGTGAGCGAGGCTGTGTCAGGGAGTGAGTGTGAGGGAGTGAGCGAGGCTGTGTCAGGGAGTGAGTGTGAGGGAGTGAGCGAGGCTGTGTCAGGGAGTGAGGGCAATGTCCCCATCAGTGATCGTTGACCTTTGCTGTAATCGCTGCAGTGATTGGGAGGTTGACTGTCACTAACCACAGCTACAGTCTGACACACGGCTCCAATTAATTATTGATTCAGTGTTTAACCAGGAGCTTTAGGTCAATATTTTACCTCCCTCCGTCTCCTCTCCCCCACCCTCCCCCCACCTCTCTCCCACTGTCTCCCCTACCCACTCTCCGCTTGCCCCTCTCCACCCCCCATCTCCGGCTCCTCTCCCTCCCCCTTTCCCCACTCACTCCGCCATCCCCTCACACCTCCTGCCCCATAATTAGATCCTGTCTGAAGACCTTCCTTTTTGACCCCTCTCCGCTACCGTTAGGAGCTGTGAGACACTGCCCTTCCCGTGTAAATCAACTTGTTGCTCTGTGTGCGCGTGTGTGTGAACATGTGCGTGCGCGTGTCTGTATGCGTGGATCTATGTGCGTGCGTGTGTGTGCGGGTATGTATGTGCGCGTGTGTCTGTGTATGTGTGTGTGTGGGTATGGGTATGTGCGTGTGTGTATGTGTCTGTGTGAGCGTGTGTGTGTGTGTGGGCTGTATGTCGCGGGGAGGTGTGGGCAGCGTGTTGGGAGTGTTGGTGTCACCGTACAGTTGCCTGTGGGAGGGGGAGGGAGCAGCAGCAGCTGTTGGTAACAGGATGTGATTCACGGCGACTCAGGGGAACGAGCAAAACACTAATTACATATTTTCAAGCCACCTTTTGATTGTGGAAAAGACATTCCTGTATCCAGCGGCAACGTGACTCCACACGCCTGGAGCTGCTCTCAACCTCTCCACTCACTGCTCCCAGCCTAGAGCGAGAGAGAGAGAGCATTGTAAACCCACCCACTCCACTGTGTGACACCCCCCAGGGGGAATGGGGTGAGAGTAGAGGGCTCCAGTGGGGGAGTGAGCCCCAGCACCGACACGATGGGGAGAGAACAGGGAATGGGGTGAGAGTAGAGGGCTCCAGTGGGGGAGTGAGCCCCAGCACCAACAGGATGGGGGGTGTTGGTTTGGTTTTGGGGGTTAAGCGAGGGGGGCGAGGGGAGGATGTGAGTGTTGGACTGCCATCGCTGAGGGAGGGAGTGTGAGTGTTGCTGAGCCACCGGCTGGAGTTTGTAATAACACAGAGGCTTTGTGCTGCCACTGACACGGCCCATTGTGTCCCTCGCACACTGCCTGGCCTCGGGCAGCGGCCAGAGCGTGTGCCCACCCGGAGCTCCCTGCGGACATACGCTTACACACGCCAGCCACATGCTTACACACGCCAGTCACACGCTTACACACGCCAGCCACATGCTTACACACGCCAGTCACACGCTTACACACGCCAGCCACTCCGCGATCTCACCCGCAGTGAACTCCACGCCCCGATTACTCCAGTCCTGGCCAAACCCCACTGGCTCCTGTCACAGAGCGGATCCACTTCAAGATCCTCACTCTAGTGTTTAAATCCCTCCATTCTTTCGTCCCCCATCTCTCTCCACTCCTCTCTCCCCACAGCAGTACCCACTGCCTCCGCTTTACTGGGTCCGGCCTCCTCTGCGTCCCCCGAATCCTCCGCTCCACCATCGGCAGCCGTGCCTTCAGCCACTACACCCCGAATCTTTGGAACTCCCTCCCTCAACCCCTTGGCCTCGCCCCCTCCTTCCCCATCCTCAGATCTCGCCTGAAAACCTTCCTTTTCGACCGCTCCTACGGTCACCTTCCCCTCCCCCCGGCTCGGCCTCGGACTCCGCCATTGTTAAGCTAAGAGACGCCGCCCGGCGTGGAGGGTGCTGTATAAATGCAAGTTGTTGAATTGCATGTCAGAGTGACTCCAGGGGCAGTTACAGGATGGTGTAGTGACTGTGCATTTGTGGGTAAAGATGGCAACCAAAGTCTCTTCCTACTTCAACCCCACCCCCACTCCGGGGTGAGTTGGGGGAGGGGAAGCGAGGCTAAGTGTTGGCGTGAGGAATGATGACGCTGAGGCTGAGGCCAAGAGATGACAGGAACCACAAGTGTTAATACTCAAACCACAACTAGCAACTGCACACTGGGTCCTGTCCCACAGGGTTTCCTCTCCCCTCGGCCGGGGCGGGGTGGGGGGCCAAATGCTATCAAATGCTATCAATTACACGCATTGCTCTCACAGCTCTCATAATGATCCTTGTATTTCACACAGCGCCTTATCACGTCTTTGAGACGTATCAAAGCGCTTCACAGGATTTACTGTAAAGTGTAGTGACTGCATATTTTGTGGGCGTGCAGCAAATTAATCCCTCCCTTCCCCAGTGGGGGCTGGAGGCTGAGCCTGGTTAAGCTTGGCACGGTTTGGCACATTGGGCCGGTGGAATGGCCTCGCTCTGTGCTGTCACTCTCGAGGTCAGGACACAATTGAATCGTCTCTGTTAATGTTCAGTGCAAGTCTGAGCCTGAGACAGAGGGCAGGGAGCATCTATCTGTGTGTCCGTCTGTCTGTGTGTCGGGCTGTGTGTCTGCGTGTGTCACGATATAATCTTACACGCAGCCCAGCCACACTCCAGCTCACACACTCCCCCTGTGTCTCGCACACACACACACACACACAGACACAAACTCCCCCTCCTCATAGACACAGACCCACACACTCAGGCTAAGACTAGTTGGTTCCAGTTAGAGTAAAGCCACCTTATCTGTGTGGGAGCACACTTCCTGTAACACAGCCAGGAGCCTGATTGCTACATAATGGTGCTGGGCTTTTGGCCAACGCCTGCCATGCTTGCTCGCTCGCTCACTCGCTGATCCCTGTCTAACCGTTCCTTCCCACTGAAAGCGGGGAATAATCCCCAACCCCAACTCCACCCCCCACACACAAACACCCCATTTCCCCCACACCCCCCAAACAAACCAGTTCAGTGTGTGTCAGCCAGGCTCGGTATGTGTAGTGACTTCGGGTTTTTGTGGCCGAACACAGCAGCCGGTTTACACCCAGCAATGTCCCCAAAAACAGCCGTGAAGTGAGCCACTGACGTTATTTGGGGGATTGTCGGCCCTGACCCCGGGAGAGACGGAGAAACAAACTCCCATGGCTTTTTGACGAGTGCCGCAAGATCAGTTTATAGACAGACAGTGTGGCCGAGAGTGGGTGTCGCTGGGGGCTGTGACTGTGTGTGTGTCGGATGCCTGTTATTGGGGTTGGAATTATCGGCACCTTGTAATGGTGAGAGAGTGATAATAATAATAATAATAATCCTTGCATTTGATAGTGCAACTGAAGGAGAGTGAGAGCAAGAAGAGTAATAGAGAGCAAGAGAGACAGACAGAGCTTAACAGAAAGAGCATGAGAGAGGGAGAGAAACAGAGAGAGATAGAGAGTGAAACAGAAAGATAAAGAGTGAAACAGAGAGAGAGAGGAGAGATGACACCTCTCCCAGGCTGAGCTCAGGGTGTATACAGAGCTAATCTGGGACCTGCTTCCTGTCTGTATTCGGTGATTTCACGCCTCACTTGCTGTTGTTTGGATTTAATTCATTATGTTTTCCTGAGCAAATTAATGTCAGAACATCACCGGCAACCCGCTCCCTAATTATAGCCTTAACAAAACTCCAGCATCTTGTAAACCTCTCCCCCCCACCACCACCGCGCAAATCTCACACACTCACTCACACACACGCTTGTCTGCAGAGCCAAGAGAAATGAATCACTAACTGTGACTGAGAGTGAGAGAGACAATTGAATATACAGGAAAACATAAGAGCACAGGGAAGCACACCAGCACAGACATGATGGGGAGAGAGCGAGAGCAGGGAATGGGGTTAGAGTAGAGAGCTCCAGTGGGGGAGCGAACCCCAGCACAGACACGATGGGGAGAGAGAGAGAGAGCAGGGAATGGGAGGATTAGAGTAGAGAGCTCCAGTGGGGGAGCGAACCCCAGCACAGACACGATGGGGAGAGAGAGAGAGAGCAGGGAATGGGGTTAGAGTAGAGAGCTCCAGTGGGGGAGTGAGCCCCAGCACAGACACGATGGGGAGAGAGAGAGAGAGCAGGGAATGGGGTTAGAGTAGAGAGCTCCAGTGGGGGAGCGAGCCCCAGCACAGACACGATGGGGAGAGAGAGAGAGAGCAGGGAGTGGGGTTAGAGTAGAGAGCTCCAGTGGGGGAGCGAGCCCCAGCACAGACACGATGGGGAGAGAGCGAGAGCAGGGAGTGGGGTTAGAGTAGAGAGCTCCAGTGGGGGAGCGAGCCCCAGCACAGACACGATGGGGAGAGAGAGAGAGCAGGGAGTGGGGTTAGAGTAGAGAGCTCCAGTGGGGGAGCGAGCCCCAGCACAGACACGATGGGGAGAGAGCAGGAAAGAGAGAGACAGAGAGAGGGAGACAGGCTGAGCCAGACAAAGATGATCATCTAACCAGATAATCAGGACCTCTTTTCACGTAACTAAACCTTGCTGTGTGTGCAGGAGCAGTGCTGGGGTCAATGTCCCAAATAAACCCCTAAATCGCCCCCTTTTCACATCTCAGGAGAAAAATTGTGTAAAAGTTAGTGAGAGCGAGAGTTAAACCGGTTTCAACAGATTGTTTATTTATCTTCAGGGTTGATTGGATGAACTGAAGGGTTACTCACCCTCTACTCTCTCCCCTCTACCCAAATCCCCCCAAATTACCCCCCTCTCCCCCCAGTAAATCTCCTCCAGACTCTGAGCCGACAGCGAATGGGGGAATGGTGAGAGAGTCAATGAGTGAGCTGTGAGCGCCTCCCAGTGGCCACATTGGCTCATTGCATAGGCAAAACCCTCCTGTTCTCAGTAATTTTTCTTTTTTTTGTGTGTTTTGCCCACAAAGTACACAGTAAATTCACTTTATGGTATGTTCTGTGAAGAGATTTGAGATGTCTCAAAGACATTAAGGCGTTATATCAAATGCAACAATTATTATGTATTATTTACTTTGGCCTCTGACTGTTGGACCTTTGCTAACATTAAACAACTCAAATTCACTCATAGCCTGTCTGTGTGCACACACACACAAACCACACACACAGACACTCACACAGACTATATAACACACACATGCACCATATACACACAGATTATGTAACACATACGCACATACCACATACACAGACTATAACGCACATAGATTGTGCCAAACGCACACAGAGTCCAATGTGGGGTTGAGGATGGCAGGGACACGCCCTTGTTGTCCCCGGGGCGGTGTTTAACAGCTGCGGTGCGCAGGGTGGGGATGATGTGCTGGGTTTGGCAGTGCTGGGGCTTCAGTTCTTACAGAGGGGGTTTGGAGCTCGGCCAGTGGTGCTGCCTCACCGACATCTGTATCTCATTGTCATTCTCAAAGCTGGAGCTATGTGCCAGAACCATGTGGTGTGCACTGTGTGCCATCAGCCAGCGCTGTGAGCCATGAGCTGTGTGTCTCAGCGTGATGCATGGCCACAAGTGGTGTGGGGGCACCGAGCTTACAGCTGGCTCATCCGCACTAACAGTCAGATGTTCATCCACACAAACAGCCCCCAGCCTCCACCCCACAGCCCCCAGTCTTCTGCCCCCAGCCCATAGTCCCCAGCCTCCAGTCCCCAGCCTCCATCCCCCCAGCCCCCAGCCTCCATCCCCCAGCCTCCATCCCCCAGCCCCCAGCCCGCTCCTCCAAGCCAGCCAGACCACGATCAGCAACTCAGCTCAGCGTGGGGTTGGGTGTTGGGGCCTTGGGCACTGACAGCCTCGGCTTCAATGTTCCCTGTGAGAGACATGTTAATGATGGTGGGGGGTGGGGGAGCTGCCAGTCTGTCTCTCTGCCCGTGTTCTGTGCCGTGTGGCTCGGGAGTATGTGCAAACACTAACAGACACCCAGTGACGTTCAGTGTGTGACGTGCGATGGCACTTGTGAAATTATCACGTCCTTCACTTGACAAAACTACTCCTGCAGTGCAGGGAGCAGCCTGGCGGGGTGGGGGTGGGGGGTGGAAGGGGGCGCAGGGGGAGAGCAGAGCGTGTTTGTGTGTGGGGGGGGGCAGAGCTCGGGGGAAATCCATTTGGCGGTGGGGGGAAGGAATTCTTTATTAAGGGCTTGCCAGCGAAAAAGGGGAATGTGAGGAAAGGTCCCGTGTGTGGGGGTGCACAGAGCATGTGTGTATGTGTGGGGGGGGGCGCAGGGCACGTGTGTGGGGGGTGCGCGGGGCACGTGTGTGTGGGGGTGCGCGGGGCACGTGTGTGGGGGGTGCGCGGGGCACGTGTGTGTGGGGGTGCGTGGGGCACGTGTGTGTGGGGGTGCGTGGGGCACGTGTGTGGGGGGGGCGCGCGGGGCACGTGTGTGGGGGTGCTCGGGGCACGTGTGTGGGGGTGCGCGGGGCACGTGTGTGGGGGGGTGCGCGGGGCACGTGTGTGGGGGAAAGCCAGTGCAGTGGGGGCTCTGTGGGCAGCCCATGACAGAGCGCACAATGGGCTGAATGGCCTCTTTCTGTGCTGCAAAATTTGGAAATCATTTAGAAACATCGTCTGAGAGGTTTCCGGGGCATTCCCCCCACTCCCCGCGGCCAACAACAACAACAACAGCAACAGCAACAAAACCCTGGAAATAATAATCACTGTCCAAAATAAACCCTCTGCTCTGTAACCCACAGGGGAGGGGGGGAGGTTTAGACACCCGGAACCTTTCTTCCGCGCCTGTGTTTTCCACCTGCGGCGGCCGAGGGGGGAAGAGACAGTGGGACGGCACCGCCGCGCTCGGTCCTTTCTCTTCCGGCGGCGACTGAGGTGAGATGGCGGCGGGTGGCGGGGACGGCGCGGGCGGTACAATCGGGCGCCATCCGCGGCGCCGGGCGGCCACCGGGCGGCGGTGGAGGCTTTGGGGAGCGGGGCGGGGGTCCGGGGGGGGAGTGGGGTGGGGCGCGGGGGGGGGGGGAGCGGCCGTGACGGTGTTCTCCCGCTGACCGCCATGTTGTTGTTGTTGTTGCTGTGTTCCAGGCAATGGCCAAGTCCAAGAACCACACCACCCACAACCAGTGTGAGTCTCCCTCTCAGCCCCGGCGGCAGCTCTCCGGGCCCCGGGCCCCGGGCTCGGGCCTGTGCCCTGTGCCCTGTGCGCTCGCGCCCTCCAGACGTCTCCAAAGCGCTTTCGCGGGGACACCCCGGAAAGTGTAGTGACTGTGCATTTCCCCCCCGGGCGGGGCCGGGCCGGTGGTCCCGGTGCTGGGGCTGCCCTGAGGGGTGTGGGGGGGGGACGTGCGGCCTCGCTCCGCTCCTCTCCCCTCCCCTCCCGGTACCGTCGGGAGCTGCTCGAGCGCCTCCTATCAAATCTCCCCTCAGCCCTTCTCCCGCTCTCTTCGGGTGAACGATCTCATCCTCTTCAGTCTCCACGTCATCGTAGCCTCTCATCTCTCACGGTCCCGTTTCTGGTCCATCTTCTCCGCACCTTCTCCAAGGCCCCCGGTACCCTTCTCCCGACTCGGGCACAGTTACTCCTCCTCCTAAACCAGCGCTTTGTGTAATATTATAAGAGTGATCTTTGCATTCGATACGGCGCCCGATCACGTCTTCGAGACGTCTCAAAGCGCTTCGCAGGGCAGACTGTAAAGTGTGTTGACTGTGTGTTTTGTGGGCCAAACACGGCGGCCAATTGCACACAGCAGCGTCCCCACAAACAGCCGTGGGTTGAAGTGACCAATTTATTATCTTTGTTTTTTCTTGGCGGCTTATTATCAGGCGCGTGGAGTAAGGAAACTTGCCCATGCTGTGGCCCTGCCGGGGGTCAAACCCAGGTCTTTCACTCGCAAGGCGAGGGCTCTAACCACTGAGTTACAGAACATAACTTCCTCGCTCTTATAATCTGTGCCTCTATTTATAAAACCCACGGATCCCATGTGCTTTTTTAACCGCTTTGTCAATTTCTCCTGCCACCTTCAAAGCTTGACTGGAGCCTGCATTCGAAAGTGATTGTGGCATTACCTGTGGCCTGGTCATTGATGCTGCAGGCAGAGTATTGTAAATGTTTCCCCGTGTTTATGGGGGTGTCTGTCTCCCATTGAGCCTTGTAATGTTTCCACATGCCGTCGCTCGCTGCTGTTTATGTGAATTTAGTTATTTGCACGCTTCTAACCTGTGTCGTTTACACCCCAGCTCGTAAGTGGCACAGAAATGGGATCAAGAAACCCAAGACAGAGAGATACGAGCCTCTGACTGGGGTGAGTACAGAGTCGCTGCAGAGGTGGAAGAGAGCTCGAGCCATCACAGTACAGTTTACATTTATATATGCTTTCGCATTGGAATACTTCCAAAGGGCTTAGGTAACAGGGCACGGACACGACAGGAAAAGGGCAGGGAATGGGGTTAGAGTAGAGAGCTCCAGTGGGGGAGCGAGTCCCAGCATAGACACGATGGGGAGAGAGAGAGAGAGAGAGCAGGGAATGGGATGAGTGGCGAGTTCAGGTTCTGAGTCCGAGCTGAAGGCCGATGCTGAACTTGTTTCTGTGGGTAAATGCTTGCTGGAGCCTGCATTCGAAAGTGATTGTGGCTCTGTCTGTGGCCTGGTCATTGATGCTGCAGGCAGATTATCGCAAATGTTTCCCCGTGTTTATGGGGGTGTCTGTCTCCCATTGAACCTTGTAATGTTTCCACATGCCGTCTCTCGCTGCTCCTTTGTGAAGTCTGTTTAATGAGGCGAGAAGATTGCAGCTTCTCTGGCGGCCACTCTACATCTGTTACCTTTGGATTTGCTTAAACTGTTTTTTGTTCAGCCGAATGTCTTGACAGTTGCGGAAACCCGTCCTCAGTTTGATTATTGAACGTAAACTGAGAATTCCATGCATCCCACCTACACGTGGAAACTCCAGAGATAAATTGGTAGAATGGAATGCCAGTTAGGACCACACTGGTTGTTAGAGCTGTGGCTTGCAGGGTTAACTGGAGCTGAGTGGGATGACTCCTTGCTCCCAGTTACCTGTAAAAAAGTTTCCTTGCACTTGCCATGTTTCTACAGCTCATGTTGCTGGGCTCTGTTGGTGACACGCTTCCACTTTCGGCTGTCATCAGCAATGCCCTGGAATACTGCAGACGCTCCTGACTCAGGAACTGGACGAGAGACCGTCACAGAGGACAGGCTCGATTCTGACATTCCATTGCCAAACATGTCACCTTGGGGCCAGTTTAGCACCACCAGCCCCCGCCCCACCCTTCAAGGAGTTGTCACTATGGTTAAATAGTTGTAAATTATTTTCCAGTTTGTTTATAGATAATTTCATTTATTTTCCGTTTCCCCTTACCTGCCTGCCTCTGATAGTGACTTTGTGAACTCTCACTCCCATTCCCTGCTCTCTCTCTCTCTCCCCTTCGTGCCTGTGCCGGTGCTCGCCCCCCCCCACTGGAGCTCTTTACTCTAACCCTGCTCTCACTCTCTCTCACCCCATTATCTCTGCTCAAAATGCATGAGGTCCAATCTGTATGTGGTCAGATTTGTTTGCAGTGGATCTTGCTAACTTTCGCTTTTGCTCTCTCTCAGGTGGACCCCAAATTCCTGAGGAACATGCGATTCTCTAAGAAACACAACAAACGAGGGAAGAAGGCGGTCGCTGCACAGAAGAGTGTGAAGGGCTGAACCCGTGAGCTGTGACACTCACTATCCTGGGGCGGGGAGCAGGGTGTGGGGGGGGGGGGGGGGTAATGTCCATATCATGTTATGATAAGTTTGTTAAATAAAAAAAAATTATCCTTGCACTTGCCATGTCTCCGCGGCTCATGTTGCTGGTCTCGGTTGGTGACCCTTTGGACTTGGGGTTCGAGCCCCACATCGGAGCTTTACGCCGAGTCTCGGCTGATGCAGAGTCGTTGGGGAACCGAGATGCTGTTCTTCAGATCATGTGTTAAACTGAGCTCCTGGTGATGGCTGCTCAGGCAGACATTAAAAGTTCCTGTCGTGCTATTCAGAAAGAGGAGGGAGTTTCTCTCCTGGTGTCCTGGCCAACAATCCCCCAAATAACGTTGGTGATTTATTTACTGTGCAATTGGCTGCTGCATTTTGGCTACAAAATAAACAGTCAATTCACTTTAAAGTACATTCTGAAGCACTTTGAGATTTATCGAAGACATGAAAAGGCGCTGTATCAAATGCAAGAATTATTATTATTTATTTACTTCCCGGCTGCTATTGGGACATTGCTGTGTGAAGGTGGATCCTGTATACATCCACAACATAATAATAATTACACCTGATAAATAATATAATAATAGTAGTCCTTATATCTGAGACAGCGCATTTCACAGCGGGAGAATGTCACAGGGTTTACCGTAAATGTAGAGTGACGGTTCTCACCTTTTGGGGATCCAGCAACAGGACTTTATCTACAGTTATGGATTGGTCAGTCCAGAGAACTGGCTCATACTAACAGTGCTACTGCTTACCCTGACCCCTCATTAACACAAAACTCCAGTAGTACTTATTTCATGTCAAATAACTTCGGTTTTATATCATGCACATACTTCAGCACACAGTATAAGGTAAAAGTGCAAGTCTTCAAAACTCTCCCATCACCAGTAGCTCCTCCCCATCACCAGTAGCTCCTTTCCCATCACCAGTAGCTCCTCCCCATCACCAGTAGCTCCTCCCCATCACCAGTAGCTCCTTCCCAATCACCAGTAGCTCCACCCCATCACCAGTAGCTCCTTCCCCATCACCAGTAGCTCCACCCCATCACCAGTAGCTCCTTCTCCATCACCAGTAGCTCCTCCCCATCACCAGTAGCTCCTCCCCATCACCAGTAGCTCCTCCCCATCACCAGTAGCTCCTTCCCCATCACCAGTAGCTCCTCCCCATCACCAGTAGCTCCTTCCCCATCACCAGTAGCTCCACCCCATCACCAGTAGCTCCTCCCCATCACCAGTAGCTCCTTCCCAATCACCAGTAGCTCCACCCATCACCAGTTGCTCCTTCCCCATCACCAGTAGCTCCACCCCATCACCAGTAGCTCCTTCTCCATCACCAGTAGCTCCTCCCCATCACCAGTAGCTCCTCCCCATCACCAGTAGCTCCTCCCCATCACCAGTAGCTCCTTCCCCATCACCAGTAGCTCCCCCATCACCAGTAGCTCCTTCCCCATCACCAGTAGCTCCTTCCCCATCACCAGTAGCTCCACCCCATCACCAGTAGCTCCACCCCATCACCAGTAGCTCCTCCCCATCACCAGTAGCTCCTCCCCATCACTAGCAGCTCCTCCCCATCACCAGTAGCTCCTCCCCATCACCAGTAGCTCCTCCCCATCACCAGTAGCTCCTTCCCCATCACCAGTAGCTCCTCCCCATCACTAGCAGCTCCTCCCCATCACCAGTAGCTCCACCCCATCACCAGTAGCTCCTCCCCATCACTAGTAGCTCCGCCCCATCATTAATAGGCAAACAATCTACACAGACAGTGCTCTCAATGGCAAGCTATGTGGTTTTAGCTGGTTAGACTCCAGCATTTATCCCAATACACAATGGGCTCCCCTGAAGCCTTGGCTGTTGCCAACCTGCACCTCTTTGTGAGCCAGATCCACAAGCAAAGGCTGACCCCAAGGCTGGTGGGAACAGGTATCCACTACAGTAGTGACTGTAGATGAATGCAACAGGTAATTTGTGCACAGCAACATCCCACAAACAGCCACGTTATGAATTAGTGATCTTTATTTGGAGGATTGTTGGCCAGGACCTCGCGAGAGAAGCTCCCTTCTCCTTTTCCAACAGCCGCGGGAGCTTTAATGCTGCCTGAACAGGCACAGACAGGAAGCTTCACTTAACATCTCAGCTGAAGGGTGTGATAGTACAGCACCGCCCCCCCCCCGAACTGTACTGTATCCAACACAGGACTTAAACCTCACAGCCTGAGGCCGGACTGCTACCCCCAGAGTCAGGCTGTCCTCATCGGCCTTCCCAACTCTTCCCTTCTCAAGCTGCAGATCATCCAAACTCTGCAGCTGGTGTACTCTCACGCACCAGGCTCTGTGACCCCATCACTCCCACCCTCGCCCGGCTCCACTGGCTCCCCATCCCCCAGCGGATCGAGTTCAAGATCCTCGTCCTCTCCTTTAAGGCCATCCATGGCCTTGCCCCCTCCTACCTCTCTGACCTGCTGACTCCCTACCAACCTGCCCGCTCCCTCCGTTCATCGGGCTCCGGGCTGCTCCATGTCTCCCGGCCGACCCGCCCTACCATCGGTGGCTTTCAGCCTCTCTGCCCCCACACTCTGGAACTCCATCCCAGGGTCTCTTCGCCTCACTTCCTCCCTCGCCTCCTTCAAGGCTGGTCTCAAGACCCTCCTCTTCGACCGTGCCTTTGGTCTCCCTCCCATCTCTCTGCCTTTCCTCACCCCTACACCTGTAGGAGCCCTGTAGCTCAGTGGTTAGAGCACTCGCTTTGCAAGTGAGAGACCTGAGTTCAATTCCAGGCAGAGGGCGAAACCTTGGGCAAGTTTCCTTACTCCACACAGAGCCTAATAATAGTCCCTCCAAAACCAAAAACAATAATAAATTGGTCATTTTCAATCTACGACTGTTTGTGGGACATTGCTGTGCGCAATTGGCTGCCGCGTTCGCCCACAAATATACAGTCAATTCACTTTACAGTGTGTTCTGTGAAGCGCTTTGGGACCTCCTCCCGACGTGAAAAGCGCTATATCAAATGCAAGGATTATTATTATTATTATTATTACACCACCCCTCCCCCATGCTCAGGCCCCGCAGCTGACTGTTCAGGGCTTTGGGACGTCCTCCCGACGTGAAAGGCGCTCTATAAATGTAATTTTGCTGTTGTCTGACACACAGGCACAGTCACAACACCTCACAGTAAATGCTGAGGAAGTACTTTGAGGTGTCCTCCAGATGTCCTGCTCGCTGTAGACCACAGATCGCTTGTCCCCAGGGAGCTGTATAGGGTTGTCCTCACCACAGGCACTGCTCCATATACCAACCCAGCATGTTCACTGAACTCCAGCTTATGTGTGTGTGTGTGTGTTTGTTGCGTGTGAGAGGAGGAAGGGGTTCTGCCTGCACCAGATAATGACAGCAATAGAGAGATGTATATGGAGACGGAGAGGCAGAGATATGTGGTGCTGTATCTACAATGGGGGCAGGTCCCATTCCATGTGGTTATGAGGCTGAGCGTGAGGCTTGTGTGCAAGTCAGGACGGGTTGACGATGGAGCAGGGAAGTGGGGGGTGGAGAGTAACAGCCCTGAGGGAGTTGGTCATGTTTGTACCTGTTTGTTTTTCGACCAATAAATTGCGAAACAATGGGAAGCTTTAAGCTGTGTGCCAGAGGCTCCTGCCAGGCAGGAGGGACGACTATGAGATGGGGCGGCAGTAAATGCTGATTCTATTGAGGTTGTTTCTCACAGGGACTGGTTATAATCATTAGGTTATATCCTTATCACACCTTCCGAGACGTCTCAAGGCGCTTCACAGGGTACTCTGTACAGTGACTGTGTGTTTTTGTTAGCCAGAGAGCTAAGGAAGGTGAGAGGATCTCACGGTTTTCAGTTGGGGATTTCCAGTGATTTGTCTGTCTGTCTCTCTCTCTCTCCTCCACCCAAAACCACCAGCAGATGTTCTGTTGCAAAACAACAGTTTCGTTTCTCTGATTTGATGTCACTGGCCTCAGTTCCTTTGGTTTTGTTTTCTGACAGGAAACTAGATGCTGCACAGCTAATGGCCCTGGGCTTGGGGGGGCCTCACCGCCAGGGGGATATTGAGGGCAGAACAGAACTCAAGCAGTGTTGATATTAGTAACATTACATTCTGTTCCAAATTAATGATTATTGCTGCTCATTCACAGACTGTAAGCCTTCCAACAACACTTGTTCAGACACATGTGTGGGGGGGTGGGCGATGTCACAGAGCACTTTACAGAGACGGGAGTGGGAGTCCGAGTGGGAAAGGGGAGGATGCGGGCGGGGTGGAGGTTGGCAAGGAGGGAGGGGAACGCAGGGCGAGGAGGGAGATGAGGCACAGATGGATGTGTGCGAGTGAGCACTCTATCCTCTTAGTCAGATTGCGGGTGTAAGCCCCACATGGGGACTTTGTGCTCACGAACCAGGTCTGGGTTTCACATCGCATTCAAAGAGCAGCATCTCTGACAATGCAGTGCTCTCTCTCCCCACAATCTGTGCCGGGGGAGGAGAGGCAGAGAGAGAGAGCTGCTTTGTCAGAGATACTGCTCTTTGGATGCGATGTGAAACCCAGGCCCAATCTGTGCGCTGTACAGGTGGACGTTAAAGATCCTGTGGGTTATTGGGGAAGAGAAGGGAATTTCTCTCTCTCTCTCCCAGCGTTCTGCCCAACAATCACCCGATACAATTACTCAGTCACTTCATTGGCTGTTTGCAGGATATTGCTGTATGCAAATTGGCTGCCGACGTTGCCTACAAAATACAAAAGTGTATGTAACTGGGTGTGTCTGTGAGGTGTTAATCTAGAGTGAGTAAGTGTGTATGTGTCTAACTGAGCCAGTGTGTGTAGCTGCCTGTATCTGTGAGTGTCAGTGCGTATAAGGAGGCCATTCAGTCCCTCGAGCCTGTTCTGCCATTCTGATAGATCATGGCTGATCTGTACCTCAACTTCAACTATCCGCCCTTTTCCCCATATCCCTTGATACCCTGACCTAACAAACATCTGGCCACTTTAGTCTTGAAGACGTAAATGGATCCGGCATCCTTAGCCTTTTGGGGGAGAAAGTTCCAAATTCCCTCTACTCTTTGGGTGAAAAACTACCTCCTGATTTTATTCCCAAATGGCCTATCTCTAGTTTTAAGATGATGCCCCCTTGTTCTGGATACCCCCGGCACCCGAGGAAATAGTTTCTCTGAAGCTACCTAATCAAATCCGTTTAAAAACGTCAACTAGGTGTTTCAGTGTGTATGTGTTTGTGTGTATGAGTTGATAATGTAGGTTGCGGCCAGTTATATTGCCACTTCCTGCAGAACTTAGTAAAGCCACAGAATGTCATAATCTTGAGCAGGTTCCTCTACAGTCTGGCTTCTAGTGAAAGTGTCTGAGCTGCTGCTGACAGTCTGGGTACCCTCACAGTATCCCGCTCTATCTCCCCATCGTGTCTGTGCTGGGGATCGCTCCCCCACTGGAGCTCTCTGAAGCGCTCCACTCTAACCCCATTCCCTGCTCTCTCTCTCCCCATCGTGTCTGTGTCAGACTCAGGGACGTGGGGGTGGGGGTGGAGGAGGTATGAAGCTGTGTGTGTAACTTCAGAGAGGTTTACAAAATGCTGGAGTTGTTCAGGCTATAATTAGGGAGTAGGTTGCCAGTGATGTTCTGACGCTAATTTGCTCAGGAGAACATAATGAATTAAATCCAAACGACAGCAAGTGAGGAGACTGAGTGCATTCCGGCTCGCAGTCCAGGCTAACGCAACGCTGGTGGAAGTGCGCTGTTATTGCAGGCCGGATCTCAGCGCGTGGCTTCCGTGTCAGAAACCGGACACGACAAATGGGCTGAAAGATTAACATTTATCACACGACTGAGACCATCGGTGACCGCGGGCAGAAAAGCGTCTCGTCCACACGCCAAGTACATGCAGCGTCTCAATCGCAAGCCAAACACATGCTATCAGGTAATTACTCCCCCCATCTGGAGGTTTCCCTTTCATGATCACATTCCCGTTCCCGTGGCTGTCTGGACGTGGCCTCCTCCTCCAGCCCGGAAAATCCCGGAGAGAATCAGCGGCTCCTAAACCCTCATCGGATTGTTGCTGTGTGGTCAGAGCGGGGGGGCGAGCCGGGCCGGGCTGACGGAGGACTCACATGTAGGCGGTGTCCGGGCTCTTCCCGGGATAGAGCTGGGGATTAGCCACAGGCTTCCCGGGTTCTGTTGCAACGAGATAGAGAAGCACAGCCGGGGGTTAGCGTTAGCCCCTGAACCACACCAACACCCACTGCGCACGTTGACACCACACGCGACGGCTCTCATGCAGCGCGACAATCAATCACACGTTTACATTCCCGTGTAATGGGGCCCGGTCCGGGGATGGGAGACCGGCTACTCACGTGTGAGGTTGTCCTGATCCTGGTACGGTGGTGGCTGTGGGTTAGCCTGGCTGGCGTAGGCCTGGGTGTAGGGCCCGGGGTGGGGATATTGGCCAGGGCTGAACTGTGCAGGGGGCAAGTATGTGGGCACAGGCTGGTAGATGTGGTTAGCCATGCCCCCGATCGGCACCTGTCCTTGGTATGGCACCATAGTGGTCACAACAGCTAAGAGACAGGAAAGAAGATCAGCACCAACCACTGCCCTGCCCCAACACCAACCATGCCCACTGCCCTGCCCACCCACTGCCCCCTCCCCCCAACACCAACCACGCCCGCTGCCCTGCCCCAACACCAACCACGCCCACTGCCCTGCCCCAACACCAACCATGCCCACTGCCCTGCCCACCCACTGCCCCCTGCCCCCAACACCAACCACGCCCACTGCCCTGCCCCAACACCAACCACGCCCACTGCCCTGCCCCAACACCAACCACGCCCACTGCCCTGCCCACCCACTGCCCCCTGCCCCCAACACCAACCACGCCCACTGCCCTGCCCCAACACCAACTACGGCCACTTCCCCGCCCACCCACTGCCCCCTGCCCCCAACACCAACCACGCCCACTGCCCCACCCCACATTGTCCCACGCCCGCCACTAACCACACCCACTATCCTGCTCTCAACACTGCCCTCGCCCACCACCCCTCCCCCAAAACTCACCCTGCTGCAACACTGCTCCACCCCCCAGACTGCCCTGCCCACCCCCAAACACTGGCCCCGCCCATCACCCTGCCTCCAATCCCCCCCCCTCCCACCTGAGACTGAAGGGTGACTTACTGGTGGGAGGGGGGGGATCTTTGCAGACTGCATTGCAGCAACAACAGCAACAGGAAATGACTGCACCCACGGCCAAGGCCACCAGCAACACCAATCCCACCCATATCAGGACGGTGATTCTGGACACAGAGAGAGACAGAGATAGAGGGAGAGATCAGAGTCACGCAGAGGAGGGGGAAAGACAGAGTGAGCGAGGGATGGATGGAGGGACAGAGTAAGGGAGGGAGGGATGGATGGAGGGATGGAGTAAGGGAGTAACAGAGGGAATGAGGGAGGGACAGAGTGAGCGAGTGACGGAGGGAGTGATTGAGGAAATGACGGAGCAAGTGATGGAAGGAGGCAGTGACAGACAGATAGACAGACAGAGTGACGAGGTACTCACATGGGACTCCTCTCCTCGCAGTAAGCCCCAGACCAGCTAAAGCTGCAGAAGATATCTGCCAACACTGTCCATGTGGAAAGAGACAGATGAATGAGATGGACTGAAGTCAGCACACATTCCCCATCCAAACATCACAGCGTGTAGTGTAGTGACTGTGTGTCATCAGGCAGTGTGGAGGGGGGGTGGGCACAGACTGTCCTCCCCCATCCCCCTGCACCCTAAACTCTCTGTGGAAAATATTGCACTTCCTCTCCCCTCTCTGCTCACTGTCTGAACTAGTCCTGTGGCTCAGTGGTTAGAGCGCTTGCCTTGCAAGTGAGAGACCTGGGTTCAATTCCAGGCAGAGGGCGAAACCTTGGGCAAGTTTCCTTACTCCACACAGAGCCTAATAATAATCCCTCCAAAACCAAACAATAATAAATTGGTCATTTTCAATCAATTGGCTGCTGGTTTCGCCCACAAATATACAGTCAATTCACTTTACAGTCTATTCTGTGAAGCGCTTTGGACGTCGAGAAGACGTGAAGAGCACTATATCAAATGCAAGGGTTATTATTACTATAGTCATTGACTCACCAACCAGTGAGAAGCCTTCCTCCACACTGAATCCATTAAAGTACCCTCACCCACCACCATCTCCTCGTCCCCGACCCACGACCAGCCCCCTCCTCGTTTCCAGCCCGGATCCGAGTCAGACTTTCACAGCCATTTCTCCCCACCCACATCCTCACACAGTGCTCTCCCCCCCAACATATAAAGTGTGGGGCAAATCCCAACCAGCCCTTGGTGTTCCCCAGTGATCATTTCAAAATTCCCCACCAGTAAATTGCGCTTCCATAATAATAATAATAATCTTTGCATTCGATACAGCACATTCTCACGATAAACTGTAAAGTGAATTCACTGTACATTTTGTGGGGGAAATATATTTTTTTGTATATTTTGTGGCCAAAATAATAATAATAATAAAGGTAATGGCGATTTTACAGTATAATCTGTGAAGTGCTTTGAGACGTCTTGAAGATGTGATATCCGTGATATCAAATGCAAGGATTAATGTTATTGTATGATTATTGCTTACAAACTATTTCCACTAGTGGGTGGGTCGGTCACCCGAGGACACCGATTCAAAATGGTTGTTAAAAGTAACAGAGTGGAGGTGAGGAGAATTCTTTTCACACAACAAAACAACAACAACAAAATTTATGGAGCGCCTTTCACGTCGGGAGGTCGTCCCCAAAGCGCTCTAAGGGAGAAGTAGATGGGTTTTTGGGGAGGACAGATTGCAGGGCTGTGGGGAGAGCGTGGGGGAATGGGATTCATTTCATCGAATCATACACCACAGAAAGAGGCTATTCGGCCCATCGTATCTCCCCCAACTCCGAAAAGAGCAATCCAACTCAATCCCACCGGCCCGCTTTCTCTCCATAGCCCTACAATCCTGTCCTCCCCAAAAAGCCATCTACTTCTCTCTTAAAAGTTGTTATTGAATCGGCTTCCACCACCCTTTCAGGTAATGCATTCCAGATCCCAACAGCTCGCTGGTGAAAACATTTTTCCTAACCTCCCCTCTGTTTCTATTAACAATTAACTTAAATCGGTGTCCTCGGGTTACCTTCCCACAGGTCAGTGGAAACAGTTTTTCCCGGTTCAACCTATCAAATCCTCTCATGATCTCGAAAACCTCTAGAAATCTGTGTTTAATGTGTTTATGGTAGCAATAATCCTCGCATTTGATACCGCGCCTCATCACGTCTTCGAGGCGGCTCAAAGCGCTTCACAGAATATATTGTAAAGTGAATTGACTGTATATCTTGTGAGCAAAACGTGGCAGCCAATTGCGCACAGCAGCGTCCCACAAACAGTCGTGTATTCCGTGACCAAATTATCATTATCATCATTTTTTAAAAAAAATTTAAGGGATGACTACCCCCGGAAAGTGATTCTACAATCGACTGACAACTGGGTTCCTGCTCGGTTAACAGAGGTGTTTCTGGATAAAAGTGGGATAAAATTGCCCCTTTGAGTTCAGCCACCACCAGTGACTATTCCTAACAAAATCCACCCCTCACCACTACACTCACCCATCTTCACTCTCCCCACCCCCACTCCCCCACCACACACACTCTCTCCCTCAAAAAACACCCCTCATTCCCTTCCCCTCCCTTTTCTCTCTGCTCCCCCCAAAAAAAATCCATCACTGTGTTGACCCTTTCAGTCTGTGCCAGGCAGACGCAACTCCTGTGACTGACAAAAGTGCAGATAAGTTTCCAGCATGGACTCACCAGTGGGTAGGAGCACAGCCCCGAGAACCAGGCACCTCGCCATCTCCTCACTCACAGCTCTGCAAACTCCAGACAAGAGTTGGTTAAGTTTTGTGCAGATCTCAGCCCTTCCCGTCAGTCAGCAAGTCAGCCTTGGTCCACAGCCTAACCCTGCTCTGGAGACTGAGAGAGAGAGAGAGAGGGATGGGGGTGAATCCCAAGAAACAGTCAAGTAAGTGCAGAAAGAGAGAGAGAGGAGAGGGAGGAAGGAAGAGAAAGAGATTGGCTTTACAGTCAGTTAGGTCCTTGGCTCAGACACACACACACACATACACACCACAGAACAATGTAAAGTCACAGAGAACACGCTGTATGTTTAGAGTCCCAGCACAGTGCCCTCCAATGCTTCCTGCTGAATATAACAGCCAATAAATCTTATCTGTTAGTGCTGTAATGGTCTGTGCTGCCACAAACCCAGAGCTGCGCTATCTCACTTAGAATTCAGGGGCGATGATGCACAGCTAATGGTTGAGTCGTCTCAAAGCCCTTCACAGGATTTTACTGTAAAGTACAGCAACTGTGTTTAACGGTCTAACATCTCATCCCAATAATGTAGTGTCAGCCTAGACTGTGTGAGTTCGAAGGGGTTAGACTGAGGAGAGCGAGGCGAGAGTGGGTTAGAGTTATAATAATAATCCTTGCATTTGATACAATGCCTTATCACATCTTCGAGACGTCTCAAAGCGCTTCACAGAATATACTGTAAAGCAACACCACCCAAGGATGCCCACTCCACCTCACTGAGCCAGTCCAGAACCTTGGCGACTTGTTTGACCCTCAACTATCCTTTCTACCCCACATCTGCCTTGACTCGCTCTGCCTTCCCTCACCTCCGCAACATCGCCCGGCTCTGCCACTGTCTCACACCGGAGACCCCCGAGACCCTCACACACGCATTCATAACATCCAGGCTTGACTACGCAAACTCCCTGCTTGTCGGCCTCCCCAACTCCTTGCTCCATAGGCTCCAGGTCATTCCGAACTCTGCAGCCCGTGTCCTCTCCTGCACCAGGCTCCGCGGCCCTATCACCCCCATCCTCGCCTGACTCCACTGGCTTCCCTTCACACAGAAGATACAGTTCTAAATCCTGGTCCTCACCTTCAAAGCCCTCCATGGCCTCGCCGCCCCCACCCCACCTGTGTGATCTCCTAATCCCCTACCAATCTTTCCGCTCCTTCCACTTTGCGGGCTCCGGCCTGCTTCATGTCCCCTGTCTCGCTCGCCCCACCATTGGGGGCGAGCCTTTGGGCACTCTGCCCCCACTCTTTGGCACTCCATCCCGCAGTACCTCCACCTCACCCCCTCCCTTACCTCCTCCAAAACCCATCTCAAGACCCTCCTTCGGGTCTGAAACACTGACTGTCCAACAACTTGCGTCCTCCCAACATGAAAGGCACTTTACAAATATAATTTGTTTTTTGCTGTAAAGTGAATTGACTTTATATTTTGTGGGCGAAACATGACAGCCAATTGCTCACAGCAGCGTCCCACAAACAGCCGTGGATTGAGTCAGCAAATTTTTTTTGAGAGATTATTACGCCCGGAAAAGCCACCCAACAATCGACTAACAAGCGGGTTCCTAGTTACTGCTGATAGTGCGTGCGTGTGGAGTAACAAAACTTGCCTAAGGTTTTGTTTGTCCTGAGCAGGAAAGTTTGTGGCTGTCAGTGGCTATTGAGGTCGGGACAGCAGAAACCTTCGGAAGGTAAGTGGCCGAGTATGAGAAACCATTAAGGGTGTGTGTGCAGAAAGACAGAGAGACAGGGGGAGGCTGTGGAGGGAGATGGTGGGGTGGGAGGGTGGGTGGCCGGGGGGGGAGTTCTGTACAGAGAGAATTTCCATTATTCGATGGTTTCTCATACCTCTTCCATTTCCCTTTAGAATCACTGTGTTGACCCGACCTGAATAGCCACTGACAGCCACAGGAGGGCAGGGGGAGCGAGGCGAGGGGGAGCGAGGTGTGGTGTCTACACGTATGTAGAGCACACAGGATGGGTCATGCAAATGTGTGCACATATTATGGTTTGTCCGGAAGCAACACCCCTTCACCCCTCTGCCCCCCGCCTCCCGTCACAGGGGGCTGGTCTGCCTGTCATGTCCTGTGACAGGATGCTAATGTTGTTTCTTTCTGTCACAGGATTGCTGTATTGAGATCTGTGTAAATCTATTTTCTGCCTGTAAATAAATATTATATATTTTGTTTGTAAAAATGTAATTAAAAGGCCGTGCGCGGGGAAGCAGGAGGGAGTTTATAAAAGGATTCAGAAACTCTTTAACAACTTTTGTTGAGTTTCTAATGGCCATCCTCCACCTACACCATAGTCAGGTCTGTAGTCCATCTTGGTCACAATCCACCATTCTCCGCAGGAGGGGCAGGATGTCCCTGGCTGTGCCAGGTATCTGCTGTGAGATTGCGTTACTTACCTTACGATCCTATTTGATCCTGGTTCCCCTCTCCTTGCGCGGTCTTTGACCTTGCTTATGATCACCTTCTGCCTCCCCTCTGGCTCAGTATCAGGCTGTTAAGTGCTGTGAGACATTCTGAGGGAGTGAGGGATGGGGGTGAGGGGATGGGTTTGAGAGAGGGGTATATGAGGGAGAAGGAGGGGTCTATGGGGGTGAGTGAGGGGGGGTATGGGGTTGAGGGAGGGGGTATGGGGGTGAGGGAGGGGGTATGGGGGTGAGGGAGGGGGGTATGGGGGTGTAAGTGCGATGCGGAGGGAACGGACAAACATTCCTGAGTTTGAAAGAATGAACGAAGCTTTGACAAAAGGGTCTGCATTTATTTACTGGAGACGGGAATCGCTATGAGAGACAGAGCCACAGCTTGGAGCACATCACACTCAGTTCCCCACCCCGTCCCACCCCCAAACCCCCCCCGGCAGCGAAGCTTCAAGCTACAGGGAAGGGCGAATAGGAGGTGCAGGTCTATACATAACCCTTGGGGAGGGGGAGGCTGAGTTAGACAGCATCAGTCTGTATGTTGCTCTCTCTCTCTGCATAGTTCCACAGGAAAGAACACATATCCAGCACCTTATAAAATGGCAACACAGGCAGGACGGCTGGCGGGGGGGGGGGCGGGGGGGGGGGCACAGTCTAAATGTGAATCAATCTGACTGTGGATACTGTGAACAAGGCATATTGTAGTGTGTGAGAAAAAAAGACTGTGAGCGAGAGGCACTATGTGAGAGTGTATGTGAGAGAGGATGTCGTGTGCAGAGAATGCCGGAGATTTGAGTATCAGATTGTAATCGAATGTGTGAGTGAGAGAGATGAGAGTGAGTGTGACAGAATAGGAGTGTGAGAGTGAATAGTGAAAAAGAGAATGTGTGCGAGACTGAGACAGCCACTGTGAGAGTGTGAGACAGTGTGTGAGCGAGATAGTGTGTTTGTGAAGGTGAGAATGTGTGAGTCAGAGAGATGAGACAATGTGAGTGTACATCAGAGAGTGTGTGTATGAGAGTGAATGTGAGAGAAAAAGAGAGAGAGAGAGATTTTCCACTGACCAGGAGTGAAGGAGAGTGAGTGAGCGAAGGAGGGAGGCGGTGAGGCATTAACCTTCACAGAAGGGGAAAAACTCTCGATCGGAAACCTCCGAAACACCCGGTGAAAGTCAAGACATTAAAAGTACAAAATTTTCTCTCCCCACAAAAGTGCTGGAGCTCCCGGTAACCGGGAAGGGGATCAGGAACAGCCTCGCCCCGTCCTGTTCGCAGTTCCTCAAACACAGCAGCACTCTCCCCGCAGGGAACTCCCTCAATCACCCACAGACACAGGAAAACATCCTATAAAAAAAATCCCGTAAAAACCATCCGGTAAAAAGGAATTGAAAGTTCCCTGCCGGATCGTCAGAGGCTGGACCGTTTACAGGCGTCTCTCGGGACAGCACGGGAGGCTGGACAGCAACTACTGCGATGGTGGTGCGTAGGCAGGATTGTACGCTGGTTGAACCCCGGGGTTGTAGACAGCCGGAGCAGATGGATTATATGGAGCTGGAGCAGAGGGGCTGTAGGAAGCGGGGGCAGCTGGGTTGTAGACAGGAGCACTGTAGGGAGGGTTTGCCCCGGGGTACGGAGCATTGGAGCCGACTGTGAGGAGGAAAGAAATGTCAGGAAGAAGGTTTGTGATGACAACAACAACAACTTGCATTTACACAGCGCCTTGCACCCCGGGTGGCGTCCTGGAGCGCTTAGAGGACTGTAAACAGAAGTCACTGGGAACGCTCAGCAGGTCAGACAGCATCCATGGAGAGACAACGTTTTGGGTCCACAACCCTTCGTCAGAATGGTAGTTAGGGTTAGGGATAGGGATAGGGTTAGGGATAGGGTTAGGGATAGGGTTAGGGCACTGGATCAAATGCAAGGTAATTCCGGTGAAGGGTCGTGGACCCGAAACGTTGGCTCTCCATGGATGCTGCCTGACCTGCTGAGCGTTCCCAGCGACTTCTGTTTTTGTTTTCGTATTTCCAGCGTCTGCAGTATTTTGTGTTTTACTTTAGACAACTGTAATTCCCCTCTTCCCCCGGCTGCGAACCTTGTGTTCCCCCCATCCGCCCGCTCACCCACCCGCGTTCTGACCCCCACCCCTCCCCACCCCCCACCCGTGCAGTGATTGCTGGTGAGAGGCTCGAGCGCTGCTTCAATCTGGAAGTGTCGTTAAAAGGGACCTCAAGGGGAGAGAGGAATGTGAGGCTGCAATACCAGGGCGGGCCAGCGGGGGGCGCCGCTACCCTACCCCCAGCTCCAGCCTCTGTGTGACTAAGAGTAATAATCTTTGCATTTGTTCCAGTGCCTCAGCACAACATCGACAGACACCGCAAACCGCTTCACAGGATATACTGTAAAGGGAATTTACTGGATATTTTGTAGGCAAAACGGGGCAGCCAATCGCACACAGCAGTATCCCACAAACAGCCGTGGATTGAGTGACCGTGTTATTATTATTATTTTTTGGAGGGATTATTACCACCGGAAAGCGATCTGCCAATCGACTAACAAATGGTTTCCTCTTTATTGCTCGGTAAACAGAGGCGTGTGGAGTAAGGAACCTTGACTAAGGTTTCGCCCTGCCCAGGAATCGAACCCGGGTCCTCTCGCTAGCGAGGCGAGCCCTCTAACCAATATGATACAGGACAGTAACCCTCCGTGTGTGTGTGTGTGAACCTACGCGTGTGTGTGAGACCCTCTGTGTGCGTGTGTGACCCTGTGTGCGTCTGTGTGTGTATGACCCTCTGTGTGTGAGATACTCACTTGCCACGGTGTCCTGGTATGAGGGGGGCTGAGCAGAGTAAGGGGTGGGGTAAGGAGGGGGGTAAGGGGCCCCTGTGGGGTAAGGCATGGCGCCCGGCGGGGGCTGGGCGGGAGCGGGGGCATAGCCCTGGTACCCGCTGTACCCGTGGGGCGGTTGCTGTGGATAAGCCATTGGCTGCACTACAGTGGTGGTGGTGGAACTGGTCACAATGGCTGGAAGAGAAGCAGAGAATAACTGGTTAGTGGTCAAACTACCCCAAGCTCTCCTCGCTGACCTATCTCCATCATGCTAACCACACGCTAACTAGCCTCACGTTAACCTGCCTCACTTACACTAAGCAGCGTCTAACAATAATAACAACACATTATATTTAAACGGCGCCTTTCATGTCGGGAGGACGTCCCAAGCCACTGGACAGTTAGGGATTTGGACCCGAGTGGAGGTTGGGATTGGGAGGGTGGAGGGCAGGGAGTGGGTTAGGATGGTAACCGAAGACACGGTCGAAGAGGAGGGTCTTGAGACGCGTCTTGAAGAGGCGAGGGAGGGGGCGAGGCGGAGGGACTGTGGGATGGAGTTCCAGAGATTGGGGGTGGAGCAGGCCGCCGCCTGCTGAGCAGAAGGAGCGGACAGGTCAATATGATCACAGAGGTAGGGAGGAGCAAGGCCGTGGAGGGCTCTGAAGGCGAGTAACCAGCGTGTAATGGGTGTGCCCTCTGCACAGAGCACAGAGAGCTGAGGGTATTAATGACAAGGCTGAAGTCTCCATGTGCAGATGATTAGAGGGAGCCCAGGAGCCGCTGACTAGAGCGTCGCCTCTGCTCTGTGCCTCTGGCTGTGTATGAAACAGGAGGTTCTCAGTGTAATTACAGCAGGAAAGGATCGCCTATTTTTATCCCTCATCAGGAGCTAAAGGGCAGTGTCAGACCTGGTCACTGGCCTCACTCAGTCTCTGGGTTAGGAGGATAGCGGGTTCAAGCCCCTCCAAGGCAAGACGCAGAGTGCACAGGCCAGACCCACGCTCCAACACGGAGCTGGGGGTGGGAGCTGGGGGGAGGGGTGAGCGCCACATTTCCGGAGACGCCATCCTTCGGATGAGACTGTGCCCTGTTCAGGGTGTCCGGCTGGACGGTAAAGATCCCGCAGGGCTGTTGGGAACTGCTTGGTGTCCTGGCCAACAACCCTCCCCCCCACCACCCCAGACAGCAATCACCCTGTTCACTTCTTCACTTCACGGCTGTTTGTGGGGACATTGCTGTGAGCAAACTGCTGGTGCGACAGCCAACGAAACACACTACACTTGACAGCGACAGGGTGTGGAACACTGCAAGTGGCTTTGTGGTGACGGCCGGATGTGAAATGGCTTTTGATTGTCTACACTGACAGCAGTTGGCTGTCTGGGCTCCTCTCTCAGTGTCAGACTGAGCCGACAAAGAGCACCAGCCCCCCCCGCCCATCGTCTCACAATGTGGTTTGTGTCAATGCAAAGCCCCCCCACACCCACCTGCCCCCAAACACCCTCCCGCCACTCCCCCCTGACCTCACCCACACAACAGAGTAGCTGTTCTCTCGCTGTCTGCAGTGTTTCCTCCATATTCTACACAAACCTCAACATGGCTGAGCTTGTGAGCTCTGCTCAGCCTCACCTTCAATAATTATATTAACGGTCCTGGCGTTTGACCCGGCGCCTGATCACGCTGTTGAGACGTCTCAAAGCGCTTCACAGGATTTACTATAAAGTGTAGTGACTGTGTATTTCGTGGCAACACCAATTGGGTACAACAGTCGTGGATTGAGAGATCAAATTATTATTTGTGAGGATTATTGCCCCCGGAAAACACAGTCACTCCACTGTACAGTGTATTCTGTGAAGCGCTTTGACCCATCTCAATGACGTGATACAGCGCTGTGTGAAATGCAAGCATTATTATTACTATCTCTCCCTCGCCTCCCCCCCCCCCGGTCTCTCTCGCTCTCGCCTCCATGCAAGTCTCTCGCCATAAGGTGGGGGCGGTGGAGGACTCGTGCTAACTCAGACTCTGCCGCGGGGGGGGGGGGGGGCGAGAGGGGGGTCTTGTTGGCCGGGGGGGAGGGGGGGGTGTCACTCACGTTGCCGGCTCCGCCGTGCGATCTTGTAGAGGATGCAGCACGGGCAGCACAGACACAACACCACAGCTGTCACGAAGATCACAAAGAAGCTCACACCAATGGCCACGAAGGAGCTGAAACTGGAAGAGATCAAAGAGGTCACGGTGGGGAGGTTGTGTGGAACGGAGATCACTGTCGGGGGGGGGGAGGGGGGGAGAGAGGTCACCGTGGGGCAGAGAGAGAGGTCACTGTGGGGGGAGGTGACCGGACGGAGGTGGGGGGGGGTTTGGGGGAGAGGTCACGGGTGTTTGTGTGTCTAACACTGACTGTGTGGCGCTCAGCTCCCACCCTCTAACCCGTCGCTGGTTCTTCTTTAGAGAACATGTCTACTTTGGGCGTTTCCCAGCTGTGCCGAGCCTCAGGGGGGGAGTTTGAAGCCGGAGAACTTTTGAAGTGTAATGTGTGCACTTAGTTAATCAAGAACCAGAAATCTGTGAGCGTATATGTTTGCGTGTCTGTGTGTAAGAGTGTATGTGTGTTTGCGTGCGTGTGTTTGAGTGCATGTGTGGGGAGGCACTCTTTCCCAGGATTAAAGCATGTCACGTGACGATCTTCCACGCCATCCTTTGCCCGAGTAGACAATGAACAGACGACCCCTCCCCACCCGAACACACACACACCCTCCCCCCACTGAGAGTTTCCCAATAACTCAGTTAACGCAAATATTGAACAAACACACAGACACACGCACGCACGCACACACAGACAGAGACACAAGACAGAGACACACACACGCACAGAGACACACACACAGAGACACACACAGAGAGACACAAGACAGAGACACAGAGACAGAGACACACACACACAGAGACACAAGACAGAGACACAAGACAAACGAGACACACACACACACACACAGACACACACACAGAGACAGTAGCCTGTGGGTCCATGTTTACTGCTGACAGACACAGGGCTCGGCACAGTGTGAGCTGTGTAACCACCTGGTCACTAAGTGGCAGCTCCCCTGGGGGGGGGTGAGCAGCAGCAGAGAGGGTAACAGCTTACCCGTCACTCATCCTGAGTCCAAGGCACCGACCGACCGACCGACCAGAGCTTTGTAGATCTTACACTAAACTCTCAGCTCCAGCCATCGCCCACACAAAACCCACCCCCAGCACTCAGCCAGGGACTGCTCACAGCCCTGCTCCGCACCACACAGCCCCTCACAAGCACAAACACACCAGCGAGCACTCCCCCCGGTACGTACACAGCCCAGTGATTGTGCTGCCTGTGGGTAGCGCCGGGGTTAAAGCCTGCCGTTCAGGCTTGTCAGTGCTTGTGACGGGCTGGAGCCAACGCCTGTTCCTGTGTGAGAGCTCTGGGCGATTGCCAGTTCCAGACACTCACTTCCTCCCCGGCTCGTGTTTATATCAATGAGGAGAGGAAGTTACACACACAGCTTCATACCTCCTCCACCCCCACCCCACGTCACTGAGTCTGACACAGACACGATGAGGAGCGAGAGAGCAGGGAATGGGGTGAGAGTAGAGAGCTCCAGTGGGGGAAGCGAACACCAGCACAGACACGATGGGGAGAGAGAGAGAGAGAGCAGGGAATGGGGTTAGAGTAGAGAGCTCCAGTGGGGGAAGCGAGCCCCAACACAGACACGATGGGGAGAGAGAGAGAGCAGGGAGTGGGGTTAGAGTAGAGAGCTCCAGTGGGGGAGCGAGCCCCAGCACAGACACGATGGGGAAAGAGAGAGAGTGGGGTTAGAGTAGAGAGCTCCAGTGGGGGAGTGAGCCCCAGCACAGACACGATGGGGAGAGAGAGAGCAGGGAATGGGAAGGGCAGGGAAAGGGGACTGAAATAATTGGTCTTGAGAGGGCGGCGCAGACATGATGGTCCAAAGGCTGTGCTGTTCATTTCCATGTTTCCAACCAAAACCCTACTTCCTTCTTAACGTCCCGTTCCTTCCTGTTTATGGTAATAAAGTCTCGGGGCAACGGGGAGCTGGCAGTGTTAGCAGACCCCAGGTCAAGCCTGGTCACTTTCCCTCTGACTGATCCATTGTGAGTGGCTGGTAAATGGATAGAGGAAGGAGCAGGAGGTGGTGGGGTGGCTGTGGGGAAGCGCTAAGCTACATCAAGATGGTCACGGACACCAGAATATGCCAGGCCTGGCCCAGCACAGGGAAACCCTGAGAGATGCCATCTCACACCTCACTCACACAGCAATGTGAGCCCGCTCTCCAGTCAGTGTCAGGGTGGCGCCATGCCCTGTGCCCTGGCTCCGTGCTGGGGCTGGTGCTGTGGGGGGTGGTGTGGGGGGGGTGGGGCTCAGTCTGCTTCTCCCTCCAGTCACAAAGGGTGGGGAGAGGCGCTAGCCAGGCCCGCTGCAAACACACAGCCCCCACTCCCACCCCAAACCCATGCCAGTCACTCACTCGGGCTCCAAACCAGAGTGGTAAACATCAGCTAAGGTTCCCCTCATGAGTGTGAGTGTGTGTGTGCATGTGTTTGTGGGGGCGGGTCAGTGCGTGTGTGTGTGTGCATGTGTTTGGGGGCACACACCCCACCCTACAATATTTGAATAGTTGATTTACAACTAGACTTCCTTTACTGATTAAGTACATTCCCTTCTCAGATCAAGCAGCACATGAATGCCATTCTCCGAACATTGTGTTCTGATGAAAATATTACTTTGCCACAAAAGGGGAAGAGATAACTCCCTCCCCCCCCCGCAGCTCAGAACACAACACACAGAAGACACAAGGTGTGGTCAATTCTGCTTAAAAACTACACTGCTAAGAACACTACAATTTAGAACCAAATAAATAAACAAAACGAGGGCAGATGAAGCACACACACGCACGCACGCACACACAATCTTCTTTTATGAGCAAGACCTTCACAATCGTTTGATGACGTGGGACACAGTCAAACAAGGAAGAACCTTTGGAAGCCGAATGGAACCGGAGAAAGATTAAGAACACGTAATCATGAACTCAGGGCACATCATTGGAAGACTCGGGAGAAAAGTTACTGTACAAGAAACAGATCCTGAAATGTTTGGTCACAAGTGGCTTTTGAAGTCAGGAGCAGAGCTTTTCAGAGGGAATGGAGCAAGTCTGGTACAGAGGGAGTGCAGGGAACCCCATTGGGGTGGGGGGGGAGCACAGGGGTGGGGGGAGCACAGGGGGGGAGCACAGGGGTGGGGGAGCACAGGGGGGGAGCACAGGGGGGAGCACAGGGGTGGGGGGGAGCACAGGGGGGGAGCACAGGGGGGGAGAACAGGGGTGGGGGGGGAGCACAGGGGTGGGGGAGCACAGGGGTGGGGGGAGCACAGGGGTGGGGGGGAGCACAGGGGTGGGGGGAGCACAGGGGTGGGGGGAGCACAGGGGTGGGGGGAGCACAGGGGTGGGGGGGGCACAGGGGGGGGGGGGGGGGGGGGAGCACAGGGGGGGGGGGAGCACAGGGGGGGGGGGGAGCAGGGGGGGGGGGGAAGCACAGGGGGGGGGGGGACAGGGGGGGGGGGAGCACAGGGGGGGGGGGAGCACAGGGGGGGGGGGAGCACAGGGGGGGGGGGAAGCACAGGGGGGGGGGAGCACAGGGGTGGGGGGAGCACAGGGGGGGGAGCACAGGGGGGGGGAGCACAGGGGGGGGGAGCACAGGGGGGGGGAGCACAGGGGGGGGAGCACAGGGGGGGGGGAGCACAGGGGGGGGGGAGCACAGGGGGGGGGGAGAAGCACAGGGGGGGGAGCACAGGGGGGGGGAGCACAGGGGGGGGGGAGCACAGGGGGGGGGAGCACAGGGGGGGGGGAGCACAGGGGGGGGGGAGCACAGGGGGGGGGAGCACAGGGGGGGGGAGCACAGGGGGGGGGGAGCACAGGGGGGGGGAGCACAGGGGGGGGGAGCAAGGGGGGGGAGCACAGGGGGGGGAGCACAGGGGGGGGGA